ATAAACACAACTTGGAATTCCCTTTGCAGGAGAAAGAACAACAGGTTTAATAAAAATGACCATTATGCACACTATTATATCTGTTACAAAAGGTAGTTATATACGCATCATATCAGAACCGAAGAAGAAATCTTTCAATTGATTTCTATGCAGGTCATTATGCGAATAAGTACTTCTTGTAAATGACACGGTAGTGAGGCCGATTTCCATCATGATCATTCTTGATGAGAATTGTAGTATCCAGTATCAGAAATAAATATATTTCTGTATGATATATAAGAACTAGAATAAATGGTATTGTCAGAAAAGAAACGAAATATTGGAAGCGCCATACAATTTTTCGCAGCCATTTTAACAAGCAGCCACAATTTGTTCAACAGTATCAATTATCGATTGTTCAAAAGGAATCAAACTCGTATGCAAGACATTCATGGTTTTCGAATTATCAAATTTAAACGCTTCTTTCTTCAAAACTTCATCTTTTTCAGGTTCTCCAACTGGAACATTTGTCAATTCTTTAAAATTCTCATGAATAATATTCGCCATTCCTTGATAACTCCATTGTCCATTCGTAATAAACAATCTCTTACCCACAGCTTCAGGATTCTCAAAGGCTTCTAAATGAGCCTTTGATACGTCTCTAACATCAACAAAAAGATGTTTCAACCCAGGAATAGAATCTTTGGGATTCATCTTCAACAATGCATTCACCGTTTCAACAGAAGTATTCATCTGAGTACTATCCTTAACCCCAAAAGCCTGGGGTCCGAAAACATATGGAGGATTAACACTAGTCAATTGAAATCCAGCATCTGTTTCAGCCCAAAGTTCCCAAGCTGCTTGTTCGGCAAATTTTTTCGATCCCAAATATCCCTCAAGGGGATCACTTAATGATTCTTCCCAAGTCTGAGGATTCCAATCTCTCTCAGTATAGACTTTGTTTGAATCTTCATACTCCCGAATCCTCCAATTGCAGCAAATGAACTCGTGAGTACGAAATGCTTCAAATTGGAAGCATATTTCTCAGCGGAGAGTAGAGCATTCTTGATCCCATTAATGGCAGGTAGTAATATTTCTTGTTCAATATCAGTAACATCCAACCTGAATGGGGATGCGGTATGTAAGAAGACAGAAATGTCGGGATTTTCTTTCAAGGCATTGTCAAATGCTCCAGGAGTACCGATTTCTGGAACAACAACATATTTGAAGTTTTCAAATGGGAGTTTTACATCTTGTAATTTTTGAATTAGGTCGTCACCTTTGGATGAAGATCGGACGGATCCGATAACTTTGTATCCTTTGTCAAGTAGATCAATGAGGATATGTTGAGCGATGTAGCCATCGACACCAGAAACGAAAACTGTAGTTGTAGTTGCATTCATTGTAATAGTTGTTCTAGTTGTTATTGTTTGTTTGATAGAAGTGAGAGAAATGATTTTTCCCGACGGTTAGTGAGATTTCAATCCTTATTTATATCATTTCCAGAGACGTCCTTTCGATTGATAACCAAGCATAGTAAAGCGGAGCTTTCCACAAATGGTAACTATTCCCCTTTGAGAGGTATGTTATCTACATTTCTTCGTATTGAAAACATTCCGTTTTTTAGGTATGGCTGAAAAAAAATAAGTTTGGAAATTCGGTTTTCCTACCCCGGACTTTCCTAATAGAGTCATACCGGGATTTTTTAGCTTCGGGGCAGTTTAATTCCGTATCATTGTTTTGTACCTCCACTATCCCGATTCACGTTCTAGAATGAATATTCATTGTTCATCGGATCGGCAAAAGATACTTCGTCCTATGCATGATCTTTATTCGTTCTTATCAATTGGAAACGGGGGTTTCCCTTTTAAGTAAGAAGTTTGAACGGCCGTGGTCTTCGGATTAGTTTACGAATTCTACAATAGACAGGTGTGTCTTAGACAATACAGTGGTCAAATTTGTATAACTAATCATGAAACTACGTAGTAAAAAAGACAATGAAAGATTACAATTACTACTCCGTTGCTAATATTTGATTCACACAATCAACAACACTCTTTTCAAGTGAAATATACTCAAATCCGAGTAGACTCTTAGTCCTTGAGAAGTCACCATCCTTTCCTTCTCTAGTCAATTGTTCTCCATGTTTTTCCAAATCACCTTTTGGACCATTCAATTCTGGGAACTTTTCATTAATAATATGTGTAATCTTTTCAGCAGTCCAAGCATCGGATACTAATACCAAACGATGATTAGCAGCACCATCATCTTCAAATGCTTTAATATGTGCACTAGCAACATCTCTTACGTCAATAAAATTTCCACAAAGCGCGGGAACGGGATCATTTGGCCCGAGTTTAAGAACTCCATTAATAACTTCCGAAGATAAATTGAGTTGTGATTTATCTTTAACAGCATATGCTTGAGGACCAAAAGCATACAGAGGTAATACGAATGAAACATCAAAATGTGCTTTATTCTCTTTAACGAAATCCCAAACTGCCAATTCGGCAAATTTTTTAGATCCACAATAGGCATTACCTCCATTTTCTAAACTTTGTTCATATGAAATTGGATTCCAATCCTTTTCGGTATGGACTTTCTCATGGTGACTGAAGTCATATACCGAGACAATCGATGACGTAATAACGACTTTCTGAACTTGTGGAGCATGGGAAACAATCGCAGTAAGGGCGTTCTTAGTACCCTCAATTGCAGGTTTTAAAATTTCTTGTTCCAAATCTTTGGCATCAGGAATAACCGGCGAGGCAGTATGGATAAAAACAGTAACCTCTGGATGTTTGGATAATGCTTCGTCAAATGCACCTGGTGTGTCGAGATGGGGGACAATCTCGTATGAAAAGTTTTCGGAATTGATGATTTCTTTCAACCAATCACCCTTGGAGGCTGATCTGACTGTGCCTACCACAGCATACTTTTTTTCAAGCAATTGTTTTATGATATGTTGGGCAATGAATCCGGAGGCACCGGTAACAAAGACTGTGGTTAGTGTCATTATAAAACGAATGAGATTTTGATGTAGTTTGGGGACGTTGAAGGCGAAAAAGGGATAATATTTGTTGATAAATTCTGACGCGGGGGATTTTTCACTCAGATCAAATCGGGATAGCGAATCAAGGGGCCGAGAGAAAAATCAACACTAGCCACAATTTTAAGCCACGGTCGGAAAAACTATAAGATTTCTTGTCTACAACCATTTAAGAATCGGTTTTAATTGCCAATTATTATTAGCTTTTCCTTTTTCTATTGGGAATCTGGTATTTGTATCTACATTTCTGGGTGTGATGGTCAGACATATAGTGGAAACTCTTTCAATTCGCACTACATTTAACAACTTTAATAGAGATTCCGGAAACAGGGGCTCAATGCACAGAGAATTGCTTATCATCGTTTATCCGCTAGAACAATTTCTATACTTCGATGTATAATAATCGAACTCATAAACGCAATATATTGTCTCTAAATACAGTCTTCATATAAATAAACTCTATGCCTCATAAATTTGCTTGGCTGTATCCACAACTGATTCGTCAAGAGGAATGAGATCAAACCCAAGAATATTTTGAGTTTTGGAGAAATCATATTTAACACTATTGTTAATAAGCTTTTCATTCTTTTCTGCATCACCCTTTGGAACGGTTGCTTGAGGGAAATTGTCTTTGATGATATTAGCAATCCCATCGTTGGTAAAATAGCCTGCCACTAATACCAATCTCTGGTTGATGGCTTCATCTTTTTCAAATGCGACAACATGAGCTTTGGCAACATCTCTGACATCAACATATCTACCACAGAACTCTGGAATTGCATCATTAGGTCCTAATTTAATTACCTTGTTAATGATCTCGGCGGAAGTGTTTAATTCGGATTTATCTTGAACTTCATATGCTTGTGGACCAAACACGAATACCGGGTTAATAAAGGAGATTTCAAAATTTGGTTTACTCTCCTTAACGAAATCCCAAGCAGTTAATTCGGCATATTTTTTAGAACCGAAATAACCCAACATTGGGTTCTGCAAACTTTCTTCCCGAGTAATTGGATTCCAATCGTCTTCTGTGTATACCTTATCTTGAACAATATGTTTACCCCAACCAAAAACAGCCACGGCAGAGGAAGTGATAACAACTTTCTTGATTTGTGGACCATACTTTGCAATAGCATTGAGTGCGTTCTTAGTACCATCAATAGCTGGTCTTAATAAATCCTTTTCGGGATCATTGACTTTGAAGGTAAATGGGGAGGCAGTATGCAAAAATACGGAAACCTCTGGATGTTTCTTCAAAGCTTCATCAAAAGCACCTTCTGCTCCAATATCGGGGACAATTTCATATGAAAATCTATCTGATTTGGTCAATTGTTTAAGTCTTTCACCTTTGGATGCTGATCTGACTGATCCAATTACATTATATCCTTTCCCAAGCAATTCCTTGACGACGTGTTGAGCAATGTATCCAGTGGCTCCAGAAACAAAAACAGTAGTTGCGGGCATTGTTGTATGAAATTGTATAATTGAGTAACTTGAGAGGATTTAGCTTGTCTCATAATAGTTTAGAGAAATTCACTCCCTTTTAATCCTTTTAATAATTTTACAAATTCTGAACCCCATAAAACTCTTGACGGAAATAGCAAGGTCGGATAAATGATTTTCAGGGTAAGTTCTTGTTTTGTGTCAGATTCTTTTTCCGTGAGTAAACAAGACAAATTAAAATTGCAGCCGAATTAAGGAACCCTGGGCTTACCTATGTGACAGTGAAGGTAACCCCGTTAACCCCAAGACATTGTAGTAGTGGGTATCAATTGGTTAACTTGCCCAGTGAGAGCTAACTGAACCGATAACTAAGTACGGTCTTGGATCTAGATGAAATTTAATAGCTATTGTATCCCTCATGAAAGTTTGATACAGTGGAACAGAGTTCCCTACTACTGTACCTTAATGTCTTATCGTGTTCTTTCTATAAAGAACGATAAGACATGAATATACATTGTTCTAATTGTGTTTTCAGCTGATCCATTTTGGCGAGAGTTTGAATTAGGAACATCCAAATATCAAGGAAATTTTAAGATAAGGAAGCTCTTAGAAATTCCAGGACCTGAAGAATAGAAGCAAAGATTCAAGCAATAAAGAACTTATCATGTCCAACCATAGCAAATAGAGATGCACAGTTTTGTGATTTCATGGGTTATTATAGACTGTTTATTAATAATTTTGCAAAACTTATCAGACCATTGAACCAATTTGAAGTTGGAATTATTCCGTTTGATGTAACCATGATTTCAACCTTGGATGAATGCAAATAAAAGTGATTTGGGGGCTTCTATTTTAGTTTCACGAACACCAGCAGGTAGATATGTGATTTCAGCCGATGCTTCAGATTATTGTATAGCAGCTATAATTGAAAATTGTAGCAGATTAGGATGAAGCAAATGGGGATATTGTGTAATTATTTCTCCAAACCTATTTCAAAGGCAGATAATTATCCGTCCAGAGGGAAGGAAGTATTAGCGGTAAATGGAAGGTTGAAAAGGTATAAACATTTGCTATTGAATCATCACTTGATAATGAGAACAGACGATCAACTGTAGCAGTTCATTTATAGTACAAGACGAGTGCCTACTGCTAGAAGTCGCTGGATTGATATCCGTAGTCAATTTAGTATTGATTTAGGCTCAGGGAGTTACCATCAAAGCGGATATTTTATCAAGACAATGGGAAAACAATTTTCAAGTCGATATAGTTGCAACATCGGTAGTACAAGTGGATTTAGGATCAAACTTCTTTGAAGGAGTAAAGCTAAAGAATCTGGAAAATGAAGATCCTAGGAAGTTTTGAGGGAAAGGAGAAAAGTTCCAGAATCAATCAATATATAAATAAATTTCACTTTCAAAATGAATTATTATACCATACAGGTACAACACAAATGGATAATGTGATTCCTAGATTAGTTATTCCAACAACTGACTTACAAACGCTAGTTCCAAAATTACATCATGAGGCAGCTTCGGATTTACATCCAGGATTTAGTAACCTATATGGAACTGGAACGCTATTATTATTGGGTCAGGATGTCTAATTTTGCTAAACACTTAGCGTCTCATTCTGTGGTTTTATGGGGTTTTCCTTCCTTTAAGACCAACAGAAAGACGTTGGGAATCGATTACCATGGACTTTATATGAGGATTTCCTTTAGTCAAGAATTGCAGTAATGTGTTGGGTATTGTTGATGGATTTACCAAAGGGACTAGATTCTTGCCATGTGTATCAATTAATTCAGACCAAATTGCTGATTTATTTATTACTCATATTATTCCATTACCTGGGGTACCAAGATAGATTATTGCAGATCAGGACACTAGGTTCAGTTCGAGATTTTGGTTAAAATTCTTCGTTGCATGACGAGTTAAATCAATATTTTCGACACCAGCACGCCCACAGACAGATGGTCAGACTGAAAGGACAAATAGAGCTTTTAGTCAATTGACAAAAGCTTTAACTACAATGGGAATTGATTGGTTGCAAGGTTTGCAACTGGTGGAATTTAGCTATAATTAATCATTATAATCATACAATTAAATTCACTCCTTATGAAGCTGATATTGGTAGAACAATTACACCTCCACATGCGGATCCAAGATTATTTTTGTTGGCAGCTAGACAATTGGTACCTTTTGTTGGGACAGGTTAACGCAAGACTTCTATCTTTGTTGCAATTGCTGATTATTTGAAGGAAGTTACCTTTGCTGGAATTACTAACTATTTTTGAAGAAAGATACTGTTAGACTTTCTAATGATTTGGAAGTTCTGTAGGGAACGCGAGCTTTGTTTTAGTATTGTTGGAAAAAGTATATGCTCTTATTCAATTAGATTTGTGAAACGCATTAACAAATTTGTTTAATTGTTATGCATATTGTTTAAGTTTTATACAAATTACCAATAAATTTGTGAATCTAAAGTTGGTAATTTGACAACACAAGTGTATAGATATACTGTCTTTAATTAACAATTATTCTCGTTAAGATTTTCCTAACTAATTATGTCGACTCCACTTCCTCTTCAAATCCAGGAATCACCTGTTAATAATCAGGGGAAGTGTGTTATTGATTGTTAAATAACGATGTTTTGGGAAGCCATGAAGATACGCATGTTAGTATGGGTTTCTGGATGTTGCTTTACAATTACTTTTCAAACTTTGAATGTATACAGTTAGTCTTAATAGGATTTATATATGTTTGGTTTATTCAAGGTTACCATAAAACTAACTAACTGGCTGAGATATAAAGGAGATTCCTCCTTCTTATATAGTTCTCAAATATCATGTTGCTCAGATGGAATAACTGCAGGAGTTTCCCAAGTGTCATATCTTGTATATTCCTAGCTCTCAGATCCTCTATTCTTGCCATCTTCAATCTCTTAGATCTTCCTTATCTTAAAGCTTGAGCTTTGGAAATTCCTAATTAAATAGTTTACTGTAGACTTGTCTTCTTTTATTTGATATGCACGTTCAGTATATTCCTAAATTTGATTTTCTGATAATCAATTATATCTCTCCTAGTTTTAGGTGTATGCCCTGCTTCCTTAACTCGAATCAGATTATGTATGCACATACAACTATTCTACCTTCCCAACTTTTAAAGTTATTGGTTAATCTTGGGCTGTTTCTTTGTGCCATGTCTTACAAAGATAACTATGTTCATTATTCATTATTCATGAACCTTCCATCATGTCCGGCAATTTTGGTGTCATTAATTGAATCTCATGATGATTCATTTTCAAAATTAGCAACAATCAAATCAAAGAATGAAGTAATATTTGACAACTCAGTTCAAAAAAATTGGCTGCAAAAAAGCACCTGCTAAATAAAACACCTCAAGTATCAAAACTTACACAAAACTGTGTATCCACAGACGCAATAATCCTAACTTTATAGTATCATACCTTATCACTGAAAACACCTCTCTACATTACACCTTGATACTAAGAGAATCCACAAAATTTAGTATCAGAGAGGGTTTATGGATTTTGTGAAGTTTCTCTAAAAAAGTATTTTGCGCTTTTCTGCAAGGTCCCCCCATCAACAGGACGCAGGAAAATAATTGGGCTTGACACAAAATAGTGCAGAAAATGTCGTTTGCTTTTTCATAAACGGGTTCAAATTGGAGCATCCCGAAAAGAGGAGTGATTTAGCCTGTATGAAACATTCAAACACATCTTCCAGAATTAAAAGATACCGGGTCCATTGAATCACACGGCCTGCAAGAGAAGGTGTTAACATGTTAATAGGACAAGTGCTCTTCTGCTTCCTTCAGTAATGAGATATATTCATTTGAGTCTTCAGCTCTCCCACTTTGGGTAACATTATCAAATCAAAAATCATCCGTATCCAAGAGAGCAGCAAAATATCATTTTGTGAAATTTACACTAACACAACTAATATAGACAGAAAGGATGGAGTTTGGGGCTTAAGAGGACCCACTCCAGGAGCCCTAGAATCTAACAAACAAGGTAGTGGAATACAACAGTCACTAAATACGGCAGTAGTCTATCAGAGTAACTATTTTCGCGCGTTATTCATTTGGATCTGACTCCATCCTATCACACCTCTCGATGTTGTTTTAGTAAGTCTGCAATGATGATAAAACTCTAGCAAAGATCTATCTTGGTTGAATTGGAGAATTCTAAAAATAACTAATTTCGTAAACCTTCTAACCTTCGCTCGTAAGTTGTGATAAGCTAAGCCCTTGTTTATTTTTTATTTTTAGAAAGTACCATTGGTAGTATGCTAAGAAAGGTACTTTGCCATAAAAGGATCACCCGTAGGGAATCCAATTGAAGATGCATATAAATAGTCTTAAAATTCTTATTAAGCTGCTACCTCTATTTTCCAATACGTACTAAAATCATAGAATGAAACAGAAATACGATAACAATGACGGTGGTCTAAGTCGCAATGACTTGCCGCCAACTGACGCAGAAGCAACGGCTACTGGTGGACGTTATGTTCCTGCCCCACAATCCGTACCATCAACACATCTCCCGCAGCGAAATCCACCTGCCCATCAACCTGCAGATTCTGAAAAACCGGCTCAACCATCATCTGCAGCACCACCACCGACCAAAACACGGCCACAAGCTGTTTATCGCAAACCTTCGGCAGGTCGTTTATCTACTGGTAAGGGCTTCTTTTTAGAAATGGCAAGGTATGTCGACATTGTTGGGATAAATTGCATGTAAAGACAAATGCATATAATCCTAATCCATCATTACCTTTCAAATATCCTATAAAATATTATTGTAAGAAATGTACTAATACGGGGCAACAAAGACTGGTCTATCATGTCAAGAATGTTTATATACTCAAAGAAATACATGTATGCGTATTCTTCTAGCTACTCAAGAAATCCCGCCGGGAGATGTTCGATCAAGGGGGGTTGTGTGTGGAAGATGTCGTCGGATTGGGATGGTTAGATTCTGTTCGGGTAGGGAATTTTGTCCTATATGTGATGGATTGGATAGGATTCTTACTGTTCCACCATAGAATGCCAGCACGAGTTCGTTCTACCTTCCACCTCCACGGACGCTGTATTGTTATGGAAAGATATAGATTTTGCAGTTTTAGTATTTTGTCTTGATATAGCTTGTTATAATTAAGAGTCGATGAGTTGCACAAAGAAATAATTAATTACTCTCTTCTGCTAGTTACCCCGAGTAGGATCTAGTTGGTTTGAGTCCTGGTTGCCAACTGTGTATTAACATAAACTACATTGATTAATCCAACTCACCCTAGCTAAATCGTAATTCGTGTCTCCCATTCTTCGAAGCTACCAATCACTACAGTTTCACTCTCAAAACGAGCTAATGCCCCCGAATAGACAAGTTCAAACCAATCCCGTTGTTCGCCGGAAGTCGCGTAGTCCTTGCGATTTTACGCTTTGTATGGTTAGTGTCCCATTGTTATGGCCCCGGGTGACTCAATTTTGTAAAGAAGTGGTTTTACCGATGCAACGACCAGAGAAGTGTAATATTTTCTTGTCCGCGAACAGAAACGCAACCATGATTGGATAAAATATAAATAAATGAGGTGCATTTTCTTTAAGAGGGGGGGTTTCTCACATCCGTGGAAAATGTCGATATCAATTTGATATTTAATTTCAGAAGTTTGAGCTCAGCATACTTTCTCTGTGAGATTTTCACTAAAAATTAGGGAAATTAGATGTCATTGTTTTTCTAATCATGGATATCAAAGTGGGACAGGCTCCCGATAGTGGATCATTTTGCCAAGTCGTTCTTGTTACAAAGATGACGACATCGTTATTTAATGTGGGGGAATGGTATGTAGCACGGTGGTTCCACAATTATTTTATAACGTTGTAAGTAGTGTACTTTGCTCTAATAATAACCACTTACGAGCCTAATTTTTAATCCCGGAGTTCGGAAACGGACAATGGAATTTTTGACAGAGAAAAAAAAAACTTTTCTTTTTATATATGATCTGTATTTCTTCTTTTTTTTTATTTTGCAATTCATTCATCTTCCGCCCACCCAAAGACTTCACTGTCTCTTGTTTGGACGATAACAACAACTAGAACCAACCATGCCAACCATCTTCCACAGATATAACCAAGTTCTCAAATTATATCCCTTCCGTACAAACATGATTACGACAGGGATATTCTTTGGTGCCGGTGATATTATTGCACAATCCTTTTTTCCACATAAGACCATCCACACTGAAATTACTGAAAGAGGTGATACAAGAGAAGTTGAAATAATTTCTGAATATGCATATCCTAGAACATTAAGAGCAATGATATATGGATCATTAGTGTTTGCACCTATAAGTGTATTATGGCATGGTAAGACATTGCCAAAGATTAAGAATCCTTTTATAAGTTTATTCCGGAGAAATAAAATGCATGAAAATCCAAAATTAAGAAAGAGATTACATTTTTATGATACTGTTTTTAGATTAGGATTAGATCAATTAATCTTCCCCGGGTTAGTTTGGATTCCATTATATAATACAGTAATGGTTACTTTGGCATTACATGAAAACCCTTTGGATGTTGTTAGACAAAAATTACAAAATAATTGGTGGAATGTGTTGAGAGCTAGTTGGACCGTTTGGCCGGGATTCCAATTATTTAATCTTTATTTTATTCCTGTTCATCTTCGAATTGTATGTCTGAATATATGGGCAACCGGTTGGAATGCATTCTTAAGTTTTGTTCATAATACAAAGGGTCATGGAAAGGGAAGTGGTCATAAGCTTGAAGAGTTGGTTGACATTGAAGATGATCAACAAGAGATTACAATGGTTTATGACTAATTTTTCAAAAGTGGGACAACCATTAAAAAAAAACCGTTTTTTTGTTTTGTAGTGCGAAACTCAAATGACGGATAAACGGTTCCACACACCGCAAGCAAAGGAAAAAAAAAGAAGATAAGAGACTATTCATCCCGCAATGAGGAAAAGCTCATCCCTTTTTCTTATTCTTTCAGTAAAACCCACATCAATTATAGAAGAGAAAAACTTATAGAAAAGCATGTCAAGTATATTTGCAAAGTATAACCAATTACTATTAAAGCGTCCATTAGCTACTAATATGATTAGTACTGGATTTTTATTAGGTACAGGGGATTTTATTGCTCAAACTCTTTTCCCCCAAGAACCAGATCAACCATTTGATTATTTAAGAAATTTACGAGCAATAATATATGGATCAATAATCTTTGCCCCAATTGGAGATAAATGGTATAAATTTTTGAATAATAAGATAAAACTGCCATTTAAGAATGTTGGTAAAAAAAGAGAAAAGTCAATTGCAACTTTATTAAGAGTATCTGTAGATCAATTAGGGTTTGCACCCTTTATTGGTATCCCCTTATATTATAGTTCAATGACAATATTAGAAGGTAAAACCCCAATAATTGAAAGTATAATGGAAAAATTTGAAACTAGTTGGTGGATTACTTTAAAAGGTAATTGGTTAGTATGGCCTATATTTCAATGGTTTAATTTTTATTTAATACCTGTTCAATTTCGATTATTTGCAGTTAATATTATAAGTATAGGATGGAATACTTATTTAAGTTATGTAATGCATAATAAATAAATATCATCGATAATTTACAGCGAGGCATTCCGTGCAGTAGATTTTGATTTGTCTTTTTGATACTTATCTTTAGTATTGTTTAGAGACGTAAGAGAAGGGAATTGGCTTAGCTTTCTAGAAATCTGAAGAATAAAAGGATTACCTGGAGGTTGGTCGTTTAACTAAGTAGTGTGACTTCCGTAATTGGATTATATACTTCAATTCCGAAGACAAAGAAGAACGTACAGACTCTCCTGTTGGTGATGCCAACATGTCCACATATATAAAATACTCCTTAGAAGTTGGCAATAGATTGCGATTATCTAGGAGGATTGTTTTTGTTTTTGATTTGGCTGTGATGTTTTTTTTTCAGGTAATTTAGCATGCAACCATTTTCCTAATTGAATCAATCACTTGACAATAACTTACCCCACACACCTCTTGCTGGTTCATGAATATTTACACAATTGAAAAGACATTTTAACTATTAGTATAAAATAGTAAAACAGTAATTATATAAAGAAATCAACAGTAATTCAGAAAACATAGTAATATGACGCAATCTTACATTGATAAAAGTTATTGGCGTCGTTCTTTCTACAATGTTGTATTCTAAAAATCTTTCTGGTTACTGAATTTCTATATGCAGTACAGTATTCCACTCTAATCCAAAAACTATGTATAATTATATTCTTGGGTAACATCTAGTCTATATATAAATGAATGATATAATACTGGCGATGTTTCTCTTCTTGTTTATTTGCCAATAACATTTAGTGGTATTATGTTTACTTCAATGTAGTGCTGGTGATGGCGGAGTACAGTATGTAATATAAAATTTAAAAAAATTTCAAACAACACGCACAAAACCCAATTGAAGCAAAAAAAAAAAGTCAACACACTTTTCTTAACTTTTTACTCTTACTAGTCTCTTTTTTAAAGTTCAAGAACCCCATAAATAAAACTTACAACACATTTTGGTTAAGAATACTTTAACAAAAAGTATACATTCATCAACAACCTTATTATAATACAATTTCATTTCTATATCAATTTCTGATATATTGATTTATTATTAATCATTTAATTAATTTCAAATAGATTTAACAATTTTATTTAATTTTTATAACATTCAGACAATTTTTCAAAAGAGAGAGAGATACAGTTAATAATTTTATTTATTTATTTATTTATTTATTATTTTTTTTTTTTTGGTTTTTCCATTTTTGATTTAAACACTACAACACATTTTTAATTAACGTTGAGATTTTTAAATTATTTACTAACTACGACTTTAATTAATCAATCAATCAATCAATCAACTGCAACAGTAAAACATATCCCCCAAATTAAAACAATCATTTTCAGTTTCATCCCAGTTCACACAGTTCACATACACCCTCTACTGCATTTAATATCCCCTTCACACTACACCACTCCCTTAAGAATATAGAGACTACTACCACCACCACCACAACAGATTCCCCTTATTATTTATTTGCTTGTTCATATTATTATTAAAGATGATGAAAGGTTTCAAGAATAGACTTACACGAAACAAAAGTCAATCTTCAAGTAAAAAGTCAGATAAAAAATCAGATAAAGATAAAGAAAAGGAAAAAGACAAAGATAAAAGACTGTCTTCTCCAAGTTCAATGGGAAATAATAATAATAGTTCTAAAAGCTTATTAAGTCAATCTAGTTCTTTAAAATCAACAACAACTAGTGCGTCTCCTAATACCTCAAGAACTAGTAGCACAAATAGCTCGGTGAAATCTGTTGCTAGTAATACAACTGGTCCTTCGTCTCCCCAAGCACTGCCAACACATGAATCTCCCAAGATTCTCCTAAATGACGAAAACGCGACTAACATGTTTGATGGCTCCAATCCACAACAACAACATCCCCACCTACACCAACAACAACAACAACCGCAACAGCAACCAGTTCAGTCACAACCGCATACTCAAACATCAATGGTTCAAGCTGTATTATCTCCAAATAAACCAAATGTTGTACCTGGACATGTATTTAATGGAGGATCTAGTATAGGTCAACAAGCTTTACCATTCACTCCAACACCAACTTCTCCATTGACTTCGTCATCTACAATCGCAGCAACAGCTAACCACCCTACCCCTTCAGTCTCATATGAAATCGGTAAAGCGCATCATAGTCAACAAGGTGCTCAAACTCATTTCCAATTAACTCCAAATATTTCATCTCCAAACAAAGATCTCATTGATATTGACTTAATAGTTGCACCAAAAAGACATTCCTCTTCTAGATTTGAACCTCCAAGTAATGATAGATACCATGAAATAGTCAAATTACCAAACTTTGATGAAGTATTACCAGAAGATCAAATCCCATTGTTTATACAAAAAATTGATCAATGTAATGTCATGTTTGATTTTAGTGATCCTACTTTTGATATTCGAGGTAAAGAAATTAAAAGGATAACATTACAAGAATTAATTGCGTTTATATCAAATAATAGATTCGCTTATACTGATGAAATGTATAAACATGTTGTTACTATGTTTAAAAAGAATTTATTCCGTCCAATTCCTCCACCAGTGAATCCAGTTGGAGAATTATATGACCCTGATGAAGATGAACCAGTTAGTGAATTAGCTTGGCCCCATATGCAAGCCATATATGAATTCTTTTTACGATTTGTTGAACTGCCTGATTTTCAACATCAAATTGCTAAACAATATATTGATCATGAATTTATTTTAAGAATTTTGGAATTATTTGATAGTGAAGATCCAAGAGAACGTGATTGTTTAAAAACTACATTACATCGTATTTATGGGAAATTTTTAAGTTTAAGAAGTTTTATTAGAAAATCAATAAGTAATGTATTTTTACAATTTGTATATGAAACTGAAAGATTTAATGGTATTGGTGAATTATTAGAAATTTTGGGATCGATTATTAATGGGTTTGCATTACCGTTAAAGGAAGAACATAAGTTATTTTTGGTTAGAGTTTTAATGCCATTACATAAAGTGAAAAGTTTGTCATTATATCATCCACAATTAGCTTATTGTGTTGTTCAATTTTTAGAAAAAGATCCTACATTGACTGAAGATGTCATTATGTGTTTATTACGTTATTGGCCTAAAATCAATAGTCCAAAAGAAGTTATGTTTTTAAATGAAATTGAAGATATTTTTGAGGTTATGGAACCAAACGAATTTGTCAAGATTCAAATCCCCCTTTTCGCTCAATTAGCTAAATGTATAAGTTCTCCTCATTTCCAAGTTAGTGAAAAAGTATTATGCTATTGGTCAAATGAATATTTCTTAACTTTAATTACTGAAAATGCTGAAGTTGTATTACCAATAATTTTCGCTTCATTATATGAATTAACTAATTCAACCCAACCAGGAATTGAAAATGGAATCATGCAACAAAAATTATCCCAACATCCAAATGCAACAGTTGACGCCAATGGAAATCTAATTGATAATGGATTAGTATTACAAGATTTACAACAAGGTATTATTCCAAGTTCAAATGACCCCAACCACCCTCATTATAATATATTCCAAGTTCATGCGTCAATAAACCCCAACCACCCCCATAACAACCCCAACAACCTCAATTCCCCAACTCAAGAAAGCGTACACACCCATACCGATCTCAACGGGAATGAATTAACCGATGATGAATACTATGACCTGTTCAACGCCATACATAACACCAATACCACCGGAGGTATGGATGAATATGGAGCTGGAGGAGGATATGGAGATGATGCTAATAATTTATTACAACATAATTCCGCCACTTCTAATTGGAATAGAAGTATTCATTCATTGGCATATGGGGCATTAAAGGTGTTTATGGACCATAATCCGATCTTATATGATCATTGTACTGTGTTATATCATCAATCATTGAAGGAACAACATGAGAGAGAGATTGCGAGAAAAGAAGGTTGGAAGAGGATTGAGGCTATTGTGAAGAGGATTAAGGAGAAGGAATCGTCACCAAAAGATAATAATAATGATGCGGTGATGATAATGGAGGAAGAAAAGAAGGATACGAATTCTATAAATATGGAGGACGAGGGGGAGGACCAATGAAGCAGCACTGTTTATTGTGTTATGTAAAGTTGTTTTATGGGTACGTTTTGTTTTATTAGTGAAAGAGATCTTGTTTGTTTTGTTTTTTTTTTAGTTTTTTGTGATTATATATTTATGTTTCTTAATTATATATATATAGTTTTAGCCGTTTTTTAAAAATTTGTTTAGTTTGAATTATTCATTATACAATTAAGTATTAGAATCTCTGATTAGTTAGTCTCTGGGAGTGGGTGATTTCCTTTGGATTCTGCCTGGAATTGTGAGCCGCCTAAGCAACGAGAAAGGAACATCTGTTAGAGTCTAATTATATTGAAATTGGCAATCCAGACATACTAGTCTTGAAGGTGCTTTTAATTGACAATTTTTAGAAATTACAATAACTTGAATATTTATTCATTCATTGGGTTCATATTTTCTTTCGGAAACCGATTTCCTTTTTGGGACTTGGCCAGGATTTCTCCCAAACCTACCATAAATACAATTGGTAGCACCCAAAATAATTAAGCGCTGCTATGTCGTTGTATTTTCATACTTCCGACTCTCTGAAATATGATTATCCATTAACAAACACCTCTGTTGATTCAGGATTAACAGACACTCTTTCTGATCATACATGTAAGCAGTAGTTTTAAGAAAAAGTGTCTGCATAATTCCGGAATTATGCAGTTCTGTGATTTGGCTGCAAATAATTAAATGTCGCATTCTGAAGTTTATCATATTCCCCCAACAATCTCTGCATCGATGCCACAAATTGTTAAGATCATAGCGGATTTATGCATGGAAGTCTGCAAGAGTTTCAGGGGATATCAGCAATACACAAAAGCGTTTTCGCAAAAAATGCATTGAAGATATGCTAAACTTCAATTACTATTATACAGACTATAATCTACACCACCAGTTTTAGTATCTTATCAAATTGTTGCACAGGCTGATTATGAAGATACCGCCTATAGTAAGGTTATTAAAGAAACGGACCAAGCGGTTCAAAAAAATGATGAATTATACCGTCCAGTTACAGAAAAGAGAAGTGCCAGGAATTTGGAGAAATAATAATACACTGTCTAGCATACAATGTAAAAGATCTTCACTTCTTCATCTTGTTTAACCTCCCTAATATCTGAAATACGCAGCTGTGTATTCACATCAAAAACCACTTCTACTTAAGAACAAACTACTAAATAATCTTGACTACTAATTCCTCCTCGATTGTAGCAATGGCTCATGCTCAGTTTGCGACGATGTTGACTTACCCTTAATACCCGTAAATACACTCACAGAAACTAAAACACCAGAAATTACAAACGCAAAAATCCATTGAGGTCCAAACAACTTCGTTGAAGACTGATCAATCCCCAAAGCTGCCATTAACAATGAAGTACCTGCCCCAGTTGTCCAATCTTTAAACTTCAAAACAAAGAATAATCCAAATGACAAAAATGCCCAAATGGAGATATTACCAAGTATCGTTGTCCATTGATTGTCTGGACAAGGACACAAAAGTGACCCATTCCACATAATGGCAAAGACGACCCATGATAAGGGACATGATAAGACAGTAACATGGAGTAAAAACATATCGGAGAAGAACTTATGGCCATATGTTTTCTGACGGGAGAACATTTCTAACAAATTAATCAAATTCAATAGGAGAATTAATTCTGCAAATATGAAATATTGATTGATAAATAACATAGTCCAGACATAGTGTAAGATATTAAATATTGGGAAATGCCACCCGGAATCATAAATCATAGATATACGTCTTTCATTGGCTATGAATGAAGCAATGGTTAATCCAATTTGTCTAACGTAGATAAGAAACCAATACAGAGTTAACACTAAAAAGTGTGGTGTGAATGGTGTATGTGTCGTATTGGGATTTTTGTAGTACATGATACTACCGCATAGCGATAATGATAAGGAAATCGTGCTTATGGCACGGTATAAATGCAAATTACCTTGTGGATATGACATCTTTCGTTGTATAATAAATACAATTTAGATATTCCAAAGTCAATTATTCGAGGAATTTATATACCTAGGCTCGTGACCTTAGAGGAGCTTAAAGGTGTGGACCAGGGAATGAGTTAAAATTCATTTTTAACTTTAATGTTTGCGAGGGGAACAGAAATTTGCGATTGATTGAACTGCTTAGTTTAAGAACTTGAACGAATTGAAGAGGAGCTATGCTGCAAATTTAATATCGGGGAATTGTAATTTTAGATTTGGTTGCAAAGATCCGACTCCTAAGAACCGAGCATCGAACAGTTTGAAAATTTTGGTGAGGATCAATATTTTAATATGTTCTTCCCCGTCAGTCTAGCAGCCAATGCACTTGGAAAATGGTTTATATGCTACAAGCGTTCTAAGAACCTCGACAATTGTCTTCGGTTGGTAAAACAACACTATAATTGATAGATTTATGAACGTCAAAAAACAAATATCCTTTGAAAGTCCAGAAACAATAGTTCCAAAGAATTGTCTTCAAATATACAACCAAAGAACTGATTGGCCGCTTATGCTCTTGACTCGGCAGTCAAATACCACTCCCAATTCAACAATTCTACTTAAACAATTTTCAACAGGTTTGTTCAAGCTCCTGGTAATAAGGGTTCCCTCTCAGCTGGTGATGGTTCACACAAACTAATGATAAATGCAAATACACTTAAACCGAATAGAACACCTGAAATGACAAATGCAAATATCCACTGAAGGGCAAATAACTTAGTTGCCAATTGTCCAAACCCTAAAGCAACCATCAAATAGGACATAGTTAACCCGATTGTCCAATCTCTAAACAAATAAAGGAATATCACCCCAGCAAACAAGAAGTCCCATATAAAAACATTAGCAAGGATCCTTGCCCATAATTTGTCTTCAACGTGACACATGACGGCGCCATTCCACATAATGGCATAAAAGACCCAAGATAAAGGAATTGAGACAACTGGGTGGATCAAAACCCAATTATAAAATGGTCTGAGGGCATAAGTCTTATAATTGAAATACATGGCTAATAAATTAAATAAATTCAATATGAGGAAGAATTCAGCAGTTATGAAATAATGGTTAGCAAATGATTCAGCCCAAAGATAATGTAAGATATTAAATAAGGAGAAATTCCAACCTAATTCGCAAATTATAGTTGCGCGCTCTTCATCCTGGATGAATGAAACAATAAGGAAGATTATCTGCTGCAAGTAGACGACAATCCAGTATATTGATAATAACAAGTAACTGGCAGTAAATGGGGTATTTGTTTCATTTGCATTATGAGCGTAGTAAATACTTCCATAAAATGACAATAATAAAGTAATTATGAATATTGCACGAAATGCATTTAATTGATCTTGTAAATATGACATTATTCTTATATATTGTATTAACCTATACCGTTGATAGTAGAATGACGCGACAAACCCTTGTTATGTTTATAATTTACTTTGACATTACTTTACCAATTTTTGGGGCCTCATCATGGAATTGAAATAAAGGTGGGGAAAAATATTTGATAAATTAAGGGGCAATTTGTTCAACCAACGTAAAATTTGTGAAATAACCACGAGTTGCTTAAATATTGATGCAGAGTTCTGTTAACGAGTATATCTTGGAAAACTGATCTTGGAATTGAATGCTTTTATATCTTCTGATTTCTGGAGCATTGCTGGCATTGTCAGGGAAGCAATCCGCTCTATTTTAGAATGAAAATTTATTTTTTAACAAGCACTGTAGCAAAATTTTGCAACCTTGCGCACAAGTTATTTACAAGTAATCGACAAGAATATGCAAACAAAAAGCAGGTCTTCAATCCTTGTATATGTATTGTTAGTTTCCCCAGTACTGTGGCTAGGATAAGACGATTATTTAGCAAGAGTCACCCTTCAAAGAATGACAGAATCCTTAAGATTAGCAACAGATCTTATATGTTGATCCTAGTAGAAACATGGGATGCTATATCCAATGTCCCAAACCTTATATTTGAAGGATTTACTACCTCCATTGTCTCCTCAGTCGTTAGGACAAAATGTCTGCTACCAAACCTTAACGTTTACCATGAAAATCAACACCAGCCGTCGGATAGAAGTGGTCTTTCAACTGTAATTGTCCGCTTTCCGACTATGTCACCAGTCAATTTGTCATTTTCATTCACTTGTCAGTTGGTTGGCAGGATATGTTTCCAACCCGGAATTAATTCAATCCGGAATTAATCCACCCAAACAACCAATCTCCGGATGACATAGAAATATTTTTCATGTTCGGATTTTCTTTTTTTTTTTTTTTTTTTTTTACATTATGGATTTTTGATTTATAATTTCCCCGTGACTGCCTATTTGGGTAATCTCCGAACCAGGCAGCTAGGAAATACGGCCGCAAAATTTGAACCGTTTCCAAGTACAAATATCTTTCAATTTGCAACCAAATATCACAATGTTTTTCTCATATCCCCAATACAATACAATAAAAATCAAATCAATTCAATTCAGACCAACAAAATCTTAAAAATGTCTTCCACTACAGTCTTTGTTTCCGGTGCCAATGGTTTCATTGCTCAACATGTTGTCAAACAATTACTCACCAAAGGGTATTCCGTAGTTGGTACTGTCAGATCCGCCACCAAAGGTGAATGGTTAAAACAATTAACCAACTCCAATAGATTTTCTTTTGAAGTTGTCTCCGATATCAGTGCTGAAGGAGCCTTCGATCAAGCATTAAAGAGACACCCAGAAGCTACCGTCTTTATACACATGGCTTCTCCTGTTTCCTTTTCTGTCAACGATATTGAGAATGAATTACTCCAACCTGCAATCAAGGGTACCAAGAATGCTCTTAAAGCAATCCATGAGCATGCTCCTCAGATCAAGCGAGTGGTTGTCACCTCATCGGCAGTAGCTGTCTTCCATTGGGGTAAGACCAATGATTATGAAAAGATTCATACTGAATCAGATTGGAATCCAATCAGTTATCAAGAAAGTTTGGAAAACTCCTACTTTGGTTATTTTGGTTCTAAGAAATTTGGCGAACTATCAGCTTGGGAATTTGTGGATGAGGTGAAACCTAATTTTGACATCTCATTTGTGAATCCTTCGTTTGTTTTTGGTCCGCAAGCTTTTGAAATTAAGGATAAATCTCAATTAAACTTGTCTGCCGAAGTCGTGAATTCTGTTGTGAAATTAGGTAGACAAGATAAGATCCCAGAGGTTGTTGGTACTTTTGTGGATGTGAGGGATGTTGCCAGAGCACATATCTTTGCATTTGAAAGCGATAAGGCGATTAATAAGAGATTCTTATTAGCGAGTGAGAAGTTCTCGAATGAGAAGATTGCTTATTTGATAAATGAGAAATTCCCCAATTCAAGGGTTCCAAAGGGAGATTTGGACAAACATGTTAGACAAATCAAGAAAGAATTCAATGTTGATACTTCTAAAACTAGAGAAATTCTTGGATTTGATTTCTTGGGAATTGAACAATCAGTTTTTGATACTACTGAGCAAATCTACGCTGCTAGCTAGTTGAATATTGTTATAGATATTTCAAATATGTACCATCATAGTTTACAATAAGTATAAAATTGAAATTATAGAAATCAATCTCTTAAAGTCGTCTATTTCAATCTTGTATCCTCTTTCTTTAGAAAGTAATCTGAGTTCTGACATAATTTCTGGGTTTGTTTCTTCTGGGATTGTGTCCTGCAGCGGATGCCTAGTCAATGTCAAATATAAGGAGTTCGGAGCAGATGCTAGTAAGAGAAAGTAGAATTGTCATTTATTAAAATCAATATATTAATCTGGTAATCAAGGGAACAGCAGACTACCAAACAGAGTAGCTATATAATAGTCATAAGAATTTAAATAAATCATCCAATCGTCGTCATCATTATCATTGCATCACATACTAGTTTTAAACAAAACCAACCATACCAAAGAACTCCATAAAGAAATGATTTCAATCATCCCAAAGGCACTAAACACCTCCGCCTCCCAACAATGGATCTCTTTCAGGCTCGGAGCGTTCACCCCAACGCCTAATCAACACGAATACACTCAAGCATAATAAAACTCCGAAGATAACAAAAGCAAATATCCATTGAAGGCCAAATAACTTTGTGTCTACTTGTCTTATCCCAACTGCCAACATAAAATAAGCAGTACTTCCAGCAGCTGAAAAATCTCTAAACCAATAAAGCACAGCTAATCCATATACGAAGAAGACCCAAATAAAAACATTGGCAAGGATTCTGGCCCATAATTTGTCTTCAAGATGAAACATAACATCCCCATTCCAGAATAAGGCATATATGACCCAAGATAATGGAATTGAAGCAATGGTGAAATGAAGAAAGTACCCGTCGGTCAAAGGAGCATGGGTGTAAGTCTTATGTCTGGAATACATTCTTATCAAATTAAATAAATTGAATACAAGGAATAATTCAGCAAGTATATAATACTGATTAATAAATGATTCAGCCCAAAGATAATGCAAAGTGTTAAAGACTGGGAAATGCCATCCTACTGCAATGATCGTTTCAAGACGAGTCTCATTGACAATGAATGTTGCAATGGTTAAGCCGAATTGTCTGATGTACATAAGAACCCAAAAAAGAACTAACAAAATGTAATAGGACGTGAATGGAGTTTCGGGTTCAAACCGGTTATGGGCATAATGGATACTCCCATAGAGAGATAAAGCTAACGTGATAACGCTGATTGCTCGATATGCGTTTAATAAATCTTGTGAATATGCCATCTTTCCTATATAATGTATAAAGTGTACTAGATGTTCTAAAGAACAAATAATTGAAGAGGGGGGGTTATTCCGTTTTTATACAAGTTTAGGGAGGGGCAGATCGTTTAAATATATTCGGGTGTAAATTTTGATGACCTAAAACTCAAAAATGGTCACTGTCTGCAACCGCCAAAATCACCGCGTTACAAGTAAACATTAACTTGTAGTAATTATATCCTTTTGTAATTGACATATTGAGACATGATCATGCTTAGATATACTACAACTGTATAGGGTGAGTGATGCGTTCAGGGACTGATTCATAACCATTAAATATATATTTTTTTTGTTTGGTTGCAGAAACAATTTTGCAACTTCATACAAAAACTTACTCACAGAGAAAATGAAAAGCTACAGATAATCAGCGCATTATCAAAGCCATTTAATGAGTTCCCCTCCTTATCTCATATGAATCCTCATAACAACATCTTCTTATATTCTTGACCGACTTGTAACACGTGTGTATAAAACTGATTCTGCATATGTTAACAAACCTAAATGTAAAAGGCTTTTCCTGTCTGAAACAAACAATCCTTTCGATTTCTCCACATTTCGTAGATAATGATGTAATCCAAGAAATAGGGTCCGGAGACACACTCTTGAACAGATTGGTTGTACACTGTTTTAGGATCTTACCTACTAAATAGGCTTCGATCATATTCTATAGATTCCACACATTAATCTACATCAAGATCTTTTACCTTGTAACTCAAATGTTCAATTGAAGATAGATTCCAGTAGTTGTGGCTGCAGATATATGGAAAAATTGGCTAATTGCCAGCATGTTCCTTCTGCAAAGTTGTAGTTCTTTCCTGCAAAAAAACTTGCATCCAAAAAAAGAGGTATTACCCGCCCTTTTGCCTTCGAAGCCAAATAAAAAGGGGCGAAAAAAATTGGTTGCCAAAGTTCTAATTTTACATTCTTTTCTTCTTCATTTAATTACACTTCATATTGAAAATGTATGTTAAATCCTTACAGTTTCCTTTAATCATTTAAAGATTGTCTTGAATGATGAAATCACTTCCTCGATTTGCAATGCTTGAAACCTAATATTCCATGTAAGATATAGAAAGAACCGCTACACTGACTTTAATACCCAATCTTTTTCCCAATTAAAAAGATGATAAGGAAACAATTTTGAGAGAAATTCTGAGGTACTAACTTTATTAAAGCTTTTGGTTTGTTTACTGTTCAAATTTTGGATCAAAATCTTTGTGATGTCTAACCGTGGTTCTGATCTCATTGGTGTGACCGAGCTGAACATGTGCTTAATGCAGTTGAGATTAAACCTCAATTAATCACACGTTTCGTTACCATTGAGTAGGGGCTGCATTTAGATGTCATGAGGTTTTTGATATAACTAAATTATTAAACCTTTTGCTGCTCAAATTTTTTTTGAATCAAAATCTGTGTGACGTGTAACCGTGGTTCTGATCTCGTTGACTGCCCAAGCGTAACGTGTGACTAATGTAGCTGAGATTAAAACCTCGATTAATCACATGTTTCGTTGCCATTGAATTAGAACTGCATTTAGATGTCATGAGGATTTTGATATAACAAAGCTTTTGAACAGGTTGACTCGTGAGCTGTTCTGAATCGAAGTATTTGTAGCGTCTACCTATAGCTCTGAGTTCCATGGTACATCGACGAGAGGAAGGCGCGGTGAAGTTAGTTGAGGGTAAAATCTCAACTAACTACGTCGTCCGTTATCCTGAAGTTGAGCGTCCACGATGATTTTGATTTGAGACCTGATTTCACAAACTAGATTAGTGTTCAAAATTTCTGAATAATATATCGTCCCTTAGCCTATAAAGATTATATATCGAGACTGCTTTGGATTTGGCAGGCTCACTAAGCATACGATGGAGAGACCTCCTATAATCTACGGATTTATTCAATCAGGTGGGGAGGTAATCGCCAGATATCATCTCAACCTAAATTTCTCTTTCTAAAGCATGGTCCCTTTTGTAGTTTTAGTGTAGAAATTTTCAAAAAGCACGCGATGTCGGCCATCGGTTGTTTCGAGAGCTCTGAAGACTACAAGCTATATCACCTCGATATCTTATACAGGTTTCAATAATGTAGTGATGTCCGAGAGCCGCCATTATATTCGGTTGCAGATTGTTGATATATCATCTCGTGAGTTAAATAATGGATTACATAATCAAATTGTGGCTGATTATGTAATCCTATCTAATAAAGTTTTTTTTTTGTTTGACTTCGCATGTCATCGCGATGAATTGAAATTTTTTTTTTTTCACTGGCAGTGGCAATGGTTGCATTATAAATGAATTACAAATCCAATTTTTTTTTTCAACTTTCTTTTTCTTACTTCTTTTCCTGGCAAAGTCTGCCCCTTTCATAAGGTATTATCTTTAACTTCTATATACATATAAACAAACACATACAATGGTTTTAGACACTGCTTCTGCTACTTCTTATTTAAAGAATTATTCTGAAAAAGATGGTTTATCAGTTCAAGAATTAATTGATTCTAATAAATTTGGTGGATTAACATATAATGATTTCTTAGTTTTACCAGGATTGATTTCATTCCCATCTTCTCAAGTTAGTTTAGATTCTAAATTGACCAAGAAGATCACTTTAAAATCTCCATTTGTTTCATCTCCTATGGATACTGTCACTGAAGAAAATATGGCTATTCATATGGCTTTATTAGGTGGTATTGGTATTATTCATCATAATTGCACTGCTGAAGAACAAGCTGATATGGTTAGAAAGGTTAAGAAGTATGAAAATGGTTTCATTAGTGATCCAGTTGTTATTTCTCCAGAAGTCACTGTTGGAGAAGTTAAAGAAATGAAGAGACAATTAGGATTCTCTTCTTATCCAGTTACTGGTATGTTATTTTTTTTTCTTAATTTAAATTGTTTTGTTGATATATGACTGTGTCCATATCCACTACACTTACCTGATGATTTCCTTTTTCATTAATAACTTTCGTTCTACCGAATATTACATCAAACGATGTTGAGGAGAAACTATATTCTGAATTGTATTTGATTATCAACAAACATAGTTTTTTCAAAGTGATGACTTTTTATACTAACTTATTTTTGTTTTAGAAAACGGTAAACTTGGTGGTAAATTAGTTGGTATTGTCACTTCCCGTGATGTCCAATTCCACGAAGACGATTCTGACAAGGTTTCTGCCGTCATGACCACTCAATTAGTCACTGGTCAAGAAGGTATTACTTTAGACCAAGGTAATGAAACCTTAAGAACCTCTAAAAAGGGTAAATTACCAATTATTGATGCTCAAGGTAATTTAGTTTCTTTGATTTCTAGAACTGATTTACAAAAGAATCAAACTTATCCATTAGCTTCTAAATCATTCCATTCTAAACAATTATTATGTGGTGCTGCGATTGGTACTATTGAAGCTGATAGAGAAAGATTAGATAAATTAGTTGAAGCTGGTTTAGATGTTGTTGTTTTAGATTCTTCTAATGGTTCATCTGTTTTCCAATTAGATATGATTAAATGGATTAAATCCAAATATCCAGAATTACAAGTTATTGCTGGTAATGTTGTTACTAGAGAACAAGCTGCTTTATTGATTGAAGCAGGTGCTGATGGGTTAAGAATTGGTATGGGTTCTGGATCTATTTGTATTACTCAAGAGGTTATGGCTTGTGGTAGACCACAAGGTACTGCTGTTTACAACGTTACTGAATTTGCCAACAAATTTGGTGTTCCATGTATTGCTGATGGTGGTATTGGTAACATCGGTCATATTACCAAAGCTTTGGCTTTAGGTGCTTCTTGTGTTATGATGGGTGGATTATTAGCCGGGACTTCTGAAACTCCAGGTGAATACTTTTATAGAGATGGTAAGAGATTAAAGACTTATAGAGGTATGGGATCTATTGATGCTATGCAACAAACCAAACAAAATGCTAATGCTTCTACTTCAAGATATTTCTCTGAAGCTGATAAAGTTTTAGTTGCACAAGGTGTTTCTGGTGCTGTTGTTGATAAAGGTTCTATTACCAAGTTTGTTCCATATTTGTTCAATGGTTTACAACATTCTTTACAAGATATTGGATTACAATCTGTTGAAGAATTAAGGGCTAAGGTTGATTCTGGTGATGTTAGATTTGAATTTAGAACTGCGTCTGCTCAATTTGAAGGTGGTGTTCATGGTTTACATTCATATGAAAAGAGATTACACAATTAAACGTGTTTTGTCTCTATTCATTAAGTATGTAAAAACTTGTCATTTAGTCTTTTAATTGTTATGTGTCAATGCATATAAAAAAAGTTAAATGATAATACTTAGTTTAGTATGTAAATCTCAGATGTGTATTTTTAGTTAATAAAAGGATTTGTTTTTCTTTAAAGTTCTGTAGTGTGAGTTTCAGTCTAGTAACATTACACGACATTACCAACAGAGTAGGGTAAGATCTACAAGTCAATTGATAAATAGAATAGAATAGAGTACGCAGCATGAGTTACAGTAGACATAATCAACCAACGAAATATGATCAAGAAGCATCAACTAATATTGATATGGATCTAAAGATTTCAAGAACATCAAAATATGAAAAGAATCAACTAGAAGTCAAACAATATTTATACGATATAATAACACCTACATATCCTGATCTCTTTACTAAGAAGTTCAGTATAGATAATGTCAATGGATTATCTACAATTGATTTAATGGAAATGTTAAAAGATGGTGAAGTCTTATGTAAATTAGGTTCATTAATTCCCATCCCCAATAATCCAACATCAAAATTTAAGAATTCTCGAATGGCATTTATACAAATGGAAAATATTTCATTCTTTTTAAAATTATGTGAATTAGTTGGAGTATCACATGATGAAATATTCCAAACGGTTGATCTTTATGAACTGAAAGATCCTTATCAAGTTATAATTACATTAATGTCATTATCGAGAATTGTTAATTCAATTGATTCAAATGTGTTCAAATATGTTATTGGACCAAAACCTCCTAAAGTTAAACCTAATGTTCCTACAAAACCACTTAGTTTAAAGACGCAATAAGTGTATTATATGTAATTGTATATATTTTATAGACAGCCATCTTCCAATGAGATGATTGGTTTCCTTGATTACTCCCATTTCTGATTATGTAATCACTCTTTGGGTTATATGCAGTACATTTGTCAGTTGTTTCTTTTAGTTGCCTTAACAGGGTGAAGAGATGAGCCTGCAAAAAAAATTTATTTCTGATTTACTAACTGCAAATCAATTTTACATTTCCCTTTCTTTAAGTTCATAAAATCAAGTTTAATATCTATCTAGATTTCATAATAGACTTCAAATAGTGTATCCTTTCATTTCACATATTAATATATTTTTACTATTCCTATAATATCATGTCTGACGAAGTTATTTGGCAAGTTATAAATCAACAATTCTGTGCTTTTAAAATAAAAACCGACAAGAATCAAAATTTCTGTAGGAATGAATATAATGTCAGTGGGTTTTGTTCAAGACAATCCTGTCCATTAGCAAATGCTCGATATGCTACTGTTAAAAACGTAGGTGGTAAATTATATCTTTATATGAAAACTGCTGAAAGATCTCATATGCCAAATAGATGGTGGGAAAGAATTAAATTATCCAAAAATTACAACAAGGCATTATCACAAATTNGGTGGTAAATTATATCTTTATATGAAAACTGCTGAAAGATCTCATATGCCAAATAGATGGTGGGAAAGAATTAAATTATCCAAAAATTACAACAAGGCATTATCACAAATTGATGGACATTTACAATATTGGCAAAAGTTCTTAATACATAAATGTAAACAAAGATTAACTAGATTAACTCAAGTTGCAATCACTGAAAGAAGATTGGCATTACAAGATGAAGAAAGACATTATGTTGGTGTTAAACATAAAGTTAAGAGAAAAGAAGAAAATAGAGAAAGAAAAGCATTGGCTGCTGCCAAGATTGAAAAAGCTATTGAGAAGGAATTATTGGATAGATTAAAGAGTGGTGCATATGGTGATAAACCTTTGAATGTTGATGAAAATATTTGGAAGAAAATTATGGGTAAGATGGATAATGAAGAAGAGGAAGAAGATGAATTTGAAGATGAAGATGAATTCGAATTAGAAAGCGGTGAAGAAGATGAAAGTGATGTTGGTGAAGTTGAATATGTTGAGGATGATGGTGAAGATGAATTTGTCGATATGGAAGATTTAGAAAGATGGTTGGATGATTCTTCCGATGATGATGAAGAAGAATCTGAAGATGATGAAGAATCTGATGAAGAAGAAGGAGATGGTTCTAAGAAACGTAAGGCAACTTCTGCTGATGACAAGAAGAAGAAAAGAAGAAGACCAAGAGTGGAAATTGAATATGAAGAAGAGCCTTTACAAACTAATATTGCCACTGTTTAAGGACGGTTATGGGTTATAGATATTTTTGTTCTTGATGTGTATATTAGTAGTTAAAAAAGAAAAACAATGTATGATCATACAGGTTAGATTCTAGATTGATTTTTTGATGTTCTCCGAATGGCACAGCCATGCCAAAAAAATGAAAACAATGGATTTACCTACTACAAAGGTGAATCTCATTTCTCTAAGGGTTACTTCGCCTGGGGTAAGGATAATAGTCATCACCATTGATATTGAGATGATGCTTCGACATAGCCACAAGGTGGGAAGTGCACGAATCTAAATGGGGAATATTTTGCGGCTGCCAGGTCCAAGATGTCTAGAATTACTTTTACCAAATCCCAGAAGCTACTTTCTAATACATCATTTCTTATAGCAAGTGTTACTGGTAGCATGCCTCGTATTTAAGTTTAGAATTAAAGGCTTTTGTATACGCTATACGTCAGCAGTAGATGGATCATAAATCGGACCGCTAAGTATAAATAAACAGTCATATTCCTCGGTTCAATATCTCTAGCAATCAATAAAAACAGGCTTCATTGGTATCATATCTCGTCTATGACATTTCACAAGATAATAAGAACGCCGTGTGGAGGTATTGGCTTTCTTTGGTTGAAATACGTAATTAAATGTCCATAATTATTTTTGGAGGCTATACTACCCAAAATTTGCGCTTACGTAATCGGATTTTTTATTTTTAGGTAAATTCCTGCTCGTAAAAAAAAGCTTATTCTCCTTTTCAGATGATGTAATTACAATTCACAACGGTTTCAGAAAACTTCTTTTATCGGCAGTAGATGCAGAATCTTGCCCTGCTTTGATTAACCTGTTAGGATTAAGATCTAATGCTGCCAAGGGTATTGATCAGATCGTATATTCCTTCTAAGATGCTGTATTTCCCAAATATACTGTACGTTGTGTTTTGGAAAAAAAAGGCGTTGTTCCGCTTGTATCAATGTTCGGAAAATCTGTTAATTACCGATTAATCCCGGATCCAACTAATATTTTTTGACGGGGTTAAATTATTTTTTTAACTCTCACCCTAAACTTTCGGAAGTAAAATATTTATACCTGCTTTTTTATTTAATTTGAAAGTGGTGATTTCATAGCACCCTCACCTCCCCCCTTGTAGATTCCCATTGGCTATTAATAGCCACAGCTGGTTTATAGATCGGGTATCCTCCGGAGTTCTAGCCTTATGTCCATTGTAAGTTTAATTCCGATCTTTGCATTGCCTTGTTTTGTGGATGCAAAATTAGTTTTATTTTTTAAAATGAAGAAGAAGAAGAAGAGATGAAGAAGCAGAAGCTCATTGTTTAATAAGCCACCGATCAAAGTCTCGTACTAATATATAAAGAGTAAAAATTTTCCTCTTTCTCTGTCTCATTTTGTTGTCTTCATTTAATAACAACAAACACAAATCATGTCTTCTGTTCCCACTTGGGCACCAAGTTCTACTCCCAGTATTACAACTTTGTCAAGCATCGCAACCACCCATGCCTCAGCGTTAGAATCAACTTTATCAGCCGCAGTCTCCACCTTGGTTTCCAAAGGATCCACTATAGCCAAGAAAGATTTCTTAACTGCCTCTATCAACATTCGTGCCGCTGAAGCATCATTAACAATCATCCTGGCTGAAGAGGTATTAGCAACCGCAACTGCTCCCGAGGTGCAATCTCAAGCTACTCAAGCTATTTGGGAAGCTACTCAAAACTTACAAGCTTTGGAATGGTCATTGAATGTATACAATATTGAGAGTCTAAGTCGTCCTGCTAATATTATCTTTTTGGTTATATTTGCGATTACATTTTTGTATACTGCTTTAATGTTGATTAAATCGAGATATCATTGGTATAATGTTGCATTTACTTGTGGATTAGCATTAGAATTTATTGGGTTTTTGGGTAGAGTGTTGTCATTTGGTGATATGACTAATGATAATTTCTTCTTGTTACAATTAGTTCCATTAACTTTGGCACCCGCTTTCTTAATGGGAGGGATTTATTTCTTATTTGGACAACTTATTGTAATTCATGGAAGACAATTTAGTTGGTTAAAGCCATTACATTATTCCTATATTTTCATTTCTTGTGATATTTTGTCATTGGTTATTCAAGCTGGAGGTGGTGCACAAGCAAGTATTGCTTCTCAGAATTATGAAGATGCTACTCCGGGTACAAATGTAATGATTGCTGGTATTGCTTTTCAAGTTTTTGCAATGTCGATCTTTATCATTTCTTGGTTTATATTTTGGTGGAAAGTATCCTTTAAGAAACCAGATGCGATTCCTACTGATTATGATCAATCATTAGAAAAGATGCAAGGATATTCAAAAAGTTACGACAAGAAATCAATTTCAAATTTCTTCTTTTTAATGCTTAACACCAAACCAGCAGATGAATTCAAAAAAGCAGTACTAGAATATCGTTATAATCCAAAATATGCTTCAATTAGAAGTCGACCATTGTTTAACTATTATGGATTAGCAATCTCGGTATCAGTACTTACAATCTATATCAGATGTATATATAGAGTTGTTGAATTAGCTCAAGGATTCCGTGGGTATTTATTTACTCATGAAGTCTTTTTAATGACATTGGATGCAACTATGATTGCTATTGCTGCTATTATTTTTGTCCCATTCCATCCCCAGATTGTTTTAGGTTCAAGTAATGTGATCAAGATGAGGTCAATTAAGAATAATGATGATGAGGTGAATAGTAGTTTCGGTGATAAGGAAACGGTTGAAGTTATGGATCGTGTTCCATCTGTGGGAAGTGAATCTGTCTGAGATGGATTCTTTTGTTTGTAATTGTTGGAAATGGTTTTGTATGTTTTGTATTATTTTTGTTTTGGTAGGAATAAAATTATAGTTCTATCGTTTAATGTTTTTTAGATTTTTTTGCAACCAATGAAAACTGTAAATTTAGATTTCCTGTAAAAGACTGAACTAAAAGAATAAATATGGTAACATCTTATAAGGGCGTATGACAAAAGGCCCCATTCTAATTGGTTTAGGCTAATTGATCCCTGTTGGAGTACACAGACAGCAGCAGCAAGATTTACTTCCCAGAATGTACAAAGCAACTTAATCCTCGAGCTTCCAGAAGCTAATCATGAAGTCCTAAAAGATACCTCTGCAGACATTTTCCACAGTCACTCTAGAACAATAGAAGAGGAAAAGAGAATCGGTTTGGAACCTAATGGATGGTCGACAAAGCCTGGGATGGAGCCTCCACAATGGAGCCGTTTCTTCAAACAACTTTATAAAGCAAAAAACAATTTCCTAGAAGGAGTGGATAAGTTCCACAGACTAAACCTGGGACGCTGGACACTACTACAGAGGTAGATTTGCTAATTGTGTGGGTGCAAGATTCATGGAGAAGGCACATGTCTACACAACGTGCATGAAAATTAAGATCTCATGGCGACATCTTAAACCAAAAGGAGATCCATTGAAAATGAAAGCTTCCATAGGCAATCCATCACTTAATACCAGTCAAATAACCGAATTAGACAGGTGCCTTGTGGCAATAGGTTTTTTCAGATCTCTACGAAGGTTCCATCCGGGAGTATAGTTATATGGGGCATATTTGAAGAAATGGATACAAACTTTTAAGCCTTAGTATAAAATTAACTTCTAAATAGACTGACTGTTTACACGTGAGGTTTTTATCGAATAAGGTCCGTCAAACTAATGAAATATTTGTTGCTATTTTTTATTTTTCCTGTATTTTGTTTATATAATTGAAACTAATAAATGGTCTATATTGTGGAAAAAAAAGACGGTTTAAGAACCTTCATTTATCCCTAGCAGATTTAGAATCTTGCCTTGCTTTCGTTAACCCATTAGGATTAAGATCGTTGTGCTGCCACGAGTATTAATCAGATTGTATACTTCTCTCTGAGTGGGTTCGTTTCCTGAGGCGTTGTTCCGCATGTATCAATGTTCGGAAAATCCTTAATCCCGTTTCCAACTGAATTTTTTTTTTTGACGGGGTTATATCAGTTTTTAGAATCTCACCCGAAACTTTCGATATAAAATATCTATTTCTCTAATTTCGATCCCCTTTGTTCTTTTAAGTTTGAAAGTGTTGATTTCGTAGTAGTCTCCGCCCCTTTTTTCCCTTTTCCATTTGTAGATTCCCATTGGTTATTAATAGCAACGGTTGGTATATAGAGCGAATATCCCCTTGGAGATATTGTCTTATGTTCATTGTAAGTTTAATTTGAATATTTTGCATTACCCTATTTTGTGGATGCAAAAACTAGTTTTATTTTTTATTTGTTAAGATGAAGAAGTAGAAGAAGAAGAAAAAGCAGAAGCATTAATAAGCCATTGTATCAATATCTCGATGAATAAATATATAAAGAGTAAAAAATTTCCTCTTTGTATTTCTCACTCTTGAAATCATTTAGTTGTTTCCTTTTAATAGTAACACACAAACCATATGTCTTCTTCTCCCACTACCTGGGCACCTTCGTTTACTCCGAGTATTACTACCTTATCAAGTATCGCAACCACCCATGCCTCAGGATTAGAATCAACTTTGTCTGCAGCAGTCTCAACTTTGATCTCAAAAGGATCTACCATAGCCAGGAAAGAGTACTTAACTGCCGTCATCAACATCCGTGCTGCGGAAGCTTCATTAACTATCATTCTGGCGGAAGAAGTATTGGCAACTGCCACTGCTCCCGAGGTGCAATCTCAAGCTACTCAAGCAATTTGGGAAGCTACTCAAAACTTGCAAGCTTTGGAATGGTCATTGAATGTATATCATATTGAGAGTTTAAGTCGTCCAGCTAATATTATATTTTTGGTTATATTTGCAATTACATTTTTGTATACTGCTTTAATGTTGATTAAATCGAGATATCATTGGTATAATGTTGCATTTACTTGTGGATTAGGATTAGAATTTATTGGGTTTTTGGGTAGAGTGTTGTCGTTTGGTGATATGAATAATGATAATTTCTTCTTGTTGCAATTAATTTCATTAACATTAGCACCTGCTTTCTTAATGGGTGGGATTTATTTCTTATTTGGACAACTTATTGTAATTCATGGAAGACAATTTAGTTGGTTAAAACCATTACGTTATTCCTATATCTTCATTGCTTGTGATGTTTTGTCATTGGTTATTCAAGCTGGAGGTGGTGCACAAGCAAGTATTGCTTCTCAGAATTATGAAGATGCTACTCCAGGTACAAATACCATGATTGCTGGTATTGCTTTTCAAGTGTTTGCAATGTCGATATTTATCTTTTCTTGGAGTTTATTCTGGTGGCAAGTATTCTTTAAGAAACCAGATGCAACTCCAACTAATTTTGAAGACTCATTAGAAAAGATGCAAGGACATTCAAAAAGTTATGAAAAGAGATCAATTTCCAATTTCTTCTTTTTGATGCTTAACATCAAATCAGCAGATGAATTCAAGAAAGCAGAATTAGAATATCGTTATAATCCAAAATATGCATCGATTAGAAGTCGACCATTATTCAACTATTACGGATTGGCTATCTCAATCTCAGTACTCACAATCTATATCAGATGTGTATATAGAGTTGTTGAATTATCCCAAGGATTCCGTGGGTATTTATTTACTCATGAAGTCTTTTTAATGACATTAGATGCTACTATGGTTGCTATTGCTGCAATTATCTTTGTTCCATTCCATCCACAAAATGTTTTAGGTTCAAGTAATGTGATTAAGATGAGATCAATTAAGAATAATCATGATGAAGTGAATAGTATTGGTGAGAAGGAAACGGTTGAAGTTGTAGAACGTGTTCCATCTGTAGGAAGTGAATCTGTTTGAGATGGATTCGTTTGGTTTGTGTGTTTGTTAAAGGGGTTAGTTTTAAGCCTTGTGTTATTTTTTATCAAGTAGAAATATTAAGTTTTATAGTTTTAAATATTTTTTAGATTTGTTTTTTTGCAACCAATGAAAACTGTAAATTTAGATTTCCAGTAAAAAAATAACGAAATAATGAACAATTAAAAGAATAAATATAGCAACATCCTATAAGGGCATATATCGAACGCCCCTATTCTAATTTCAATCTCAAGCAGAAGCTCGACAATCACGCAGTGATTAGAATCCTCAAGGTTGAATTGTACTTCTCCTATATTTAAAACAAGAATTGTTACGGTAATATCGCCATTCCTGGTACTCCTTCCTTATTTGCTATTCCTGGTAATCCTCCCCTGAAACTACGCCACTTTGCTCTAGTATTTGCTCTCCGAGAATAAACATTATTCCGATGGTTATTCAGATGGACATTAGTCTCCGATATCTTTATCCAATCCTTTCACTTTGGGATTGTTATAGACGGTTGATCACAAACGGTGGTTATGCCGTGCGACAATAAATCTTGTGAGATTTGTTTCCAACAGAAATTTGCGATTGATCAGCAACAGTAGTTAATCCAATAATTTAAAAAGGCTCAAATATAGAACTTTCCGGATTGATGCTATAGATGTCTCAGCATTGTTTCCCAACTTAGACTCAACCGTTAGCTTAATAAGTAATCATTTCATATACGATTTCCTATGAATTATACTTGTTTTCTATATACTTCAAATCACTCATAATTTGCAAGAATTATCTTTCTTTTATACTATCTAAATAAACCGATATTTCCTTCTCAGTGAAGCCATAGGGTCTCATGATGATCTTCTTTATTCATGCCAAGATTCATATCCCTTCGCTTTCATATGATTGATATTTATCCTAAAATTGTCAGATTTCGAACTTTCCATTCTTTGGCTTTTCTGTCGTGCAACTACCGATTCTTAACGAAAGTGAAGTTACTATACGACAGGTTTTCATGCAATAGTGGTGGTCTTGTTTTATCTGGTTGATAACATGTCTTAACTATGGTTCGGTTAGTTCCTCGGCGAAACATGCTTTCGGTACTTTTATCCGGTATTTGCAGTCAATTTGCTAATCCACCATTAATTGTGGTTGGCTGCAAATCCTTTAGAACCATCAATTTTGAAAGATTATAAATGAAGGTCTTTTCCAGAATTTTTTGAGCTTAATTTTTCATATCTTTTTATACTTTTATTTGTTACTTTATTTTAGATCAATTTTTAGTCTAATAATATGGCATTACTTTACCCCAAATTCAAATTAGTACCATAGGAATTAGTACTATAAGATCATTTAAAAACGAAACAAGAATGTTAATATCAATTAGCCCTTCGGAACGGAGCCAGAGAAAAAAAATCATTTTCTCACCCGAGAACTTAAAGTACCCATGACCCTTAGCAATAAATATTTCGTATACATTATATTTCAGTAGAACAAGCCATAATCCCTCTATCAATATAAACCGATTGTATATATATACATATATCATTACTAGGCACATAACAATTTTTGAGTTTTACGAGTTAAATGGTTTTGTGTTCTCAAAGAGTTGCTAAGAATAGAATTGCGCATCGTCGGATTTATTTCCAAAATTTTCCCAGCCGTAACAATACCCGAATATCGAATGGAATGGTTATAACACCGTTGATCGAAGAACTGGGGTTCTATGCCTTCTATATTTACCATAAGGGTCTAAGTTGAGAATTGAACATCGAGAACTCATTTATAACAAAATTACTTACTACTATTTAGATTTACCAGTTAAGAATCAAAAGCTAAGGGTTAAGGATAACGATTTGTTCAATTTTGCTTAGGAAATTAAATTCGTTAAAAATTTCTTGACGTTATTGTTAGTTTTTTGTGCTAAGAATTATTTTATGCCTAAAACTATTCAACACATGCTTCTATCTATTTCTATCTATCTTTATCTATTTCTTTCTTTCTCCCTTACTATAGAGCATATTAACTATGAGCTTTAATTTAGCTAGCATGATGACCACATGGTCACCTAGCTCTATTCCTGCTACAACAACCTTATCATCAATAGATCCAACTCATGCCCCTCAATTATTATCATCAATAACTTCAGCTGTTGAAAAAGCGATGACTGAAAAGAATTATCTTGAATTATTAAAATTGTCAGAAGTTGTAAGAGGAGCTCAAGCTTCTTTAACTATCATTGCTGCTGAAGAAGTATTAGCAACTGCTACTGATACGAATATTCAAGCAAAAGCAACAGAAGCTATATTTGAAGCTACTTTGAATTTACAAGATTTAGAATGGGATCAAAATTTATATAGTTTAGTTTTAAATCGTCCTGGTAATATCATTTATTTGACGGTTTATTTCATTATATTCATATACACCGCTTTCATGGTTATTAAGTCAAGATATTGGTGGTATAATATTACATTTTTTTGTGGATATGGATTAGAATTTATTGGGTTTTTAGGAAGAGTATTGTCTTTTAGTGATGATACAAATATGAAATTCTTTATGATGCAAATCATTTGTTTGACAATCGCCCCTGCATTCATTATGGCAGGTATATATTTCTTATTTGCTCAAATGGTGGTTATTCATGGACGACAATATTCCGTATTGAAACCAATGTGGTATTCATATTTTTTCATTGCTACTGATGTCTTATCATTATTAATTCAAGCTGGTGGAGGTGCTTCTGCTTCCATTGCATCTCAGAATCAAAGAGATACTAGACCAGGTACAAATACTATGATTGCAGGTATTGTGGTTCAAGTGTTTGCAATGTCGGTATTTTTATTATTTTGGTTTGAATTCTTGAATCGTATTTATTTTAAACATGGTAAAGATAAAACAGAAACCGAAAAGACTGAAAGTCCATTGGCACAAAGATCAATTGGAAATTTCTTTAGATTAGTATTAAATTTCAAATCGGTTAGAGAATATCGTGCTGGTCATTTAGAACAATATTACAATCCAAAATTCGCCGCTATTCGTCAAAAGAGATTATTTCCGTGGATGCCATTAGCAATGACAATTGCAGTAGTTGTGATTTATATCCGTTGTGTCTATAGAGTTGTTGAATTGGCTCAAGGTTTCAGTGGATATTTGATAAATCATGAAGTATTCCTTATGGTATTAGATGCTTTCATGATTGCAATCGCGGGATTGATTTTTATTCCATTCCATCCTGTTTGGGTCTTTGGGAAACAAAATATTGTGAAATTGGCTACTATTAAACGTAATCAAGATGAACATAAACACAGTGAAGAAGAAGAAGAAGAAGAAGAAGAAGAAGAAACTTCTAGAGCCAGTAGTTAAAAGTTGTAAAGAAAAGTCTGATCAAAGTAGAGCATATTATATATGATATATAAAGAAGGACATACTGTAACATTAGCAAACCCATTTCCTTAAAACAGAGTCTACTTCGTATTTCGTCATCGTATCGACTCCAGCTATTTACTTGATTCACACTATCTATGAAGTACACCCTTTGCTGTTAACTCTGGATGTTACTCATCTCGGGATTGTCGAATACAGGTTCCGGGCATTCCTGTCAGTTTATAGTCATCTTTTAGTTAAGAAGTATCTTTAATTTTATGTTATTTAGATCCCTATAGTACTTACACTTCTGTAGAGCACCCCACTACTTCCTCAGGGACTATACAGAGTGTTCCCTCCTAATACAGTACAGTACTTTACTGGACTACGTCCCTGTCACCCAAGAACAAGCTTGAACCCATCACTTGAACATGTCATATAGGCAGACTGGAGTTATACATATTATGGGTTTACTACGGCAGTATTCACTATATACACGACGGTATCACAGTAAATTGGTGATTCTGCAACCAGTTTTTAAAAGTGGATCCTCACCCCAAAATCCTCCCCAATACCAACAGCCTTCCCTTTTACAAGCTTTCAAGAGGATTTATTCAAAATGCCCTGGATTCCCATCAACTACTTCATCCTTTGGATCGCCCACTATTCGTTTTGTGCATTGGTTTTAACTCCGACGATTTTTTTCATGCAAGGTCATTGCTACATTATTTACAGTACACTTTCAGATGACCCTATCTGCACAAATATCCTGATTTATTTTTTTTTAATCTATTTTTTTTTTCTTTTTCTTTAAACGGTATCGATTAAATTATACACTAAAATTATAAACTAAAATATATAAACTGATACTGACCCTCTGATACATATAGGGCATAACGTTCTGTAGAAATGGTAAAAACCTTTTATCGGCACTTAAGTGCATGACAAAAGCAAGGTAAGTAGTGTAAGAGTCCAGGGCCAATAAAACTGGGTGGGATACTCACTAAAAACCATTGGCACGAGGTGGCTGAGGGAATGAATTAATGCATCTCACCGGACTTCCGGCGCTATCACGTGGTTCTACAGGTGACACATTGTTTATTTGATATTATTTCACGAAATTTTTCCCCAAGCTCATAACCATTTTCATAATTTTATGGCATCATACAGTACGACTTATTTTTTATTTCGTCATTTAGACATTCTTTATTTCACTGACTACATACATATTTACACGGTTATTTCATTCAATTCATAGGACTACATCATGTAAATCTGGAGTATTTTTCAAAACTTGATAATCTTTCAACTATATTTTTAAAGATTTATTTTTTGCAGCCTTTTCTTTTTTGCAACCAATTTCCTCCAAAAATTATTATCTACACGCCTGGCCATCACCATGGATACTTGATGTTTGGGAATACACACCTCATTTATTATTCGAATCTGATCAATCTACAATAATACTCATACCGTGTACCTGGTCTTTCTCCATTTTTATGATTTGAGTCCCTACTCGAATTCCATTCAAGCAACTACATTAAAAAAGAATGTTCAACTTAACCTCAGCTAGCAGCTCCACCCTCATACCATCTTTACGGTTAACGTATCGTAACACTCGGATTACCTTCTGGGGTTCTGGGGTACCACCAGGTCCCTTGTCGTCTCCGCCCTCAGCTCCTGTTGAATTGTCCCCAAGTACTCTTCCAACTACGCCTACTCATCCGTAGTTCAGCTGCACGTGTCGAATTATATCCAGGTCGCTTTCCCGCGGTCCAGCTCCACTTCACCCACTCCTACAACTACTCTAGAGTAACTACTACTACACGTACTATTATATCAACTACTTCGGACGGTTCTGCGATCACACATGATGGCACCATTCCCCATCGCCCCAATAGTAACGGAATGTTCGAGCGAAACCACCACCTCTCTATCCGGTACCTTCAATGACTTAACATCAAGGATTAGTGGTGCCACTATTTTGATCTAGCATTATAGATCGACCGTATCTTAATCAGATCCTCACCGGTTACTACATTTCAGTAGCTCGTTTTTGGTTTTCAAGGTCACCCACCATTGGACATCTTCGAATGGGTATCTGTTTACCCCAACTTAGCCCTTACCGGAGACAAATTATTCGACATTGGTGCTCTCCAAATGAGTTCACTCAACCTCAACCACACCAGTGCCAAAGAACACCTGGTATTCAAGCTCATATAAACACTACTATGACATAAATGCTGGTCTAGAAATCATTCTCCCTATTGGAACCTTGGTTTTATTTTGGCATTCCTTGTGGTATCTGAGTAAAGACAAGAAAATCCTTCCTAAATGGTCCCGTCCTTTTGCTGTTCAGAAAAAACTTGACTCTGCCTACATCTTGCAAGATCTCATTAGTAACACATTCAAACGCCCATCGGCCTTGATCATCTCAAAATCTACCACCCAAGACCTTTAGTCTCTGAATTAGTCGTCTCTACTTTTTCGCCTGGTGGAAATAACTGTGACATAAGCAAACCCCTTTACTTAAAACACAGTCTACTTCGTATTTCGTCATCGTCTTGGTTCACACTCGACTCCAGCTATTTACCTCCTTCACACTATCTATAAAGTACATCATTCGCTGTTAACTCTAGATGTTACTCATATCTAGATTGTCAAGTAAATAGGTTCCTGATATTCCTGTCCGTTTATAATCATCTTTGGTTCAGAAATGTCTTTAATTTTTTAGTTATTTAGATGCTTATAGTATTTACACATCTGACGAACACCCCTCTACTTTCTCATGAACGATACAGATTGTTTGATCCTACTACAGTACTTTACTGGTCTACTTCCCTGTCACCCAAGTACAAGTCTGAACCTATCACTTGAACATGTCATATAGACAAACTGGAGTTATACATATTATGGATTTACTATGGCCCTACTCACTATATACAAGACCGAGTCACAATACATGAAGTGTACAATATATAGTGTATCATATATATTATATATAGAAGTGTACTTGAATAACAATTGGTACAAAATCCAATTGGTTGCAAAAACCAAAATTTCTGTTTGTAAAAATTTGAATGCAAATTTATAAATATTTGCATCACAAATTGTGTATCACTTTTATATATCTGATCTCGCCACTTAACTTTAAAACCCAAAATTAACATGAAAACGGCAGCCGACTTATTATCATTCAGTTATCAACAGTCCTCGAATGACTCTCAACAAACAGTCACTATCCCAGAAACCGACTCAACTCTAAGTGTCACCGCAGTTGATCCAATTTTTTCAGAAGAACTTCCATATTTCCCAATCAATGAAAACAAAGATCCAATTCGAAACTTAACTTCTGAAGAATTATTATCGGATGGGATCCTGAGTACCAAGTATCCATTTGATGGGTTTTTGAATTTCCATAGTTTAAAGATTTGTAGTTCAAATGCAAAACAAATGTCTAAATTTTTACAATTAACTATGGGATTTGAAGAGATTGCATTTCGTGGCTTGGAGAATGATTCAAGATTGGTTGGAGCTCATGTTGTTAAGAATGGTGAGATATTTTTAGAGATTGTTAATACTTTGGAAACAGTTGAGGATGATAATGTATTGAAATTCCCATATTTTGAAAACGATTTGAAGAAATTTAAGGGGATTGATAAATATGATTATCTTAAGGATTTTAAAATTACAACAGATGATTTAATATTTGATTTTGTTAATAGTAGGATTGAAAGTTTGTGTTATACTAATTCAACTTCTTCTTTAAATTTTGGGAAGAAGATTTATCATAAGATTTTAACTTCAAGATCAATTAAGAATTCAGTTAATGAATTTAATGACTTTATTTTGAATACAATTAATAATTCTGAGATTATTTATAATGATATTATGGAATGTACATTGATTCAGAAATTCTTAAAGAAACATAGTGAAGGAGTTATGGATATATCATTTAATGTTCAAGATGTCGATTATATCTTTAATAGAGCAGTTAGTTGTGGTGCTGGTATAATTAGATTACCCAAAGTTTTACAAGATGAACATGGTGCCGTCAAACTAGCAACTGTTACTATCCCAAATACAGACATTCAACACACCCTAATTCAAAATCTCAACTATACTGGACCATTCTTACCAGGATATTCCGTGCCCATTTCCCCTCTACATTCAGGTTTCCAAACTCATTTAAGCTTACTCCCACCAGTTAGATTCCTCAGCTTAGACCATTGCGTGGAGAATTATTCATGGAATCAAATGATGCCTCAAGCTAAATTCTATGCGGATATTTTTGGATTTCACAAGTTTTGGTCAGTCGATGAACAAGATATATCCACAGGAAATACAGCACTTAGGTCAATTGTGATGTCTTCCAGTAATGGAGAAATCAAGATGCCAATTAATGAACCGGTGAAAACAAAAATGAAAGGGCAAATTGAAGAATTTAATGCTTTTAACGGTGGTCCTGGGATTCAACATATCGCATTAAAAACTAATAATATTGTTGGGACCGTGAGTTCATTAATTCGAAGAGGGATTGAATTCAATCCTACATCTGATAATTATTATATTAGTTTAGAACTGAGATTAAAGAATGATGATGTGTTGTTATATGAAGATTTTCAAGATTTAAGGAAATTGAATATATTAGTTGATTTTGATCCATTAACTAGAAATAAGAAAACAAAGAGATGTAATTATATTTTACAAATTTTTACAAAACCATTACATGATCGTCCTACTTTATTTATTGAAATCATTCAAAGACATCATCATAATGGATTTGGTAAGGGAACTTTTAAGGGTCTTTTTGAAAGCATTGAAGAGCAGCAAAAAGCGAGGGGTACATTTGTTGAATCTTCACCTACCGAAGAAAGCTAAGAAAATAATTTGATTTACCAAGGGATAACTATTGCTGACAGTTGATTATGTAATTAGAAAATTGTTTCAAACATTCTTGGCTAGTTTGTACATTCAGACGACTTTTTTGATGATGTGTGTAGTTGGGTTGCCTCTTGTGTGTATTGACATATTTAGAACAATAGATTATTTTTAACAAGAAGTAAATGACTCACTATACAATAGAACGTTACATAAATATATAGATATAAATAAGTTTTTATACATTAGGTGAACGATCAAAATACTCTTGACGAAATACATTCTTTGAAGGAGTAGTTTGAGAAGGATTGTCCATATCGCTCATTACATCTTCACCATTTTGAAATTTAGTACCAGGTGGAAGAAGTTCTTCATCTTCATTCTCACTCTTCAACTTATGTCCCTTTTCTCTGAAGTATGTCTTAATATCTTTAACAAATAAAGGATATAATAATTCATCAACACCTTCATTTCTGGCAAATTCATAAGCTCTTTCAAATGGAATCCAAACACCCTTTAAATTCATAGAACCAACTTTAACCACAACCTTAGTCTTTTCAGTCTTAAGTATTCCATCACGTTTTCCACGAGTCATACCAATCACATTCAACAACTTGGTTCCATTTATATAATTCGTATCCTCCCTTCTTGAAACCAAAATTCTTTTAGCCCGAACTTGATAACACATAGTTCCTTCATCTTCCCAATACGTAGTGGCAACTTTTGGTCTCACCACATCTGGAAACTCAGATTGATTGGTCCCACTGGAAGAAGTCCTTGAATGTTGTGAATTATGGGGCGATAAGCGATTACTACTGGAAATCGTAGGAGAATTAGTTGCACCTGTTGATCCTAAACCACCACCGGTTCTTACTGGTAAATTCAACATTTGTGTATGAGTGGCTCCTTGCATATTGTACATTTGTGCTCCATTGGTAGGGGCAATTGGTGAATACGACATCTGAACCAGTGATTGTTGAGGATACATCATAGTTTGCGCTGTGTTGTAGGTAGCGGCTGCTCCATTGGCCAGCAATGTAGATACACCGTTCGTAAGAGGTTGAGGTGGCTGTGGTGGTTGTGGTTGTTGTTGCTGTATGGGGGATTGATTTTCTGACAGATGACCACCTTGTGCTGAAGAGGACTTGAATTTTCTTTTTCCTGTTGTACCTAGTGGTGGTTGTTTGGTAGTGTTTGTTTGGGCATAGATACCCTTTGATGTATTGTATGGGTCAAGGTGCTGTTGTTGTTGTTGCTGCTGTTGTTGTTGCATTTGTTGATATTGGTACATTCTTTGCGCTTGTTGAGCTTGCTGTTGTTGTTGTTGTTGAGGCGCAAGCGCAGGATTGGCACCAGCATTCGGATTCTCCGAAAGTGCCATTGTATTCATTTGGAATGAAGGACTAATTGATTGGTTTTGATGGTCAACATTGGAGTAATACTCACCACCATTCTGAGATAGAGTATATGTTGGTTGAAATGCATAATATGTTGACTCACCAACTAAGTAATGTTTTGGTCTTAAATGTTGCATGTTTCCTGCGTATTGTTGATATGTGGGTGCCACCTCGGGATTGCCACTGGTTGTAGAGCTTCCATTCGGTGGCTGTAATTGTTGATTTTGTTGAGGTGATGCTTGAGCACCGACCATTTGATCGACTCCCGTAGAAGCTGTGTTAACTAACTCTTGAGTGTAAAAGTTAGGGTGACTTGGAGTTGTCATAATACCATTCATTTATTAAGGTTGCAAGTTAACAAAAAAAAGGGCCCAAAAAGTTTGAATTCTCTTCTAAAGTTTTTGAAAAAGAATTGATGATGTATATAAAAATATACAAAGCTCGCTTGAAATAATAAGTCAATACCCTCCCAAGAAACAGCTAGGAAAGAAAAGGCGTAACTATGATTTAGGAATGATTTTCTTAGTCTTTAGTTTTTTTGAGGAATTGATGCCCAGCCGGATTTATGTATAAACAAAGTAAATAATAATATTTTTTTTTCTCTGTTTAGTTCGTTTTCTATAACTTGAAGATATAAGATCTAATCTCTGAAAAGAACCTCGAGTCGACGATTCAGAAAGTTTCCCGATTAAATAAAATTGAATTAAAAATCTTAATGAAGCTTTCAAATGAAATTTGATTAGATTTAAATAGAATAAGATAAAAATTTGAGAAATTGCAAAAACTTATATTTTGTGTTGGGAAGGAATAAAAATTATATTTATATAGGCGCAATTCCAGTCTTTAGAAAATAAAATAAAATTAATTAAAATAAAAATAATAATAATAATAATAAAATTTGTTCATTTCTTTTTAAGCAACGAATTTATTTTTTTTTATTGTCATTCATAAGAAAATATTCCTCTGAATTTTTATTATTAGAAATAGAAGTTGTTAACTTTGAGTTAAATTTCACAGTAAAACCCCTTTATGGTGAACTGATTTTTATTTTATTGTGTAAAGAAACGAATCAGCCTAGGCATAAAAATTAAAATTAAACAAAAAAAAAAAAATTAAGAATTAAAACTAAAAAATAAGCCTGCATGTTGAAAAATATATTTAAAAAATTTAATATTTTTTTTAGTTTTTTAGTTAGTTTTAATTGTATTGTTTAGCGAATGTACTCACTAAACTTGAATAGTTGCATTAAAAATAAAATAATAACTGACCATTTCCCATTAGCCCCCAAAAGTTATAAATTAGGGAAACTTCAATTATTCCGTGGTGGTTAAACGTTTTCCCGATATTCTAACAGCGAAAGAGAACAATGTCAGTTTTTACGAAAGAAGACATCTAGAAACAAAGGAAGAATAAAGTCTTTTCCCAGGTATTATTTTTTGTTGATTTTTTTATGGCGAGAGAATGCAAGTTTGGTTCCTTCTACAAGCAAAATGAATTAATTTACGAGAAAAACTAATGCTGGTAAAAGTCATGTTAGTGTTGAATGGTAGATTCAATTTCTAAACGCATGATATTTTTTTTCAGTGGGGGACCTTGTTAATGACAGGAAATAGTAGATGGATTTTTATTTATTTTATTATTTTTTTTATTTTATTTTACTTTCACGGTTCTTATTATTTTTTAATGCTAATTTTAATTAGGAAGTTAGAATTCGATGAATAAAGTCATTCGAATTTTCAACCTTCACGCAAGATTTTCTTCGATACATCAAAACGGTAAAACTGAACTAGTAAGCGAGCCCAGATAATAGATTTTTCGTGAAAGAAGGCATAGACGCAATTATTGAGGCGTTCCAAATATGCTTGTAATGTTTCGTGCAAGCGAATAGTCGCGTTTCTTCAAAATACTTTCTAGAAGCGAACGATTGAACAATCCATTCCAAATAGCCCAGAATTATATTCAAGAAAAAAGAAAAAAAGAAAAGCCATATTATCATCCTGATTCAGTTCTCTTTGCTACAAGTAAAATATTGTACCTGCTTGTGCATGGAGGCCGTATTTACCCGTTTCTAAATACATTGTTTGTATTTCCTATTGGTTCGAGGCTTGTGTTTACACACGCAACGAGATTCATCAATATGGGCACTTCCACCTGGCTTTCACCAAAGATTGATCACCAAATGACCAGTATTCTCTAATATTGGTGGAACTCTACTGGGAAGAATCTGCACTTGGACTTTCGTCACTAGCTAAGCATGCAGGTACCTGCAAGATTATGTATCCTACAATGTTAGAACCGCGGCACGGAATGATTATAGTTTATTTTTAATTGAATAATTCAGGTCATTCAATGACTTATTGTTACTAATATTACAGAAGCTCATAAAATGAGATACAAACACGCCTCGTCAAAGTATCTGGATTAAGCCTTTTAAATGCGCCTTAACTATATTGGGATGGCCACAGTTGAAAAGTATCTCTATTGCGATTATTTTATGGCAAACTTTTGAAAAGCTTGGATTGGTCATTTCTGGGCCATAAACATTTCTTGAGAATATGAGTGACATATCGGAATCAAACTCCGTGAATTCACGATGCCGCAATATCTGTTTGAGAAATTCCCACCAAGACTCTTGACTTTCTGAAAGTGTATTTGACATAATGCATGGTGGGTTAGATCTAAAATATAGCCCTGCTTTACAACACTCTCGCTTTGGAAATCTGATTTTCTCAGCAACCATCGAAGTTCAGAAACTAGAACTACGTGAACCTGTCTTAATAAACATAAAATGACTTGGACATTCAATTAAGCTTAAATCTAACTTCGACAAACGAAAGGAAACGTCACTACTTGTTAGAATCTGGCAATGTCGCAAACCGCATGGTGGTTGAGACAAGACTTGAGTTGAATGATCCTATGACTGATGTGTTTTTACTTGAGAATATCTTTAATTTAGCGAAACACCATAAAAGAAAACGTCGCCCTAAAGCTTAGAGTATATGTAGACCGTGCAACTACAAATAATCCCTGAAAAATCATTATACGGCTTTCTCTTCGGACTCTAGAAGTACCATTACCTGTCGTCTATTTTATTAATTGTCAAAGCCCGTTTCAAATTAAGCTTTCAAAGATTCGAAAGTACGAATAATTATCAACACAATCCAGAATAATATGACACAATCCAGAATATTATGTAAACCTATAGGCAACGTCAACGGAGAATTTTACATCTACTTGCATGGAGAAATTCCAAGAAACAGCAAAGCATCATTCGCGGAATTTAAGCAAGTTCAAGCACGGCGATCTCATCCAGGCGTCTTTGTTGTCTTGCAAGAGGAATCCCAATTGTTTCGACCCATTTCTTTTTTGAAGCAAGATAGAAAGAAATCCGTCATTCGATTTACTTGGAAATACTTGCGCCGACCGATCAAGACTGATTTCACCCAAATTAGTTCTTAGTGTTAGCCAAATATGCCAAATTGAGGATGCTTCTCTGAGTGGAGGTTCGATCTAGAAAGGGTATGAATCTTGTGGGTGGCAAGTTTGAGGGGTGCGGGTGTTTCGTATCTCATAAATGGTGGGCAGCGCCCCTTTTTAGGAGTTAAATAACACAGAATTCTTATTATAAGACTTCAATTCTCTTTGTCCGAGGCTAGTAGTTTCTGTTTCTTGTCATTCATAAAGGTTCCCTTTGGAGAAATTAAAATGACCAAAGGTTAGAGCTTGGCATAAATATAAGGGGATGATCCCTTCTTTCCAAACGTAATTCGCAATCGTCTAATTAAGTCGCGCGACAAAAAATGTTGAACAATTGTACAAAGATTGCACTATTTGTTGAAAGGCAGGTCCATTCAAATCGCGATAATTGTTTCGCTATTTAAAAATAGACATCCATACAATGATACTATGAAAACATCCGCCTGTATGGTTTCACCGAAAACCTTTCCGTTGAACTTTCAATTGTTTTAATTTCTATTGTCCAAGCTTTTTGTGACAATGTATCAAATCAATTTTGATGTACATGAAATTTTCTTTCCAACGTCTAGGTCAAGCGGTTTTCTAGAAGCGACTTCGCTTCCATGTATGTCACGTGATTGAACTATTGTGTAAAAAAAAAATTGTTTTGTTTGTCGGTAATTTTATTTCGTAAGTAATTGATCATGATGCGGCTTTTTATTGGAGTTTCCATCATACTACTTTTTTATTATCAATACCATCCTTTACTGTGCATACATTATTAAACATCACCTTGTTAAAGGTATAATCTAGTTGAATATTGCAACACAACTCAAGATCTTGTTTTGCGTTAAATTTTTTTGGTGTATCTTAAGAAATATAAAAAGTATTCGAAGTTCCCGACTACTCCTACAAGAAAAAGTCACGCATAAATCAAATCTATAAATCTTCCCCAAAAGTTTATCTTACAAATTTTCCTTAAAAAGATTTAGAATCAAAGCTGATAAATGTCTTATTCCGAGGGATCCCGTCCGATACCACCCCAACCGAGGAGGCGGTCCATCCTAGATATAGGAGGACCAAATTCATTAAACAACTTTGCTTCGTCATATACAAGAGCTCAACTCTACCTTGGTTCAACTTTAATTGAACAAGGTGGAAATTTAATGGAAAACGAAGCAAATGTATATCCTTCCTATTTTGGACTACCTTCCGATGAAGAAGCTATAAGCGAAGAACTGGCACATGGGGGGCCTTCGCCAAGAGGAAGTGTTTCTGACTCTTCATCGGCTGTTATTGGCGAAGCAACACAGTTATTGACACCCCAATTATCAAGAATATCTACCAAAAGAAGTTCATTTTGTATTATTACCGGTAATTCAACCGCACCTCAAACTATTTTCAATTCAGTGAATACCTTAGTGGGAATAGGGATGTTATCCTTGCCATATGGTTTCAAATTATCCGGTTGGTTATTGGGTTCAATATTATTAGTTGGAAGTGCCCTTTCAACTAATCTTACTGCGAAATATTTAGGTCGTATCTTAAGAATGCATCCTCATTTACTGACATATGGAGACGTGGCTCACGAATTTGGTGGGAAATGCTTTCTGTATTTTGTTACCTTCTTTTTTGTTATTGATTTATTTGGGGCATCTTTGACTTTGATTATATTATTTGCGGACTCATTTCAAATAGTTTGGCCACATATAAACGAACTCAAGGCACTCATAGTGGCAGTTGTCTTTGTATTATCTTTGCTACCCTTGAATGTCTTATCCTTGCTTAGTTTATTAGGTATTTTGGGAACTATCTGTATCATTATTGTCATTGTTGTATGTGGGTTTTTACTGAATCAATCTCCAGGATCATTATTAATACCAGCAACCACAACCATGTTCCCGACGGATCCTAAGAACCTATTGATTGCGCTTGGGATCTTTATGGCTCCATGGGGAGGACATCCCGTCTTTCCAGAATTATATCGGGATATGAGACATCCAGCAAAGTATAGTCTCACGAGTAACATTTCGTTTTCAATAACATTTGCCTTGGACTATTGTATTGGTGCACTTGGATATTTGATGTTTGGACTCGCAGTTAACGATTCGGTAGTTAGATCGATTATGAATAATCCACACTATCCTCCTTATGTCAATACTTTGTTGTGTATATTAATGGGTATACTCCCTGTTTCCAAATTACCTTTGGTCACCAAACCAATTATAACATCCTATGAAAATTTACTAGGATTGACTCCTAGATATGTTCTAATGGATAAAGAAGGACAGGTGGTAGATACTTATGGAATTGGCAGAATTGTAGCCAGACTAGTATTTTGTATAGTTTTATTAACGGCAGCATTGTTATTCACTTCTTTTGGTAAATTGGTTTCATTCTTGGGAAGTGCGATCTGCTATACCGTGTGTTTGACATTACCGTTGTTGTTTTACTTACGATTGAATCGTCATAATATCGGAAAGACCCAAGCGGTAATAATGAAGATTGGAGTGGCAGTTTCGATAACTGCTGCCGTATTGGGTAGTTATGCATCTATTGGAATGGATGTGCCAGAATAGTTATATATATAGATTTACAGATATGAATAGAGATTAATCTTTAGCAATAGCAAAAATACTACTTTTATGAAATAAATTTGAAATCTACACTTTTAATTCTATATTATAATTACATATACACAATTTTATGACCTTTTTTTTCATTGAACAAAGCCCGGCTTTGATCTTAATCTAGCAAGTTAGGTAACCTGATTTTCTTTGAATTTACCAATACTCACTTTAATTTTTTATAACCTATTTACTTTCTACTTGTGCGACGATTAGAAAGAGGAATATTTGCAGTTGGTGGTTCTTGAAACGATTCATCGAAATCTTCATCAACATCAATCTCAACATTATTAGGCAATATGGTAGATGTATAAAACATATCCTCATTCTGAGACTTTGCCAAATATTGTGCCATAAGTTGCGATCCAGAAGTTATGTTTGATTTTCGCGTGCCATGATGCGTTCGTGGGGATCCCCCATTATGAACATATCGTGCCTGTCCTCCATAGGCTTCCTGAATGCCGTAATATTGCGGCGCCGGAACTGAATAAAACTGTGGTGGAGGATAATACGTTGCTTTTGAGCTGGAGGAATGACTAAGTTGAGTTTGAACATAATAAAACGGTTGCGGTTGACCATAAGCAGATGGAGTACTGTAACCTGATGGTTGATTGAAATTGAAGAAGTTACTGTTCAAGGACAAGGTAGAAGAGCTTCCTAATGAGTTACGCATAGGAAGTGAAGAATCAGACTGATGGAATCTTTTATGATAAACCTTTTGATATCTTGTCTTGTCATAAATGGGTTTCTTGCTATTCTTCTTCTTGGAAAATGACTTTTTAGACACATCAGATTTTTCGGTCAATGAACTATCTGATTCAATAATGATAGACACGTCATCATCGTCATCTTCATCAGCTCCATCTTCCTCGGAATCGGCATCTCCGTCATAATCATGGCCATTATTATTCTCAATATTCAAACCAGCTACCTGTTCCAGCACTTCTCCAATGTCGGCATCAACTTCATCTTTTGCTTCTTGAGTAGCTTCCTTTTGTGCTTCATCCTCTTTCTTTCTTCTGGCTTCTTGTTCCTCTTTCTCCCTTTCCTGGTTATTAATGATCCCAAAAACCATAGCTGTTTCTTCATTGATGGTCTGCTCCATATATGATTCAGTCTCGCTCATTCTGGTTTGCTTATGGTATTCTTCATAACCCCTTGTACTAGAGGCTCTAGATCCGCTATGTGGTGTGTGTATTTGCAGCTGATATTGCTGATAAGTTGATCCAGCAGCTCCATTGATCCTCTTCTTGAAAGAAAATTTTGGTGGGTTTCCACATCTATCTTTTGCAAAACTAATCTTGAAATCTTTATATTTATAATAGAATGCATCTAATTCTTCTGGAGTATGTATACCTTTGAATAATTTACGTAACTGATACCTACCATCTTCTGGGACACAATCGAAAATTTCAACCACGGTGATTGCATCAGCAATATTCAAAAAATTCAAAAACCCACAATCCTTATTATGATAGAAATTAATTTGTTCCATGCCACCAAATTTCAGAAAATCATTACGTAACTCGTCTTCATCTGGTAGTCTAGGCTTGACCTTTGTTCGTTCTTCAGGATCTTTTATGACTTTAATACCAATATAAACGTTTCTAGATGCACCTGCAGTAACAGCAAGAGCAATATCACGATACAAGGGACCACTATGTTGTTTTGCCCAACCCACAGTTATATCATATCCATGAATAATCAATTGATGCATCGCTTGATGGCTGAGATAAAATTTCAAGGCAACATTTGGATCAACAAAAGTGATGAAACATACCTTCTTGTCTGGACGATACTTAATTGATTCCACGATACCACCTGCTCGAACATTATTAGCAATCTCCTCGATCGTCGTATTAGAATGTAAATTTCCTAAATAAATGGTACGATTTCCAATATTTGCAGGATCTGGATTAGCTGGATAATTTCCAACAAACGAACTAGCAGTATTAGGTGGGGCCATTGGCATTGACATCGACATTGGATGATGATATTGTAGAGGTCTATGAGGCAATTGCATCAATGTAGGAGTAATTTGGGACGAAACAACCGAATGCAAATCTCGATTGGAAAGATTACGATCATCATCAAGTTCGTTCAAATCAGAAGGTATCGACTCAAATGAAGTATCACCAACTATTGAAGAGTTTGGACTTATTGGGTCAATGATACTCAATCCATTTTGTGTTTGGCCATCAATAAATTGGTCTATGTCAGTGCTATTGGCTAACGATTCAGCTTTCATCAGATGTGCAGGGCTTGGTTCCTCGGATGTTCTTTTTAGTGTACTGCTATTGATCCTGTTAGCCGAGCGTGAGCTAGTTGAATCCGGAGATATATCTTTTGGCCGTGGCCCATGTTGTCCATCCACATAGGTTCTATCACATCTATCTTTATGGAAATTGACATAGATAAACTTGATATCATATTTTGCATGCACTTCATTTATATCCTTGGAGTTATTCTTTCTCCCAGCTTTCCCCTCTTTGTTCTTTCTTGTCGTTTTACCATCTCCGTTGCTCTTCTTTGTTGCTTTATCTTCTTCATTACTTGTCTTCTTTGGCTTGCCTTCTTCGTTGTCCTTCAATCTTATCAAATCTTGTTGGATTCTTCTATTATAATTCTCGTAGCCCTTTATGGCAGAATCTATAGATGAAAAGTGAACCAATATTTTCCCATGAATTCTTGTCTCCCCTTCTTCTGGTTCAGATTTGAGGTTAATTTTAAAATCTTCAACTTCCCCAAACTTGCCACATTGGTTCTTGATAAATTGCATGATATGTTCCAATCTAGTTTCCAGATCTATTCCTTCGGGTAGGTTATCCTTGATAGTAAATTTAACAATTAAACATCTTGTAGCATTATAATCCAAAATATAATTCAAAGTTTTCAATTTTACAAAATCTTGATTGTTAGATGGTTTACTAGAATTCGGAGTACATCCTTTATTGAAATTATGACCTTCGTGTAATTGGATTTTCAAATATTTTGAATCTTTCAAAGCTTCTTTTAATCTATTCAAATTAGTTGCACTCTTAACATATTTTAAATGGAACATGACAGAAATCTTGGAATTTATGAATGAGATATGACAAACTTGCAAAGTATTAGATACATCTGGATCAGTTGCTAATATACCCTTAGGTGTAGCTTTTGAAAACATTTTGCAATATTCAATAGGTCCAAAATCTATTTCATTTAATAATTCTTGCAATGTCACTGCCTCTGAAATATTCTTCAAGATTATGGTTCTAGAAATATTAAGTTGATCTGTATTATAATTTAGCAATGAACTTGAAGAATTAACGGATGTTAAGGTTGTATTATTCAAGGGAGCTAAAAAGGGTAGACTGCTTACATCCGTGTGACTGCTTCGATTACTTTGTTTGCGTAGCCTAGAACCAGACGAACTTGGAGATGAATTTGGCGAATCTTGGTATACTTGATGAATCAGACTATTAGGATGGGTTAAATATCGTGTACTAGGAGGTGGGGTGTAATACGGTGAATTTATGAGCAAATTCGAAGGGATCATTGATTGACTATAGGCAAGATCCAATGGAGTTAGCGAATGCATTTGGTTGTTTATTGATTGTGGATGTAGTTGAAAATTAGGAGCTGCCTGTTCAACCGGTCGTCCCAGACCAGAATAGTAAATTGTATGAGGATACATGGTAACGTGTTAGTTGTTCTTTTAAATAAGTGGGGAACGTAAAAAACCAAATTATTTTCAAACTGTTTTGATTAAATTAATTCTTTTGCTTAAAATATTTTATTTTTCTTTAAACTGGAAACAAAAGAAAAAAAGAAGTTTCTAAAATTAAAAAATTAATGCACGAGGGATAATTGGAAATATTTATAACTTAAAGTGACTTTTCCATGGAGTTTGAAAACCGAATCCACTTGTAAAACACGCGGTTAAGTTGAAATGAGAAAACCTTCCTTATAAATATTCTAGAAATCCAATGTGGCACGAATAGTAATACGTTGATCAATTGCAAATGAGTAAACTGATAACGATTTTTTTCTGGTCTTGGAGTATGTATATGCTACTGTTAAACTGATAAACTATGTAAACTCCTCGCAACTATTTATATGAAGTGATGATCAGCTGATTCCAGGGGAATGTTGATGCCTTGGTCAAAATGGTTGTGTGGGTTGATCAAGTAGGGAATGGTTAGTATATTTGTACCAAAGACAAGTTTATCTGCTGTTATAACTATGGATAACTCCTATTTTTATACTCTCTCTCTCTCTTCGTTCCCGTGATTGTGATTATCCACAGCTGGAAGGATGACTCTACTAAATATAAGAATACGAATTGGTTGTAAAAAAAAAGTGAAAAGGGGGAGAGAGAATTGTTAGAAAGCTGGTTGTAAAAAAAAACTGTGTGTGTTGAAAAATCAATCAGACAGACAGACAGAAACAATTGCCAGACGAGTTGAATCAATTACTAAGAAAATTAATATTATATTACCAGACAAAAATGAAACCCCAAAAAAAAAAAAATAAAAAGCTAAAAATAAGATAAAAAAAAAAAATATTCCCACTGAGAAAGAAAGAAAGAAAAAAAAAAACGAACAATCAGACAAAAATAACAACGGGAGATGGTTACAAAAATTGAACAACGAAACAATAAAAAAAGAAGAATTATTGCGTGGTTGGATTGTTCTTACCAAAAAAAAAAATTAACAAGAAGGTGAATTGCGAATTGGTGTATAATTACACAGCAAGGTAGACAATTAAGAGCAATTTGCATAGGTTCTTCCGTGTATCCAATGTGGACAATATAACCATCTCGTCTCTTATTCATTTTTGAAGTCAAGGGACTGACTACTGAGAGGTAAATTATAGAAATTGCAAGGAAATCAAAAATACTTGAACAAGATCCACGAAACGAAAAGGTGGCCGAATGGCTTATAAAAGTAGGAAGGTTTTATGTAGACGCTATTGTTAGAAGTTCGGTCCGTGTTAAACTATTAAATTTCCTTGTTTTGTCCTATACTGCAAGTCGTATTTACACCGATTTTTTTTCTTCAGCCCCAAAAAAGACAGCCGCGAGTTGGCTTTTACTACATTTCGCGATGACAACCATAGCCAATTCACTCGTACATCGCTTCAGAAGTCAACGGATTTGACTAAGGATATAGGCGGGATTGGAAAACTGCTGCAATGTTTTGGATATTAACTTATTTTAGTCCAAAAAACTGCCACCAAAAAATAGCAACTCTAACCGTCCACACCTAAACTTTCCTGTGAATTTATTCTTTCTTTAAGCCGCTTACTACCTATTCTGGAAATGGGGCTTTCCAGTTTTGCGCCCCTACTAGCAGTAGCTTTTGTTGGGTACTATTTCAGTTCAATCTAACCTATCATATTTTGTTACTCCGGTGCCCGTGTCGGGTTTGGCGCTTTTCGTATTATTTTTAATTAATTATTTTATTTTATTTTAAAGATTTAAATAAAGAAGGGATTTTTCTGTAGGACCAAAAAACGCGTGTGTGAGTGTGTGCAATTTTTTTAGCTCCTGTATTTTATGAATGCAGCCTCCTCCTTTTCTTTCTTTCTTTCTTTCTCTAATTAAAGCCTAGTTTGTTTCGATATCGTATTTTTCATATGCAGCCTTAAGTCAGATAAAGGATTATCTTGTAATTTATACTTTTTAATAATATCGGTTCTTTCTTTCATTGGAAAATATGTAAGATCTCCGCAAGTTTCTCTTTCTTTGTGTTATCCCTATGGAATATGTATATGCAATGACATATCAAAGCCTTTTCCACTGCAAAAAGGGTAATATAAAAGAAACCATTGTTGTTTGTTAGGTATTCCCAATTTTAAAGAGTTGATGTCCACATTATAGATTTATCTTCTTCACCCTTGAAAAAGAGCCGTATATTCAAATATTATTTTAACAGTATTTTTACGAAACTTAAATTGCTTTATTGCAATTCGCCTTTTGTTATTGTATGTAAAATTTATTGGAAAAGGTGAAGGGGTCCCTTTATCGAAGTTAAATGACAGGCATTGTAGTATTTATATTGTTATCTCTTTATTTACGTAGATTTAAAAAAAGTGGAGGGAGTAATGTATGTCGTCTTTCTAAAGAGGGTTTTCTGGGGTACTGAGTAGTTTGAACCCAATTTCTTTTAGTGCCTTTTTAGGGAGAGCATTCATGCATACATATATTTTCCTTTCTAGTCCCTGCTTAAGTTGAATGACAATTTTCTCCAACCTACATATACGGAGTAGCAAGAATTCAAACTGTAGAAGTCTAAAAAATAGGGAGTTGGTGAGAGTAATTCGTGGGGGGATGGAGGGGGGGGAGGAATTTCCAAATAATATTTGCGATTTCGAATGGAGGGAGGGTTCTGTATTGTTCCAAATTTGAAATGCCTCAATTATCAGTCCGTTTTGAAATCATCTCTAAAGTCCTGCTATTCTAAGGGTACTCAATGATATCATGTCATATTCACTTATGCTCTTACTCTTTGTACTTTCATTGAAAATTTGGCAACTTTTTCTTAGAAAAATAAGTGACACTCACGATTCGTTTTTAGAAAACCGGAAACATACATCCAGTAATAGGGGATATGTCCCAACAAAGAGACATGTACATAACTATTCAGACAAGCGAATATCAACAAGGTAAGCCTTTTCTTTATCTGAAGACTTTTATCTTTTAGTGGGGAATTGTGCCAAAAAGTGTAGATGCTTATTTGCTGACACACAAAAAAAATGTGGCCAAAAAAAGGGACAAGAAGGATATTTTCCTACGAAGTTTTGTCACAGGCAAACTGACAATCATTAAAACACAACTAGAATGGAGTGTCATTCGTATATTAGTCAGATTCAAGTGGAACGCACTTGAAAGAATCCTTGCTGTCCGTTTGGGACAATAGCCAACTTCTTAAGAGAGTACAACCCTCATTTCAAACATTGTGTTCTTCAAACCCATATCAATTAGGAAAACCATACAATTATAAAGAAGCCACACAGAAGAAGCTGCTCCCATTTGGACGGAATGAGTAACCAATGTACTAGTATTTGTGATCAGTGATGTAGAATCAAGAAAATGTTTAGAATTGATTAAATTTAATTTCAAGGCAGGCACAAAACCAGTATGTTAAATTTCAACAATTGAGTCATCTGTACTTAACTTTAAAACACCATAACCATCGACAGGAACATTTGTACCATTAGCTGTACACACAAATAGCGGCTTTTCAAGCATTATAGAATCACGAAGAAAACTTAAATCAGAAACTAAATTAATACTAGCACCAGTGTCAAGAATCAATTCATATTGGTCATTGTTTGTCGTAGCAGAATTAGCCACTTGGAAGTAGTAAGCCTAACCACATTAGCTTTATTATTAGAGTCATCATTATTCCAATGATTAGGATTAGCACTTTTGAAAACTCGAGGAGGTGCTGTATTTATCTCAGTTAAAGCAGTTGAAGTTGAAGCTTCAGCTGATTGAGAAGGTGTTGGTGGTCCCGATGCCTGTCTTCTGAGCTGATTGTTTCTGTGTTTGAAAAATTGAAGTCTGTTGTCAAGATCACGTACATTTTTGCGAAGTGGCAATGGACACTGGCGAGGAGAATTGCCCAAGACCAAAACAGTTGCGGCATTGCCAACGAAAAAGTTTGCCAGCAATTCTGGGGAGTCACTACTGTCGAAGAAGCAACCGTATTGACAGTAGGTAAGGAAGCCGATTCAAATAATTCAGGATGATCATTAATAAATTCCTTGATGGCAACAGTTTCCAATTTTAGTGTCAGTCCTGGCAAATGATCTGAGATAAAAGCATTAGATTTGGAAAAATGAAGCCAAATAAAATGTAAACGAGCTTCACGTTCACTTTCAGGGACCAGATTCCAGAAATTTAAAAAATTCTTTTCAATTAATTGAATTGGGTAATAGTAGATGTATTATTATATGTAATCTGATCGGTAATGTGGTATGGCGAACCAAATGTTGGATTAGCTTCAATTGACGGTTTATCACTAGTTTGTTCAATGCTGCAGACTGAGCCTCGCGATTGTTGGTGCATCAGAAAAGCTGAACGTGATTGTGGACACGGAAGTAACAATGCCGGTGCAGGTAACTCCGCTGGCCACCGTTTGACTTCCAGTCTGTTGATCAGGGAGCCCGTTGAACGTAAGGTCGACTACAAACTATAAGGGAAATCATATATTACAGTATATACATCCCCTAGATTCCTCAATAATAGTATTGGAGAAAGGGGATTGTTATCGTATTTATATAATGATAACTTATGATCGGACGTTTCAGACGGAATAGGTCGTTGGGAAGGGACATGACCAACTCGGGCAACCTTTGGAACAGAAAAGACCTTTTTCTTAGAGCTAATACAGCTGCGGCTGTGTAGTTGTTGAAGAAAAGTGGTCGATTTTGAGTAGGGGTTGGTCGCGTCATTTCCCAGGGACGTATTGCTCTTGAAGATTCTTCAGCCATTTTTATCCAAAATCTACTTTGACTACGATTACCTAAATGTTTAACCCATTAAAATATCCAGGCCTTCTGTCCCTTCTGTCTATTATGCCTAGACGAGACGGTTATTTATCCAGGGTTAACCCACATCTATCAAGGCTGTCCAATTGCTAAGCCCCTCGGGACATACTATTGTCCCCATTATTACTTCAATTTACGGCGTCTTATCGGCAGCGCAGTTCTCCATCAGGATGAATACGTTCCAGCCGATCGGTACTTTACCAAAGTGTGGCACAAAAGAAGACGACGAACTCACTTCGTCATTTGACGGAGATGGACATTTGTTGTATTTTTCGAGCCGTTGCTATTTAAATTAACTTTACATTATCAAATTTAAACATTAACAAGTTATAATTATTTACTACTTTATGTACACACTTGAATAATTTCCATTCCTTTGGGGTTACTCAATAAGAGCAGGTTTTCTGTATAGTTATCTCTAATTTCCTAATAGATATACGAAAAAAAAATATCCAGGTACATTGTACTAGCTGGGTTCAATCCATCACCGTCCCTATCCATTGCTTTCATATTAGGATAAATATAGGCTCAGGTTCCCTATCATTCGATGGAAAACGCTCCGATTCAGATCACTACTACACCACAAGAATTTCTATAGTCGACGTGTAAATCATCGACAAAATAATCAATAGCTGCAGCTTGTGTGATTGCTTCTCCACAATCTTTGTATAACTTCTTAAATTTAGAATATACATAAGTAAAGATTCTCGTTGATTGATAGTGAAAATCTCATCGTGATGCTGCTAAATTGGAAGTTCTTAGCATGAAGGTTTCAACAAGATAAGAGGCTTTGACATTGGTATTTGCTTTAGTGCAACAATTACGAGATTATATTTAATGAGAATCAATTAGACAAGAAGCAGCTATTGCATTTTTTTTCGATGGATTAGATGTTCAGTACAGAAACAATTTACTTGTCGAGTAGTTATGTACAATTTTCTTTGCAATATAGTTTGCAATTTGTCAACTTTTCATTTCCGCTGTTAATTCATCCATGAAACTTATGGTAGGTCATCTTTGACTTTATTTGAAATTCGGAATTTTTATTTACTGTTAGAATGACTGACCGATTGAATCTTAACATTTTCGCAAAAATAAGCTTTTATCATATGTATCTGGATTGTGTCCATGTAGAATCTATAGAATAGACAAGCGCTAACTCCTAATCTTAGAATTGTGTATGCGTCTCTAAGAATTTACATTTCTTTGCATTCTATAAAAATGATTTGCAGCCATCTGGCAACACTCACACACAAAAGTTTAGAAATTGGAAACAGATCCTTCTAGAAAATGTCGTATGTCGTATGTTGTTGTGTCGAATGATCTAGTGTACGACGTACGACGACATCCATCGTCTCAACAAATTTTTTTTTTTTCAATCACAAACCACACAGAAATGAGAAAGGGATTGCGACTACAACTACAGGGAAAAAAATATAAACACAATTTTGATCTTTTTTTCATTTTCTTTCTTTTTGATCCTTTTTGTTTGAAAGAAATCAATCAAATTCTTTTCTGTATTTGAATCTATTAAATAACATAATAAGAAGAACAAGATGGCTACTGAAGTTCCTACTTTTAAATTAGTTTTAGTCGGTGATGGTGGTACTGGTAAAACCACTTTTGTTAAGAGACATTTAACCGGTGAATTCGAAAAAAAATATATTGCCACATTAGGTGTTGAAGTTCATCCATTAGGTTTCCACACTAACTTTGGTGAATTGAAATTCGATGTTTGGGATACTGCTGGTCAAGAAAAGTTTGGTGGTTTAAGAGATGGTTATTATATTAATGGTCAATGTGGTATTATTATGTTCGATGTTACTTCTAGAATTACTTATAAGAATGTTCCAAACTGGCATAGAGATTTAGTCAGAGTTTGTGAAAACATTCCAATTGTCTTATGTGGTAATAAGGTTGATGTTAAAGAACGTAAGGTTAAAGCAAAGACTATTACCTTCCATAGAAAGAAGAATTTACAATATTATGACATTTCTGCCAAATCTAACTATAATTTTGAAAAGCCATTCTTATGGTTAGCTAGAAAGTTGGTTGGTAACCCACAATTAGAATTCGTTGCCTCTCCAGCTTTAGCTCCACCAGAAGTTCAAGTTGATGCTGATTTGATGGCCAAATATCAACAAGAAATGGAACAAGCTACTGCTTTACCATTACCTGATGAAGATGATGCTGATTTATAAGCAGCTTAGCATGTTTTTGATGTATACGTAAAGAATCTTTTTCATATTTATACTTATATCAGGGGAAGATAAAGAGAACCTAATAATAATAATAAACAAATGAAAACAGAAAACTTTGTATGTACATTATTAAAATTGTTCTATTTTAGCTTTATTGATCATTTGGAATGCTGCTTTAGGTTTACTTGCTGTAGTTACAACAATTTTAAAAGAAAGAGAGTATGTAGAATTTATATAGTTTTTTATACATTGAATGAATTAAATTACTTTTATTAAATCCCTATTTATGTACCCATTACTTACCCAATTATAAACTACAAAAGCCAGACGCCATCTATTTATGTTTTAAAATCGCCTTTTGATATTCCCTAGTATTATTCAATACCGAAGGGGGAGGCAATGGAAATCCAGCCAAATGAGGTGGTGGCGGTAAATTGAATTCTTCTTCTTCATCTCTTTCATTCTTACTAGTTGTGCTACTCTCAACCACATGAATATGCGAATCATCTTCAGATATTGCATTAATATTTTTATATTTATAATTAGGATTTAAACTTCCTGGAGCTTTATGATTTAGATATGTAAGATTTATTTCATATATTAATTCATTCGGATCCCATATACCTGATTCTTTAGCTTTTTGTTCATAATAATTACAATAATATTTAACATGATTCTTACCAATTAAATGAGATTTACGAACACTCATTGTATCATGAGTTAAATATGACTTACAATAGTCACAATAATATTTAGGCATCTTTGATTGTTTGGTTTGTTCTTATATGTTTGATAGTACAAGCAATATAATTATACTGTAATCTTCTTATAAAGACAGGATGATGTGCGATTTAAGATGGAATCACGTGCCTAGAATTTTTTGTGTTAATAGCAAAATTCCATCAACCAATTGAATGTTTGTATTCTGATGGAAAGTGTAAATTGTGTCATACACTACCATAGTAAAATCCTTTACGGCTTAAAGTTATTCTTAATAGTGAAAAATTAATTTGTTAGTGAGAGAGAACCGATTCGGTGAGCGAAAAACTTGGAAAAAAAACTGAACCGTTTATATTAAAGGGTTTCTTAAAGGTTTACAAACTGAAAGACATAATTGTGTGAATATTAACGAAATGTTTAGACCTGTTGTTGTATGTACTTGAAGCATAAGCGGAGCTGAAAGAGCAAGTCGAAGTATGGGGGGAAGTCAAGTAGGGACATAACCACAGTTCCATTGAAGCACCAGTAATATGAGATTATCAACGAATTGACCTTTTGAATAGAGACATTTACTATGAAATAATTAGACGATTATATTTACCGAATATTCCCCTTAATGGGTTTATCAATTCTGAATTGAATCATAGTCCAACTAGGGAATTAAACAAATAACAAGCATGAAAAATACAAAAATATAGTATATAGGCAACGAAGTATTTCCAACATACAAAGGTTCCCCATTAATACTTGATAGCTCATAGCTTGCCAGATCAAGATAATTGTATACTAACCAAAATTAATCTATAGCGTTTATCAGCCAGAAGATTATTCTCAATCACCCCAAGAAGAAGCAACTTAGTTTCTGATTTATACATCCAAGAAATTAAGGCCTTCAAACCAAAGGCTCTTACTCAAGAAGAAATCAACAGTGCTGTCAAGGCTTTCCAATTACCAGCCAAGCCAGTTGCTCCACAAGCTGAAATCTCCGCTGAAGCTGTTGACCAATATGAAGCCGCTGACGTTGAAACTGAAGTTCCAACTGGTGAACACGGTGAAGCTATTGAAGAAGACTGGTTCGTCTTCGAAGAAGAAGAACCTCATCATTAAGAGAGTTTAGTTGTGGTTCTTTAGTTTTATTGAAATAGAAAAGAAAATCATCAATTATATTACATTATTATTATTATTATTATTTGTATTGCATAGTTTATTTTTAAGAGCCTGAACAATACACGTTCATGAAAAGACAGACAGCATTTACTGAATTCATTCTACTGAATAGACCAGTTGAATCTTGCGAGGTATTCTCGTAAGCTAGACAATATCTGGCATTGAAGCAATATTGAGCTACGTGTTTGTTCCAAAGTACACTTTTCTAGTCCTCGTGTCCTTGTGTGCAGTGTTGCACACTTTCAAGGTTGTAAACTTCTTTCTTTCTTTATACTGACACTTTATCTCTCCTTGGCAACCACAGCCTGTCAAAACTTCATCCCGAGAAAATTCAATACTGTTTTTGAAAATTTCGCAGGGTTTACTTTGTTCTGATATTTTTCGCATCAATCAAATCTATAAACACAATTTCTTTGTTTACTTTCAGTTGCACGTTCTCATTCCCAACAACCCGATACCAAATGTCACAACAGCTGGATTACCCAGTCTCAGAAAGATCGAAGCTACGTCATGCGGCGGAACTAGCTAATTCTGCACTCTTAACTCGAAGGCACATTGATTCGAAAATTTTATTCACAACTATAAATTGGAAAGATCTCATATCTGATCAACTTGAATCCAACCCCGATCTTGCCCAATTAAAACAAACAACAGCATTATTAGATAACGACAAGAAAATCATTGATGTGATTAACGAATTGATTAAAACGATCGACAGACAACGTGATCAACAACAAACCATATCCAAATCAATGGCGGATAAAAATAAATATATCAAATCTCTTGAAGCCCAAATTCAAGCGTTAACGAGGGATCAAATCACCAAAGAGAAACTCATCAATGAACAGCAAGCTGAAATCAATACGCTAAATTTGAGAATCAATTCGTTGACAAATCATAACAAACTCCAAGCTCAAGATTTGAAACAGATGAAGAATTGGAGTCTGGATATCGAAAAGAAATATCAGGTTCATATGAATAAGAAAACTGAAACTATCAATGATTTGAAAAAGAGATTAACTACTCGAGTGAGAAATATTCCGTCTTCGATAGAATATGGAACTAATAAATATCTGGATTCGATGATATTTAATAATATTCCTTCGATTCAGAATACCACTGGGATAGTTATAAATAATCCTAATTTAATGAGGATTCAGACTAGTTTGGAAGATGAGGCTAATGAATTGTCGAATAATTTAACGGTGGTGCTTGATAGTTTGGGAAGAGAGAATTATAAATTGACAAAGCTTATTCAATCAACTAGAGAATATTTTGAACAAGTGAATGATCTGATATTGGAATTACAACAGAGTAATGTAGTCGCATTGAAATTACCCAAACCGGTGGATATACCGGTTAACGTAGAGATTGATTCCAGTACACTAAAAGAATATTTTAGAAACCTTCAAGCATTTGAAGAAATTGCACCGCCGATTACTAATGAAATATATAAATTATATGATAATATATTGATCATAGATAAACTTACAAACAATAGCAAATATGATGAAGGAGGAATTGAAAAATTACAAAATGAATTAGAAATAATGACCTCCAATTGGAAAGATGCACTAAACACGGCAGATCAATGGAAGCAAATTGCGGATAAATTAAAGCATCAAAAGAATTAAATAGCATTTTCTTCTGTATAAATATTCTTTAATACAGTAGTTTCTAATGAAACAATACTTAATGGGAAATCTTTAAGTAATTCAGGATCTGCTTGATCTGTTTTCTTTAATTGTAATGATAAATCATTGGTTTTGCCATTGTAATTTAAATAGGTGTTGAGCAAAATTCCAGTACAATAAATATTTCCGTAGTTAGGGTCAGTTTTGTCAATGAAGACTTCACCATTTCCCGTTGAACCAGCAGAGGCATCAGCTGTTTGTTCTTCCTCCGCTTCCTCCTCTTCATCTTCGTCGTCATCGTCGTCTTCTTCCTCTACACCATTACTATTACCATTTCCAGTGGGAACCTCTGTTAATTTGATTGGTTTGGTCGACCCATTGTCTTCACGAATGTAGAACTTAATAATACGCAACAAATCACCAGTATATAATGAAGAAAACTCATAGTCATTAGCACCATGGAATGGCTTTACTACAACAACAATACCACCAACAGTCACATGACTGGTCAGAAATGGATCTCTAACTTCTCTAATAGCATATTCACGTTCTTTGACCTTAGATTCAAGCATATTTTGAATAAACAAAGTACGAGACAAAGTATCAAATTGTTCTGTAACTCGAGCGTATTGACTTTCACTTGGTCTACCAACATAAGTTTCCACAATTTGATGATTATTTTCATCTTTTTTAACTTGAATAGTTGACATTCGTTTAATATATTTTTGAGGATTTAATTTATGAACACCAGCACTAACTTTATCAAAATTATCTAAAACGCGTTTGAAATCCAGATCAGATGGAGATCCATTTGCAGCACCGTCTGGGTTAGCATCAGTGGCAGCAACAACACCTGCACCACCAACAGCAGCAGGAGAAGCGGAGGAACCGACAGCATTAGCTGGCAGTTGTGTCGATTTAGGTGCACCCAGATTATTATTTGCTTGTCCCGTTCCACGAGCACTATCCAATGGGAAACTATTCCAAGCAACATTAGAAGCATTATTAGTATACAGCGAGCCTGCTTGATTTTCTAAATCAGCATTTCTAGCATCTACCAAAAATGATAAAGGTCCTTTAATACCTCTTTTCTGTAATTTGGGAAATAATGGGAATAAATAATATGGATAACAACAAATTACATTGAAACATAGAAAACAAAATACAGACCCAAGTGTAACACAACAAACAGCAAACACAGCATCATTTGAAATTGACATGATTGAATCTTAACAACAACAACAGCAGCCGCAAACTTACTTTTACCAATTAAGATTGATTGATAAACAAAGGTAGAGTTGGTGGTAAAAAAAATGGTGGAAAATTGGTTGCAAAACTTTTCAATTTATACTGTAATATTCTGAACAAAGTACACTACCTTGGATCTCACTTACTTTTTAAAATTTGATAAATCAACTTTAGCTGATTTTAAAAATTGTTCAAAAGCATCTTCAGCATTAACTACTGGTTTCTCTGGGGTAGTTTCCTCATTTTCAAGCTTCTCCTCTTCTAACTTCTTATATTTTCTATTAGATTTTTTAGCTTTACTTTGTTTAACCATTTGAGCTCTTTTCACAAGTATGGCATTTCTACTAGTTTCAGGATTTTGTAAATCGTCTAATTTTGATGCTAAAATTTCTCTAGCTCTTTTTCTATTGGATTCTTTAGATCGAGAATATTGACAACTTACTACTATTCCTGTTGGTATATGAGTTAGTTGAACTTTACTATTACACTTGTTAATTTTTTGTCCACCGGCCCCTGAACCTCCATGTAAAAATGTTTCTTTGAGTTCTTCTTCCTTTATGAGCCATTTTGGTCTTGGAGGTAATTTATTCTTTTTTGGAATACCTTGGAGATATGAAGATGTAGAGAATAATTTCACTATGTTCTTCGGAAAAGCAGTTTCTCTTACAATTCTTGAAATCATTGTTGAGTTTATACTGACCAGCAATAGACCAGAGAATTATTCAATGGTCTTACAATTTTTCTTGAAGTGAGATTGATCATCTTTACAGATTTAATGTTAATTTGCAGTTTTGCGAATAACCTGTAAAACATTCAATAAACTGTAATAATACGCGTAAAACATTTAATTATTCCCAATTAGGAAATGTAATTAAATTTTTCACTTTCTCATGTTTTACACGTCTCTCTTCTTTTAATCTCGAGAAACTGTCAATTAGATTTTCTTATTTACATTTATTCTTTCTTTCTTCTCTTCTCTTCCCGTCTATTCAACTAATACTACAAGCATAATCAATATGTCATTTGAAAGAACAGATATCTATAGTGCACATGTCTTACCTGGAGAAGAACCAGAAGATAATTCATTCAATGAAGTTATTAAAGCTTTTAGATCTTTTATATTAGAATTCAGATTAGATTCACAATTCATTTATAGAGATCAACTAAGAGAAAACTTATTAATCAACAATTATTTCTTAAAAGTAAATTCTGAACATCTTATTGGTTTCAATGAAGAATTAAATAAAAAATTAACTGATGATCCAGCTGACATGATTCCATTATTCGAATCGGCAATTACTGATATTGCTAAAAGAATTGCTTATTTATCAAATGAAGAAGTACCTCAAGATTTCCCCAACTGTCAATTAATCTTGTATTCAAATGCCAACAAAACTTCAATTAGAAATTTAGATTCTGAACATATTTCCAAAATTGTTAGAGTTAGTGGTATTATCATTTCGGCATCCGTCTTATCTTCAAGAGCTACTCAAGTTCAATTAATTTGTCGTGCATGTAAACATACGATGAAAATGAAGGTTAGATCAGGATTTGGACTGATTCAATTACCTAAATGTCAAAGTACTCATAATATTGATACAAATTCCACTCAAGAAAAATGTCCACCTGATTCTTATGTTATCGTTCATGATAAATCAACCTTTGTTGATCAACAAGTGTTGAAATTACAAGAATCTCCAGATATGGTCCCAGTGGGTGAAATGCCTAGACATATCTTATTACAAGCTGATAGATATTTGACTAATCAAGTTGTTCCAGGTACTAGAGTTACCATTGTCGGTATTTATTCTATTTTCCAAGCTAAACAACGTGGTGGAAACAACAGTAATGTGGCTATTCGTAACCCATATTTAAAAGTCTTAGGAGTCCAAACTGATATTGACAATGGTACCAACGGTATTGGTATAAGTTTTAGTGAAGAAGAAGAAGAAGAATTTTTGAAATTATCAAGATTACCAAACTTATATGACGTCTTTTCTAATTCTATCGCTCCTTCAATTTATGGAAATAAAGATATCAAGAAGGCTATTGTCTGTTTATTAATGGGAGGATCTAAGAAGATTTTACCTGATGGTATGAGATTAAGAGGTGATATTAATGTCTTATTATTGGGTGATCCAGGTACTGCCAAATCCCAATTATTAAAATTCGTGGAAAAGATCGCTCCAATCTCAGTATATACTTCAGGTAAAGGTTCTTCGGCTGCCGGTTTAACTGCATCCGTTCAAAGAGATACGCAAACCCGTGACTTCTATTTAGAAGGTGGTGCTATGGTCTTAGCTGATGGTGGGGTTGTTTGTATTGATGAATTCGATAAAATGAGAGATGAAGATCGTGTGGCAATTCATGAAGCTATGGAACAACAAACTATTTCCATTGCTAAAGCTGGGATTACTACTGTTTTGAATTCCAGAACTTCGGTATTGGCAGCTGCAAATCCTGTTTTTGGTAGATATGATGATTTCAAGAGTCCTGGTGAAAATATTGATTTCCAAAGTACAATCTTATCGAGATTTGATATGATTTTTATTGTGAAAGACGATCATAATGAATCTAGAGATATGTCAATTGCTAAACATGTTATTAATGTTCATGCTGGTGGGAAACAACAAGAACAACAACAAGAAGGAGAAATCCCAATTGAAACTATGAAGAGATATATCCAATATGCTAAATTAAGATGCGCTCCTCGGTTAAGTGCAGAAGCTGCTGAAAGATTATCTTCTCATTTTGTCTCCATTAGAAGAAGATTACAAATCAATGAAGCGGAAATGAATGAAAGATCTTCTATTCCAATTACTGTGAGACAATTAGAAGCTATTGTACGTATTACTGAATCTTTGGCAAAATTGAGATTATCTCCAGTTGCAACTGAAGAACATGTTGAAGAAGCTATTAGATTATTCACTGCTTCTACTATGGATGCTGTTGATCAAGGAATTATTAGTGGTGGTGTAGGTAATACTGAGCTTGATACTGAAATTAAGAAGGTAGAACAAGAATTAAGAAGAAGATTACCAATTGGTTGGTCTACTGCTTATAGTACATTAGTCAGAGAATTTGTTGATTCTGGTAAGGCTAGTGCTCCTGCTTTATCTAAAGCTCTTTATATCATGGAAAGACATGAAGTTATTAAATTCAGACATCAAGGTCAAAATGTCTTCCGTATTGGAGTGTAATCCAGTTCACTGCCTTCACCAGCCCTTCACTTCTTGACTGTATTCTTTATAAGATATTTGTGTGTATAGAACATATGTTTGTTCATTGAAATTGTAACCTAATAATACATAAACCTAAAAATGAAATAACTTTTTTTGAACCTAAATCCAACTCTCTATGCTTTAACAATAATAATTACAGAGTCACCTCTTAAGAACATCTTTGCCACGAATCTCTCCTTCGAAACCTCCTTTATCTTCTTCCCTTTATTATTCTTCATTACTTCTGTCCATAATTCTTTAACATTCTCCAAAACCAAATTACAATGCCTATCAAATGCCTTGACTTTAGCAATTAGTTTATGGTTATTACGACATGATATTACTACTGGAGTATTATTCTTAACTGCATTTTGTAATAAGGACATGGGTCCATGAGTGAATTCAAATTCTTCAAGTTTTTGTAATTCTAATTCTGTCAATTCAGAACGAGGACGATCTATAAATTCACTAGATGATTGGTTAGTACGTTAGCTACTCATAATATCTTACTACAATGCCTTACATACCTCATTGTATTTGTGTAAACTCTTTCCACTAAAAGGACCAATCACTCGAAGAGATATTTCAAGATGCGCTTCTACAAATCTCACTAAATGCATAGGAAAAAAATTGATACATTGTACACTACCTATTAAATAATATGTCTATAAACAAACTATGCTATTACACCTTTTGATATTTACTTAATGGTGCAGTTAAGGAAGTTCCTCTTCTTATAATGTTCTCTATACGATCTTTCAATACTTTAGATCCACATTCTACCGTCAATTTATTATAATCTATTTTTGCCACGTTTTTCCCAATAGTAATCGTCGCCATTGCATTATCCAACTCTTGTAATGAATCACCAAATTGTGCTTTCAAAATAAGTGATATCCTTTTAATCCTACTCTCGATCCCGGTTTCAGAATGTGCTTCCTTATGATTGTGGTGGCGGTGTTGACTACTTGAAATCTTAACTGAAGCAGGTGAAGAATCTATGGAATACAATATCGCAATCACACTATCTGCCAAAGAATCAGCCATTAGATTATCATTTATCCATTCAACAGTCACAACCAATCCTGCACTCGATTGAGTTCTATCAATTAGAATATCCACCATTTCCATAATCTCACATTCCCATTCCTCATCGTCATCATTGATGATATTGACATATCCAAACATTTGTTCCAAATGCCAGATCATTAATGGAATATCAGCATTTATTTTGAGGGAGATTTTGGATTTGACTATTGAGGTTGCTAATTGAGTGAATTCATGTAGGTCTTGTAGTTGGAGAAGGTTGAGGTCGAAATCTTTTTGGACTAGGACTCCTGAGACGATTTGTCCCGTGTTTATGATATCGATTTGTGTGTTATCTTTGGTAGTTGTGCCATTCTCTGTAGGTTCTTGTTCTTGTTCGGTGGTTTCTTGATTATCTTCAGTGACATCGGTAATCTTCCCATTGTCCTCTTTTATCTTATTGGCAATCTCATTCTTCAATGCGACTAATTGCTCCTCTGCCAATGATCCCAATACTTTTGCAACCTTCATTCCTTTAAACCCGATCTTCAACTCCTCACAATTCTTCGGATTATATACCTTAATCTCCTGTTCAGTCCCTCTTCTCAGGGAATATTTACTCAACAACGCCGACTTCAACCTCCCCATTGGGATTGAATCTCCATGCACCAAAATGATCCTAGATGGATTTACTTTTTCAATAAATTCCGAATTTTGGACAAAATCAACATGTGCCGCAAATGAAATTTCTTCAATTCCAATACGTCTCGGAATTGTCATATCTGAATTCAGAGCCGATTGGATCGTATGTGGTTCTTTTAATAAATCTTTTGCCATAGTTCCTTCAACGGAGTATCCAGTCATTATGACTAGGTTTTTCGGGTCAGGAGCCCATTTTTCAAGAAGTTGTCGTGAGACTCCGGCTTGTAACATCCCAGGAGTGGCTATTACTACTGAGGGACCCATGTCTTGAAATCGGGAGAGGTCTTTGATTGATTTTACGAATTTAAAATCGAATGGGTTGGATCGTTTCCCGGAAGTGGAGGATGTGGTTGAGAGACGGATATTGTCATTCATTATACTGGTGTAGGTTTCATAAACGGCCATACATTTCTTCGCGAGAGTGGAGGCGTAATAAATGTTGAAACCTTGAAGATCTTCATTTTGATTCCAATATTCATCAAGGATTAATAATAATTCTTGGGCATTACCTAAAGCAAAAACGGGTAATAATACTCTACCACCTTTTAAGATAGTTGCATGGATATGGCTAGTTAATTTATTTTCTAAGGCTGCCTTGGGTTCAAGTGTACCAGTACCAAAAGTAGATTCACTAATCAAAATATCCGGTTTAATTGGTGGCACTTCAGCTGCATGCAAATGTCTATTTTCTTCACGAGAATAATCACCCGTGAATAAGATTTTTAAACCTCCAATTTCAATAAAATACATACATGCTCCCAAAACATGACCTGCATGATATGCTGTGAATCTAATTCCTTCAATTTCCATAGTTGAATGGTAATCAATAGTTTCAATTTTATCAAATGATTTCATAATATCTTCATCGGTATATAAATTACTAGACGTAACTTGTTGTCCAGTACCTCCAGCATCACCTCTAGCATTTCCAATAGATGTAACTCTAACGAAATCTTGCAATAACCAACGATAAATTGCTTTAGTTGCCAGAGTCATAAATACTCTTCCATTGAATGTAGTCAGCTGCATAACATAAGGTAATGAAGCAGCATGATCTAAATGGAAATGACTAATTAATAAAATATCAACTTTTGATAAATCATATTCATCATAAAATGGGAATGATGAATGTCCTGATAATGCTGGATGAATACCAGCATCTAACATGATTACTTTATTCTTATATTCTATTATATGACATGATCTTCCGACTTCATTACATCCACCCAATCCAAAGAATTTAAATGATTCTTCATCTGTAAATTCACTTTCCACTGTCATTTTCACAATGGCTTGTTTAATTGGAATGAAAATTGGTATGGAATTATTCAAATGGGTTTTTGTTTTTGTCTTGTGAGATGGATGGGCTTGGGTCTCAATTTGGTAGTGTAGAAAATTTGATCTGGAGTGACAGCCAGACAGCCAGATGACAGACGCGACTGCAGACTACGAAACAGCTAGATAGACTAATAGAAAGACAGATAGCTAGACAGAAAAAAGGAGAACAAGAGAAGAGTTGTGATTAAGGATAGAAAATATATATGGAATCTAACGGAGTCTAAGAAGAGAAGTATAAGGATAGGAAGCAATGAAATTGAAATTACATGGTACTAATTTAGACGTATTATATCAAACATTAATGTTAATTAATAATTTACGTAAATTTATAATAATTAGATTTACTAATGATCAATTAATTATTATCCTGCAAAATAATTCAAATGGTGAACCACAAGTTTGGTGTAAATTAAATATTAAAATATTATTTGATGATATTGATATTCAAAGTATTAGAGATAATACTATAACTATTGAATTAAATATTGATCTATTATTACAAACTCTAAGAAACTTTGATAAAGCAAATAGTGATGGTTTATTTATAAGATTGCAAAGAAAAGATTCTGGTACTGGAACCACAGCTGGTCATGGAGATACTGGTGGTGGTGGACGCACGGCATCATTAGCTTTATTTTATGTTAATATTAATCAAAATTCAAATGTTGTAAATCATATCTTTAGAATTCCAATCAAAATATTAAAGAATGGGAATGATTTATTGCATGAACCAGAACATAGTAATATTGGTTTAGTATTGAAATTACCAAATCAATTTCTGAATATGTATAAACGATTAGATAAATTTAAACGATCTACGGGAGTTACTGGTACTAGTAATGATACTGTAACTATTAAAGCAAGTAAGAATAACGGTGGATATTTAGGATTCATATTAGAAGAAGATGGTAAGTTTAAAGTTACTATTAGCTGGAATGATAAATTAGAAGTACAGAAACCAAATAATAATCAAGTAATAGATCATGATTCTCTTAGAGATACAATGTATCATCCACAAGATCAACCAGATGAAGAACAAGAAGGAACTAGTGATAATGATGATATGGAGATAACTGTTAGATTAAGAGATTGGCAAATGGGTAGTAAATTAGTTAGTCAATGTCATAGTGTTTTATTATTAATAGGAGATAAGGATTGTGCTTTAGTTTGTTCATTAGATGGTGATAATGATGATTGTGAAATTGTTTATTATATTAATGGCTTAAGGAAATATTGACGCTACCATACGAAGACCTATTAGTCATTCTTTTTTTCTCCTGTGTCATATGGTAGCTCTAATACAATTGAGATAAGCAAAGGAGTCACAACTCAGTTGATGTGAAAAATTTCATTAATTTTTCATTTTTAAATTACTCATTCCTTTACTCAACATTCAATTGTACACACCCCCAAGAATGTCCAGAACATTAGAACGTGAAGAACCAAACTACTTTGGTGCTGGTCCAGCGTTATTACCAACTTCAGTTTTACAACAAGCTGCTTATGATTTAATCACTTATGAAACTGAAGCCATTGGTATTGGTGAAATTTCTCATCGTTCAAAACCTGCCATAAAAGTAATTGATGATACCAAAGATAATATCAAGACATTATATAGTATCCCAGATACTCATGAAGTCTTTTTTATGCAAGGTGGAGGAACTACTGGGTTTTCATCAATTGCATATAATTTAATTGCTAATTTTGCTAAAAAGACAGGAAAGAAGGGAAAAGCCGCTTATGCAATTACTGGTTCTTGGTCTAAGAAATCAGCTGAAGAAGCTGAAAGATTAGGATTTGATGTTGATATTGTTGTGAATACAAAGCCAACCAAATTTTCCACAATCCCACCTTATTCTGAATGGAAACCTATTGATAAAGAAAATACTGCATATCTTTACGTATGTGATAATGAAACTGTTCATGGGGTTGAATTTAAGGATACCCCATCACAAGATTATTTACCTGATGGTGTTGAATTAGTTGCTGATATGTCTTCAAATGTCTTATCCAAAAAAATCGATGTTTCTAAATATGGTTTAATTATGGCTGGTGCCCAAAAAAACATTGGATTGGCAGGATTAACAATTTATATCATTAAGAAATCCTTATTGGAACAAGCTACCGATGCTGAATTAAGAGCAATGAATATCCCAGTTGTCCCAATTGCATTCCATTATCCTACGGTTGTTTCAAATAATTCTGCCTATAATACAATTCCAATTTTCACTTGTCATATTTTGAAATTGGTAACCGATAAATTAATCGAACAAGGTGGAATTGACGCAATTGAAAAAGTTAATGCCGAAAAAGCTGAGATTTTATATAATGCCTTACAAGCATACCCTGAATTTTATAGTTTACCAGTCACTGATGCCAATGCAAGATCTAGAATGAATGTCGTGTTTAGATTGCCTAGTGAAGAATTGGAAGCTAAGTTCGTTAAAGAGGCTGCTGCGAAGAAATTAACTGGATTAAAAGGACATAGATCTGTTGGTGGAATGAGAGCTTCTATTTATAATGCGGTTAGTTTGAAGAGTGTTCAATTGTTGGTGGATTTCGTTAATGAATTTGCTAAAGCAAACGCTTAGATTAGTTTTCATATTCTCATAGTATATATATATATCTTAATATTAACCCTTTCTTATAAATCTGACTTCATAAGTTGTATCTCACCTTCAATGGGACGATTCGATCTTTTCCAATTGGTAGCTCTTCGCGCAGTATGAATTGAAAATTTTTCCGTATGGCTAACAATATCTTCAATACTACTATAACAACATCTACCAATGTTAATCCACCACATAACGAAGAGGAGTTTTCCTAGAATCATACCGCGATCGTTATCTTCCCCCCTCATACGACACCCCAACTACTCCACGCAATCAACTCCCGCCACTGCTAGCACCCCAGCCACCAAACAAAAACTAGCCCAACTCAATATAGAATCATATCGAAAACAAATCCAAGATCGAATCGCCAAAATCCCCATTGAGAACTATCGTAACTTCAGTATTGTCGCTCATGTCGATCACGGAAAATCCACCCTCCTGGACCGACTTCTAGAACTCACAGGTGTAATCCAACCTGGAGGAAATGCCCAAGTCTTAGACAAGCTCGATGTGGAAAGAGAACGTGGGATTACAGTTAAAGCCCAAACCGTGTCCATGATCTATCAGGACCCAACTAGCAAAGAAGACTATTTGTTACATCTTGTAGATACACCCGGACATGTTGATTTCCGTGCTGAGGTGAGTCGATCATATGCAAGTTGTGGTGGGGCTCTATTGTTAGTGGATGCCACTCAGGGTGTACAAGCTCAAACAGTAGCTAATTTTTATTTGGCATACAGTATGGGACTTAAGTTGATTCCTATCATAAATAAAATCGATCTCGATCTGGCTGATATTCCTGCAGCTATGGATCAGGTAGAACTGACGTTTGAATTGCCAAGGGAGGAATGTATCCCCGTGAGTGCGAAGACTGGATTGAATGTCCAAGATATAATTCCGGCGATTATTAGAGATATTCCGTGTCCAACTGGAGATTTATCCAAACCATTAAGGGCCTTACTTGTCGATTCTTGGCATGACACATATATGGGTGTGGTCATGCTTGTTCATATCGTAGATGGTCGACTCAAAAAGGGATCAAAGATCGGGTCCGCACATAGCGGAAAAACATACGATATTAAAGAATTAGGAATCATGTATCCGGATCGTATACCCATGGACGAACTCAAGGCGGGACAAGTTGGTTATGTCATTCCTGGAATGAAAAACCCAAGAGAGGCATTGGTCGGGGATACGCTATTCCAACATGGGAAACAAAGTCTTGGACTTGAAGCTTTGCCCGGATTTGAGGAACCAAAACCCATGGTGTTCGTGGGGGCTTTTCCTGCCGACGGGAAGGAATTCAAGGCTATGGATGACCAGATGGAGAATTTAGTATTGAATGATAGATCTGTGCATTTGGAAAAGGAATCCAGTGATGCGTTGGGAATGGGTTGGAGATTAGGGTTTCTTGGATCATTACATGCGTCTGTTTTCAAAGAAAGATTAGAAAAGGAATATGGGGCTAAGATTATTTTAACGGCCCCCACGGTTCCATTTAAGGTAGTGTATAAGAATGGAGATGAGGTGATTATTAAGAATCCAAATCAGTTTCCGGAACATAATAAACAAATGGTGAAGACGTTGATGGAACCATATGTGGAAGCGATCATGACGGTGCCGGATGAGTATGTGGGACAGGTTATGTCATTATGTCTTGGGAATAGAGGTATTCAGAAGGATTTGGAATATTTGACAACCGGACAAGTGTTGTTGAAATATGAGATTCCGATGTCACAATTGGTTGAAGATTTCTTTGGGAAATTGAAAGGGGCAACTAAGGGGTATGCATCTTTAGATTATGAGGAATGTGGATATAAAGAAGCTGATATTGGGAAATTACAGATCTGTGTGAATGGAATTCCACAAGATGCATTGACTACAATTGTGCATAGATCTCAAGCACAGCAAAAAGGTAGAGAAAGCGTTGTGAAATTTAAGAAATATTTAAAAGGGCAATTATTTGAGATTGCAATTCAAGCTAAATTTAATAATAAATCAGTGGCGAGAGAGACTATTAAAGCTAGAAGAAAGGATGTTACTCAGAAATTACATGCTGCTGATATTTCAAGATATAGAAAATTATTAGATAGACAAAAGGAAGGTAAGAAACAAATGAAGGCTACTAGTAGTGTTTCAATTGGTACCGATGCATATCAGGCATTCTTACGTAAAGAAGATTAAAAGCGTGTATTTAGAAAAGTTCTTGTATATATATATAATACTTAATCATTCTTTAAGAATTTCTTGTAGAATACGTTATCAGATTCGTCAACGAACGTATATCCAATATTCTTTAAAAATGCTTGGAAATCATCCTCTGAGCCTTCAGGAAGGATAAATCCACATAAAACTTTTCCAACATCATGACCATGATTTCTATAATTAAACAAACTAATATCCCAATCACTTCTTAAAGCTTGTAAGAAATTAAATAATGCATTCGGACGTTCTGGGAATTCAAATTGGAAAATCTTTTCCTGTTGAGCTCTAGCAACGTGAGATTTTCCTCCAACAAGATATCTACCATGGGATTTTGCTAATTCGTTATCGGAAATATCAACAACTTCATATCCGGCATTAGTCATTGCTTCTAAAATAGTTGGTTTTTCACGGTGTTTATCAATGACATTGAAGGAAACAAAGATATTTGCGGTTTTATCACCACTACATCTATAGGAGAATTCAGTGATTGCTCTTGGATTAATAATTTTTTGTAATTTTGCAAATTCATTTGGTTGTTCAGGAATTGTAACTGCAAGTGAGACTTCTTTACCTTCACCTAATACAGCACGTTCACTTACAAATCTTAATCTATCAAAATTCATATTTGCACCTGATAAAACTGGGACATAAGTCTTTTCACGATGATCAATTTCAGGATGTTCTTCAATATATTTCTTTAATCCAGCAACTGATAATGCACCAGAAGGTTCTGTAATCAGTCTTGTATCTTCAAAAATATCTTTAATTGCTGCACATAATTCATCAGTATCAACACGAACTACTTCATCTACTAAATCAGTACAAAGTCTCCAAGTTTCATCTCCCAATACTTTAACAGCAGTCCCATCGGCAAACATTCCAACTTTATCCAATACGGCCATTTTCTTTTGTTTGAGAGATTGATACAAAGCATCTGCGTCATATGTCTCAACACCAATGATTTTAACATGAGGAGCAATTTGTTTAAGATATACAGCAACCCCGGCAATTAATCCCCCACCGCCAACTGGGACAAACAATGCATTTAATTTATCTAATCTTAATTGTCTTGTAATTTCCAATGCAATAGTACCTTGACCAGCAATAACATAAGGATGATTAAAAGGTGGGATATTAATTAAATTATTCTCATTACTTAAACGTTCACATTCTAATTTTGCCGAATCGAAATCATCACCAAAAAGGACAACTTGAGAACCTAATCTTGAAACATTTGTATATTTAATTGATGGGGTTGGAGTTGGCATTACTATAGTTGCGGGTATTTTTAATTTATTGGCAGAATAAGCGACCCCTTGAGCATGATTACCAGCAGAACATGCGATAACACCAGACAATGGATGTTTTGACTGTGAATGCAAGTGAGCAATCATATTATAAGCACCTCTTAATTTAAATGAAAATACTGGTAATAAATCTTCTCTCTTAAGGTAGATATTTGAACCACATTTATGAGATAAGTTAATTGCATGAGTTAAAGGAGTACCTCCTTCATTAACAACATCATATACTCTTGATGTTAAGATCAATTTTATATAATCTGGTTGTCCATCACTTTTGAAATCAGATGGTAATAATTCTGGCCATTTCTCGCTGGTTGTCTTGGTTGACTGATTACGCAATTGTTGTAATGATAGTAATTTCGTAGTATTTGTAGTACGTGTATTACGTAATAGTATACGTGAGTATACAATTGGTAGTTTCCTTACAAGCATTGGTTGTTGTAATTTCCTCGGTTCAAATCAAAAGAAGAAGAAGAGGAAATGAAATGGAATTTTTCAACGAGATGAATTCTCCAATTAAAAAATGATGATGACAATCAACTGATGAATCATACAAAACTTGATTTACACTAGAGAAAAAAATATATATATATAATCACAGTTGGATCAAATATGAAATCTACATCCAGACAATTAGTCATTCTTTATTGTTACAACCAATAAGAGCAAAGCACAATCATAGATTATTAGGACTAATTGAGAAGTAAGATTGACTCATACTTTTGAGTGTCTTGTCCGGGTACCCTTTTTGTGTCATAACATTAAGCCGCGCCGGTTCAGGTGAAAAAAAAAATCAAGAAGAGCTACCAATTGTAATTTTTCAATGCATCAATCCAAATAATCCTAATAGATCGCTACAATAAGTTATAGAAAAGATCTAACTACATAAGTTGAATTTCAATCAATACTGAACTATACATATTTCTAAATGTTATTCTAAACTTTGTTTATCGTTGCTACTTCAAAAACTATTAATAATTAATATAAATATTGAAACGTGTCTCCTAACATTTAAAAGGAAGGAAATTACTATGAATTTATTCCAATTTCAAGTCTCTTCCTTAACAAATAAAGGCAACCTATCGAGCCAAATAAGTGATTACGAAAATAAGTAATAATTGTAACTGTGGACACGACTACTTCTTTATTTCATTATATAAAATAAGAAAGTAAGTTGATGCAAGAACAAGCAGGAGTTTCCCTACAATTAGTTTGATTATTAAGGAAGCGCAATTTAACTGAAAAAAAAAATATAAAATTATATGTCAGTATCTTTTCTAGTATTACAGTATATGGGACTAGATCTATTATCTTCTGTGTCTATTTACATTCAATGGCTAATGATAAAATAAGAATAAAATTTGTTAGCTTTCCATATATATATATGTAGGTGTATATAGGTTGTGATGAGATATAAAAATATTACAAAGGGAATTATTGTTGCAATTGTTGATGTGGTGGTGCAGCATAACTAAAAAAATATTTTGATGGCTGCAAAAAAAAACCTTAAAATTCACAGAAACATAAACTACCAATATCTTCTTCTCTCTCTCTTTCCCCCTTACTTTTTGTACTGTGTATAATAATTTTAAACGGCATTTATTAAGCATCTACTTATTTTTATTTGTGTATACGACGACAATTATCTATCATCCTAATTATTATTATAACTGACTAAATCTATTTATTTTCTTACCAATTCAACTACAACTACAACTACTATTACTACTGCTGCAATTACTACTAGGTAACTATCATCTAATTATAAGTCAGCTATATTACTCCCCTTACTTCCCTTATTCGTTTTCTATCATTACCCCTTTTATTTTATTTATAATTTTTTTGCTATAACAAATCCTACCCATCATCCTATTATATAGCATACCTAAATCACATTTTGATCTAATTACTTTTTATTTTTTTGATATCTTTTAACCAATTCATTGCTAAATTTCCAATCTAATATTCCTATCCCCCTCCCTTCATCAGAGACAATTTTTACTATTTTTAGATATTCCCAACAGTTCAACCAACAAAGTCAAACAAAGCGGTTTCAAGTATCATAATTCTGTCTTTTGTTTTTTTACTATTCATTTCGTTTAGCTTTATTTATTTCCTTATTAACATCTATTACTAAGTCAACTGCTTTCAAGTTTTAAAACACATTTCAAAACCTTGGGTTCAAAGGGTTTTGAAGAGTAACCTTGTGAAAAAACCATGGATTTAAATTATAATGAAGAATTCCAAATACCTGATTGTCATCCCAATTCCGATTTCAATAATCATCCCCTGATTGTAGGTGGAGGTGGAAGTGTACATGATAATATCAAGATTGAATGGGATTATCTTCAATTGTCTCATCAAGAAATAACACAAGCATTGGAGAATAATGCTAGTGCAACTACAACAGCAACAACATCAACATCAACTACAACAGCTGAGAATAGTATTATTAATGGCGGGGCCAATGGGAGTGGAGGAAATGGAGGAGGTGGTCCACCAATTGAGATTAGTCCGTCCATTTCAAATCAGACGGTACAATCGTTACGACCTTCATTCTCGAGTGAGTATGAAACTGATACTACTGATTTTTTAGGGTTGATTGATAAATCGGATCAATATACTTTCAAATTGGATGCTAATTTCTTCTTTGATCATAATAATAATATAGTGGAGAGTAATCATCAACAACAGCAACATCATCAAAACCACCACCATAGTCATAATAATACTAGCACTAATGGCTATGAGCTAGAAACTACTCCAAAACATATATTATCAACACCAGCATTCATAGATCATGGAACTCCTGAATTTCTCCTTCTCCAAAATGAAATTCAAGAATTAAACAATACTCATCACCAACATCAACAACATCTTCAACAACAGCAACATATACAGCAGCATCATAACCTAAACCAACATAACCACCATCAACAACTCCCACATCAATCAAATAATAGATTTCTCCTGCTGTCTCTGTTTTCCTCCCAGGTTTTCCAAAGACTGATTTCATCCACTTCATCCACCCCTGCCTCGGGTCCATCCCCAATTCAAATTGATTTTGAAGAATTTGTAACCTCCCCCATCTACGAATGGCCTAATGACGAAACATCCACTCCACAAAACATAAACCTCCTCAACACAAACAACATTCAAGTCCGGCTAGTCAATCTCGACCCTAAGACAATCTCCGACGCCGTTCGAAAAACTATAAGGGAAGAATTTGCAGTACAGGATTTATTCCTCAGTGGTCAAGCCCCCTTGCTGGCCCCCGAAATCCCTCGAGCTATAAGAAAGAAGAATGATAAGGATGTTGAATGGACTCCATTGAGTGTATACAAAGCATATACGAATATCAAGAGTCCTACGAATGGGAAGGAGGCATATAATCATTTAGTGCCGTATAGTAGTTGTATTGGGACATTGAATTATCGACCTAAAGACCATGCAGCCTGGAAGAGGAGTCCTAATCGAAGGAGGTAAACGTGTTTGTTTGTTTTGAGAGTAGAGAGTTTTATTAAAAAAGATAACGAGATAATAATAATAATAATAATAAAAGAATAGTTAATATGGATATGTTTGATTTGGTTTTCGGTTTTTAATGACAATGATTATTTATTGTCTTATATTTGATTTGTTTGTTGTGTTGTGTGCTTTTCTTAATTATTAATTAATTATAGTGTTACGTTTTGTTGAATGTATATACCTTTTTGGAGAGAGTGATTTTAAAATTAAAACTAAATGTAATTCTAAGTAAACCGTTTATTAGATCGATCTCTATTATGTTTTGCAATTTTACGAAATTTTTAGTTGTTTTTTGATGTAAAATTTTACATCCACTTGCTGAAAAATATTTATTCTTCAAGGAGGGCAAACAAAGGCAAGCAACTACGAGGATTGCGCTTATTTGCCTTATAATGACCCCTCCCTACCAGAAGATCATGTATCTAGAATACGGGTTATCTAAATCGTAATTACCGAATAGACATCTTGCATGAAGCAACACCAATTTGCGGACATAATTTGCGCGGAATTCTGATGAAAAAATCCGAAGTATGAAGTATTTTTTTTATAGAGACAACCAAATAGAGAAGATGACAAATTTCACGTGAAAAGTGGTTTAGACTCCGGCTTCAAACCCCGTATAATGGACATTGAAGATAGTTTACTCCACTAACGGTGGAGAAAGGACTTTGACACAAAAGTTGACAAAAGTAAGTGTGTGGGTAATTTAATATCCAATCATAAAAATAATATCTCGATTATCTAAAGTCACGTGCAATTATCTGATAGTTTAAAATATTCGCAATCTTTTCATTGTCGATGAATTTTATATACAGGAATATTGATAATACCAATTAAACTTAGATGGATGATGGAATTATTAATCTTTCTTGAAAATTTTCAATTTTATATTAAACATTTTAGAAATCCCTAGTTCTTTCTACTTCTTCCAGATTTCATCAATAAAAGTTAACAGTCATGAGTATAAGTCAACAACAAGCTAGTATGTATTAAAAGATAAGGGAGATAGTCCTCGATACATTTGATTTTTTGAACCATTTCCCACTACCTTTGGCAACCAAACTCATGTATACTAACTAAAGAATCTAGTCGCTCATACAGTTGATAGAATTGGTGGTACTGTATTTGTCACTCAACCTGCCAAGTCCGTTGAGTCTTCATTTACAAGTAACCTTTTCCCATCTGCTACAAGATTAATCAATTCAAATGATCCTTATGCAACCATTCAAGATTATCTTACCAATACTATTGAAGAACATTCAAAAGTTACAGTTACAACTGATGGAATTACTTTACTTAAGAGTTTACCATATTTCTCATCATCTGCTTTCAAGACTAATCAAGTTGTATCTCATATTGAATTAAATAATTTTGATTATTCCATTGTTACTTCATTAAGAGATTTAGAATATCCTATTTTAGTATCAAATACTGCTAAAGATGCTTATGTATTTGCTAATTTAGCTTATAATTTAGCTGAAAAATTACAAACTTCAGTTTTCCATTTCTTTGCTCCATCTACCGCCAATGAATCATTTAAATTATCCGAAGGTGTTTTGATTGAAAATGTTGAAGAGTTGGAAGTTGATAAGATTTTACAACAATTTGGTGTTAGTCCATTTGAAATTGTCAATAAAGGAACCAAATCTACCAAAGATGCTATTTTGTACTTGGGTTCAGTATCTGATGCTCTTGTTGATGCTGCTAATAAAGAAAACGCATTATTGATTAATGTTAAACTTTTTAAGCCATTCCAATTAAACCGTTTATTATCCATTATTCCATCAACTATTGAAACTATCACTGTTGTTCAACAAACTACTGGTGCTCATTCTGGTTCATTTTCTCCATTATTATTAGATTTCTTTGCCGAATATCCAAAATATCAAACTTTGAAAAACTTCACCAAAATCGTAGCTGCTACTTTTGGATTAATCAAAGATTATCAACAAGTTATCAAGAACTTATTGCAAAATGTTCATGCTGAATCTCCAGTTCAAAATTTATCATTTGGGAAAATTAATACTGAATTAACTACCAAATCTTCCAAACAACTTAATCAAGATTATATTGATGCAATTAGCGGTGCTCATAATTTAGAACAAGCATATTTGAAATTATTACAACAAGTTAACCCAACTAATTTGAATATCTTGAATGAATTCCAAGCAGAAAATATTGGTCTCGAAACAAATCCAGAATTCGGTTTCGGTTCATATTTATATGATCAAGAACAACAAGAGAACTTGATTGCTTTAGTTGGTTCTGCAATTAAATCTCCAAATGGGTTTAATTCTTCTGATAACACCAGATTAATTGAAGCTTTATCCACTTGGTTAGTACAAATTAAAGGAACTGGTAGAGTTGAATCTGAATTGGCTAACGAAATTGTTGAATTATTAACTAGTGATGATGAATCAGTTCAAGCCCGTGAATTATTGGCATTGAGTAAATATTTTAAGACAGAAAACAATTGGTTGATTGGTTCTGATGCTTGGTCCTATGATTTAGGTTCGTCAGGGGTACATAATGTGATTACATCCGGTAAGAATATCAATATGTTGATTATTGATTCTGAACCATATTCCGAAAAGAAGGAAAATGAAAAAACTATCAATGGTTTCAGAAAGAAGGATGTTGGTTTATATGCTATGAATTATGGTGATTGTTATGTTGCTTCAGTGGCTATTTATTCAAGTTATACCCAAGTCTTGCAAGCATTAATTGAAGCCGAGAAATTCAATGGTCCTTCAATTGTTTTGGCATATTTACCATATCATCAAGAATCTGATAATACTTTAGAAGTCTTAAAAGAAACCAAAAAAGCAGTTGATAGTGGATATTGGCCATTATATAGATATGATCCACATTTAGAAAACGATGCAGAAACTTTCAAATTAGATTCATCAAACTTGAAGAAACAATTAGCTGATTTCTTAGATCAACAAAATAAATTAACTTTATTATCCAAGAAGAACCCTCAATTATCCAGAAACTTAACTTCTCAAGCCAATACTGAATCCAAGGCTAAACAAACCCAAATTGCTGATGAATCTTTTGCAAAATTACTCCAAGGGCTCAGTGGACCTCCATTAACCATTGCTTTTGCCTCCGATGGTGGAAATGCCGAAGCATTGGCTAAGAAGATCAATAGACAAGCAATTGGACGTGGATTGAAATCAATCGTGGTACAAATGGATGATATTTCCGTTGAAGATTTACCAACTGAAACCAATATCGTGTTTGTGACTTCAACTTCCGGACAAGGTGAATTCCCAACTAATGGGAAACAATTTTGGGATGCATTAAAGAATACAGTTGATTTAGATTTATCAAGCATCAAATATTCCGTGTTTGGTCTTGGTGATTCTCAATATTGGCCACGTAAAGAAGATAAACATTATTACAACAAGCCAGCCAAGGATCTTGAAGCAAAATTGAAACTTTACGGTGGGGTTGAATTAGCAGAAATCGGACTTGGTGATGATCAAGATGCAGATGGTTTTTCTACTGGTTTCAATGAATGGATTCCAAAGATCTGGACCGCTTTAGGTGTTGATAATGTCGAAGGTGTTGAAGAACCAAAGCCAATCACTAATGAAGATATGAAGCTTGGATCTGATTATCTTAGAGGTACCATTGCTGAAGAATTAGCTGACCAATCCACAGGTGCTATTTGTGCTGTTGATCAACAATTAACTAAATTCCATGGGATTTATATGCAAGATGACCGTGATATTAGAGATGAACGTAAGGCACAAGGATTAGAACCAGCCTATAGTTTTATGGTTCGTGTTAGATTACCTGGTGGAAGAGCCACTCCTAAGCAATATTTAAAGATGGATGAATTGGCTGATGTTAGAGGAAATGGAACTTTGAAATTAACAACTAGGGCTACTTTCCAATTACATGGTGTTGTTAAACATGATTTAAAACCTGCTATTAGAGGAATGAATTCTGCTTTGATGGATACTTTGGCTGCTTGTGGGGATGTGAATAGAAATGTTATGGTGAGTGCATTACCTCACAATGCGAAGATTCATGGACAAGTATCTGAAGTTGGTGCGTTGATTTCTGAATATTTATTACCTAGAACCACAGCATATCATGAAATTTGGTTACAAGGGGATGGCGATGGTGATAAACCAGGTTACAAGGAAGCTTGGGAAAATAGAAAAGAAGGTCCAACTAAGAAGAAAACTCTTGTGGCTGGAAATGTCCTTGCTGATGTTGAACCAATGTATGGAAATACCTATTTACCTAGAAAATTCAAGATTGTTATCACTGTTCCTCCATATAATGATGTTGATGTATATGCTCATGATATTGGATTGATTGCAATTGTTGTTGATAATGAAGTTGTTGGGTTCAATGTATTAGCTGGTGGTGGTATGGGTTCAACTCATAATAATAAGAAGACTTATCCTAGAACTGGTAGTATGTTCGGTTACGTCTCTAAGGAACAAGTTCATATTGTTTGTGAAAAGATTATGTTGGTTCAAAGAGATTTCGGGGATAGAACTAATAGAAAACATGCTAGATTGAAATATACTATTGATGATTTAGGTGTTGATGTATTCAAAGGAAAGGTTGAAGAGTTATTAGGATGGAAATTCGCTGAACCAAAGCCATTCAAGATTGAATCTAATGTTGATTATTTCGGTTGGTGCAAGGATGAATTGGGATATAATCATTTCACTGCTTTCATTGAAAATGGTAGAATTGAAGATACTGTTGAATTACCTCAAAAGTCTGGTTTACAAAAGATTGCTCAATTTTTGGATGGTAGAGCATCAGGAGAATTTAGGTTAACAGGTAATCAACATTTAGTCATTTCCAATGTTGCTGATGAAGATTTATTAGAAGTTAAATCATTATTAGCTAAATATAAATTAGATAATACTGATTTCTCAGCATTAAGATTATCATCAGCTGCATGTGTCGCCTTCCCAACTTGTGGTTTAGCTATGGCTGAATCTGAACGTTATTTACCAGTATTAATCACTAAATTAGAAGAAGCCTTAGAAGAATATGGATTAAGACATGATTCTGTGGTGATGAGAATGACTGGTTGTCCAAATGGTTGTGCTAGACCTTGGTTAGCTGAAGTTGCATTGGTTGGTAAAGCTCTTGGTGCCTATAATTTATTATTGGGTGGTGGTCATCATGGACAAAGATTGAATAAGATTTATAGATATTCAATTAAGGAAGATGAAATCTTGTCTACTTTGAAACCATTATTCAAGAGATGGTCAGTGGAAAGAGATGATGGTGAACCATTTGGAGATTGGTGTATTAGAGCTGGTATCATCAAGGAAACTACTGAAGGTAAATATTTCCATGATGATATTCCTGAAGATGCTTAGATGAATTTGTTTAAGAGAGAGGAGGAAGGATCATTTGGTTTTAGGACTTGGCGGTTAACATTGAATCATTGGGTCTGTTCTTTCTTTTATTAGAAGCATTGTAATCTTTTTGTTTTGTACTTTTATTCGTTATTATTTGGATTTATTTGTTTATTTAAAATTCTTTTTATATATTATTAATAAAATAATAGATTTATCAATTGAACTTGTTCAAACTGTAGGAATATGCTAGTATTAAATATGTCTTTAACGTTTCGGTGACTTTGACTATCTCCCTTGATTTAGCTGTTCTATTACAGAAAGCGAGTCGTTCCCAATCTATAAGAAGAATTTATCTGTAAGCAAATAACTCTATGTGTATTTATTATACTTCTATCTATCTATATCCTGCGTGAATGATAACTACTATTGCTATTACTATTTCTATGACCAGTCATAGTATTATTATTATCACTTGTATTAATCTTTGCTTGTTTTAAAGCATTTGATTTCATTTGTTGAATATCTTTAATTAAATTCTTTGTAGTTAATTTATGGTTTCTTTCAACATTAAAAGAATCTTTAATCTTAACATTCCATAGAGTTACACTTACACCGTTTAATCTTCTTAATATCTTTTGTTGTGTTTGTAATGCTCTTTTATTCATTTTATCATCCATTTGCTTTAGGATTTGCTGTTGTTGATTACGAAGATGTCGTATTAAGAGTTCCTTATCTTTCTTGGTATATCCAACAGCCATGTTACCTTCTTCCTTATTCATTCTCAACTAGTATCTATCTCTTACTATATTATATTAATCTATTGGCAAGAAGAAGAAGAAGAGTAACAGTTCCATAAATTGTAAACAAACATTGGGGGTGGTTGATAGAGACTGCATATAAATAACCACTAGAAAAAATTTCAATTTTTCATTTCAGTGGCAATTCAGCGACAACCAGAGAGGGATTGAAAACAGGTAAAGGAACTCACTTGAAGATTAAATAAACAACAGCAAATTTAACACTAATTCCCATCTCAATTGATAAACGCGTTAATTGAACGATTGCAATTCACATTTACTACATTCATTTTTATATTACGTCCCCAATAACAAGCAAACTCAGTATACAAGATGGTTCTCGAAGCTACTATGATTGCCATTGACAACTCAGAATATATGAGAAATGGAGATTATTTAACAACAAGATATGAAGCACAATTATCGGCAACAGAATTCATCTTCCAAAATAAAATAAACTCGAATCCAGAGAATACAGTTGGATTATTAGCATATGGTGGAAATGGGCCTCAAGTATTATCAACATTAACAACTGATTTTGGTAAAGTTCTTTCCGGAGTTCATGAAACTAAAATATCAGGTGAAAATCATTTCTCGAGTGGAATTCAAGTTGCTGCTTTAGCATTAAAACATCGTGGAAACAAAGTACAACAACAAAGGATCATTGTATTTGTTGGTAGTCCAATTCAAGAATCGGATAAAGAATTAGAGAAATTGGCTAAAAAGATGAAAAAGAATAATGTTGCAATTGATATAATAAACTTTGGTGAAGAAGGTGTCAATACCCCAAAATTGGAGAAATTTAATTCAATTATAAATAATCATGATAATTCTCATTTAGTTACAGTTCCACCTGGTCCAAGATTATTATATGAAGTAATTGCCACTTCTCCAATCTTAATAGATGAAAGCTTTGCTGGTGGATCTGATATGGACTTCTTTGGAGGTGCTGGAGGCGCTGGAGATTTCGTTGATCCTTCAATGGATCCTGATTTAGCATTGGCTTTAAGACTTTCTATGGAAGAAGAAAAGGCAAGACAAGAACGTGAAGCTGCTGAAAAGGCAAAGAAGGAGGCAGCCGCTTCCAATGAAGGTAGTGGATTAGAAAAGATCAATGAAGATAAAAAGGAAGAAGAAGATGGTGATGTTAATATGGAAGATACAAAGTAAGTAACTAATTTTACATATAGTACAGTATGTATAATAAATGCGGCTCATAGATAATTGCCTATTTGGGATCAGAGAAAAACCTCTCTTTTTGTATTCTCTTTTTTTTAGGCAGCGCTTAAAAATGATTGCAAAAAATGTATTCCAATACGTAATCAACTCTCTTAATTATTGTACAATGCAATTCTATAATGAAAAGCAATAAAGATTCAAGAACATCATCAAAGAGATTACTTAAAAAGTCTCAAACTAATTTACATAATTCAACAACATCAATTATAGCAGGAAAACCAACAACCACTGTCATAAATATAACAAGAACTCTACCACAAACATTCAATTTAATACCACCTCAAAATGAACTAATCCTAATTCCAATCAACCTGACAAAATCCCATTTCATAGATGCTTACTCAAAGGTATGTCCCATTTTACTGATATATATACACCCATAGAAACCACATACTAACTCTCTTATTTCTAGGGAAAATGGAATCTATCAAAAGTTCCATGTCCACCATGCATAGAAGACACAGGATACATGAACCCTCCAGAATCATATAGCGAACCCACCCGTCTAAACCAAGTTCACAAATACTTGGACCTCCCTCATTGGCATGAATCGCACTTATTCAAAAAAACCATTTCAAAACTCCGGAAAACATTCCAAATCCCCGGCGTGGCCATTTCATTAATCGATACCCATAAATGTCATTTCAAAATTGAGACAGTGCTAGATATGAAAGATGTTCCCAGAAGTGTTGCTATTGATTCCCATGCGATTTTGTCATCGGGATATTTTTGTTTATTGGATGCAAGTAAAGATTGGAGAACTAGACTGAATCCATTGGTTACAGGGTTACCTAATCTTAGGTTTTGGTGTGGGGTTCCGTTGTTGGCAAAGACAAGTAATGGGACTGGGGTTGTGATTGGGATATTGTCGATATTTGATAGTTTCCCTAAGGAGAAGTTTTCAGAAGAGAATTGTAAGATATTACAATCTGTGAGTCGGGAGATTATGACGACGTTGAATTGTCATATTGAGGAAGTCAGGTCACGATTAGCGAAACGATATCTTGCCAGAAGTTTAGATCGGGGTGGGGGTGGTGTTGGGCCGAACAATAATGAATTGAGTAATTTGAGGGATCAGATTGGAAGACCTACAAGTTCTAGATCCTTATTGATATTTGAAAAAGATGGAAGTGGTGGTCCATATCTCCAGAATCAAAATTTCAGATTCCTAAAATATAACAATACTCATAATCATCATTATAATTCAAATAATTCAAAATCTGCCAATGATGGAGGAATAAATGAGAAACAATTATGGGATACTTTATTTTCAATAGGGTCATTAAAACAAGCAGCCAATTCCCTTTCAAAAATCATAGCAACATCATATGGATTCGAATTTGTATATATCCTAGAAATACGAATTGCTGAACCTTATCAAATCCCCAAAGAATATTTCCCCCATAATGAAACTAAAATAGAAGCCGAGAATTATCGATATACCAATAAGATGATCAAAACCAAAAATACCCATGACGAATTTATGACCCGTGTGATCGGAGTATATCAAACCACAAACGCCCCAACTAGTCCTAACTCCACTAATACTCATCATTTCGAGAATCCGCTTCATTACAAGGCATTCATAAATGAATTCGGAGTCGAATATAAAAATCCAAAATTAAACACGGTATATAATCGAGGATTGTTGATTCCGTTCTATAGACATAATTCAAGAATAGTCAGGAGGTCAAGTGATAAAGATAAGAGATTTGTTGATGTTTATTTAAGGAGTGGAGGATATTTGATTGGAATGTTTTCTGAAACTATAAATACTAAGATTGATGATGATATGGTGTCGAATATTTTTACTCATGTCAGTATGTATAGAAAGATATATATATCTGCTTAATATTTAGATAATAGTAATTAGTTTTCGTTAGGCGCCGAATTCTCTCATTAAATCAAGATCGTTTTCTTCGTCGTAGTTGTCTTCTTCTGGAGGGATAGGTTGGGAAGCTTGGGTCAAGTTTCCAGATATTGCTAATAATTCCTCTTCATCATCGTCACTGAATGGATCATCAGATTCTTCACCTTGGGTATGTGTGACAGGAGGATTTGCAGGGACGGTATCTGTTGTTGTTGAGGATGGTGCCACTGAGGTTTGAACCGCAGGAGTTGGCGATTGAGGCGGAGTATGATAGAGATCGTCATCGTCATCATTAACAAATAATCCATTGCTTGCAGATCCATTTGTCGTAGCAGCTCCACGAGTAGCAGCTGCTTGCTGCATGAATCCAAAGAAGTCTTCACTGCCTTGAGTTCCAGCATTCTGATTCTGTTCTTCATTTGTACTAGCGGTTTGTACAGTAGCATCATTAGTGGTAACATTGCCCTCTGGTAGAGCAGTTCCAGTAGCAGATATTTCATGATGTTCCTCATTCGAAGGGTCAACAATACCTTTTTCCACCCTCAATTTTGCCAATTCGGCTTCAATTAATTCTCTTCTGTATAATCTCAACTGAGGTGATTTGGAACCAAGACCTCTAATCAAATGAATGCAATCCTTAAAAGTGGCTTTTGGGAATAATCCATGACACCATAATTGATAAAATTGTAAAACTGATAATAAATTATTATATTCATGTTCAAATTTCTCCAGTCTAGAAACAGTATTTCTTACTGCTTTTTGCTGAAATGTTTTATCATTCTTCTGGATTGTTCGTATTAGCTTTGGATAGTTTTTGACTATATATGGTAAACCTTTTTGCGAGTTGAATATACGTTGATTATCCATACGTGCTATTTGGATTCTTTTTTTGAGTTTTAAGGGTTGATCGAGACCCAACACATCGTCTTCTGGAGTTGTTGAGGTCCCCATTGTCATTGGATCCTCATTTCCACCGAGTGGGTAATCACGGTCACCGAAAGCCATAGTTCTTGTAGTAATAATGATGGTTTGTTAAGTACGAAGTGATTGGTGAAAGAAAAAGGTAAACAAAAAAATACTGAAATTTTTTAATACGCGTCTCTTTGGTAGACACTTAGAATCTTACGCGATTCTTAATTATATTTACTACAAATCAATTCATACCAACTGTAAATTAATATTAGAAAACAGCAAGACTTAGGAAATGAGACCCAATTCGTTAAGCAGATAGTTTCTACTCTATACTTAAAGGCTTTGATCTAATATGCATTAAATGTACCGCTGGTATCTTCTTTTCATTGATTAAATATCTAATAAATTTATACATACACCTAACAAAGAGACCCTGAAAAAATAATCAAATTTAAAAGCGATGAGATCACTACTTTCATTCCTAATTAACTACAAAAGCCAATTCCTATAAAAATGTACTTTGCCGAACATCTCCCTAGAGTAAATACAATATCAATAGTAGTAGAATTGCCATCAGGATTCATACCTTCTAAAATACACCCATTCCTGCCACAGTCACTCCATCTCATCCCAACTACTACCGATCACCAACCAATTGAAATAAAACTCCCAATATCAATCCCACAGAACAACGAGCTCAAAATCTCAGGACTAAAACTCCAAAACCAAACCCTATCATTTTCAATCCTTCTCCAATCCACTACGGCCATCACTCACACTAACAATGATCAGTCAGTCTCCGAATTCATGAATCTTCAACAATCCCAAAAATGGTCCTGTAAAGACCTTCAATCAAAAACACCAAACCCCACAAATAATTCACACCAATTTGAATTCATTTGTTCCAATTGTGATGCCATGATTATAGACTCAGCGAAGTATTTGTTTATGGATATGCCGAGTGAATATTGGTATGAATTGATGGATTTTTGGCATTGTCATAAACCTGACCATGGCCATACTGGAGATGTCGTTAAAGATTATGAAGGGGTGCTTAAACCGAATGATGATAGAAGCGTTATTATCGGGAATTGTTATTTTCTACAGTTGTGTAATGAGAAGTTGGAGGTTGAAGGGGATGAAGTGAGATGTGAGAGGTGTAAGCATAGGGTTGGGGAGAAGTATGAAGGAGTTTTCAAGTTGTATAAGTGGAGATTGAAGTTGAAATATACCAAAGATATAGAAGTAGCGATAGAGAAGTTTGATTCGAAGTTGTTTATATATAATTCTATAATTGATAAGATCAATTCATTGGCTACTAGAAGGTTTAAATTTAAGATGAATAACGACAAATGGAAATATTTATGGGTAATGAACCTTGGGTTGGATATTTCATTAGATGAAAATGTACATAATGATGCACTAAAAGTGTTAATTGCAGATGACATAGATTCGCAGTCACAAGATTCATACGAAGTTATGGATATACCGTATCCTGATATCGCTCAAGAATTAATCAATCATCTATTAGAAACAAATTCTAAATTGCCTAAATCTATAAATAGTCTATCTATTGGATCGAATACCTTTTTAGTTAGTTATTATGTGTCGAACTGTTAATTTTCAAGAATATCTTTTATAATTGGAACAACTTGTTTTCTTGATGCTTTAATATTTGCTTGATTATGAATCACGAATGTTGAATCATTGAGGTTTTGCAAATAATCCACGCCTTTCTTGAGTTTCTTAGAACCATAAATATCATCATTAAGTTCAAGTTGATCTTTCGCTAATTCTGCTAAATGATTAAATTTCTTATGATCACGCACCTCGTAATAGTAGGCAAATTCTCTGGTATATTGCCCATTCTCTTTCTGAGTATAACTTGAAGTAATAACAAACAAATCAACCCCCAATGTCTTTAATGCATCAGAAAGAGTGGATTTAATTTCTTCTGGGGAGTAATGCTTAAATACCCATTTTAAAGATTTTCCAATTGAACTGAATCCAACTCTATCACCGCTATTAAATGTGAATTGTTTATAATCTTTCCTTAAAATATCGAAAAAACTGAAACCAGTTAAATCTTTCTTTGCTGATTTCAAGATTGAATAAAATTGTTCATAGGGATTCAGTCCGCTACCATTATTAGTTGTAATGAATTCTTGCATAAACGCATCTGCGTTCAATGCCTTCTGGTATACTTTGAAAGCTTCCACATCCGGTTCCTCAACCTTCTGAGTCATATTGGAAGTATCTATAACAAGTGGACCCAATAACAATTCAATAGCATCCGCATTATTCTTCAAGAAACCCTCGTGATCATCTTTAAAACAAGTCTCATAAAAATAATTAAAAATCATGCTTGAATTTGATCCACAACTACGAATAATCCTAGGCTCAGCATTCTTAAACACCCCTTCATCAGCATGATGATCAATAATAGAAACAACCTCAACCATATCAGGAGTCTGTTCGAACAAGAAATGCATCTCCTCACCTTGGAGATTATTATGATCAACCAACGTAAACTTCAACTTCTCGTTGGCAGAAATAGCCAGAGTCACAAATTGTCCCAAATCTTCTACGAAATATAAAAGATCTTGAGTGATCTGATGTGATTTCAATAAGACATCAATATCTCTACGTAATCTGAAATCAGCCCTTGGGATATTAATCAACGGGATGACATCTTGTTTGGTTTGAAGATTGGTGAAATATGCAAATGTAATGGCACTGACCACTGAATCCATGTCAGCTGACTGGTTCCCAGCGACTACATGATATGGGAATGATAAAGTCTTAGAATCTATCTTTTGTCTTAATTTTGTTAAATATGTTTTTACTGACATTGCAAGGTTGCTCTTGTGGATATACCTTGTGATGATCGCTGAGCCCCAACTTTTATGAAAATGAAAAATTTCAGACCGTTTTGGTAAACAAGGAGCTACCATATGCTTAAACCTCGAAGTATAAAAGGCGCCAAAAGTTGGTTGCCAAAAACTTAAATTAAGTTGGTTGCCAGTTTCTCTTTTCCAACAAATCAAGATATTGTGAATCTTATCTGAGATCTAGCATTAGTCAATCAAGCCTTCAATTATCACGTAGTCTTCAGCTATCGAACTATCAATACGGCGTCCTGTTTTATGGGCTTAGCATGACATTCCTCTACATGTGCGTAAAATGATCCAAAGTGAACTTTTAAATATTTATGTTATAATCAACTATATAAAACTATGTAAAAGATAATAATACAAATCAAATTGTTGTACTTACTTAGAATAATGTAACTTAATATCAAACCATTCTCTAGCCCTAACTTCTTCTGGAGTCAAAGAAACATCACCATAAGTAATTGGTCTAAAATAGAAAAAGAACCAAATTATTCCAGCTGAGAAGATCGCCACCAAAATTACAAGTTTTAATCGATGAATCCCACTAGGATTTTCCTTAGAAACATATGCCCTATTATTACTAGTAACAAATTCAACCAATCCTCCAGAAAACAATGCTGCGATTAAATGAGCAGGAAGATAATGATGTAAGAACTTTTGTCTACCCATCAAGAAGAATGGGAAATAATGAGCACACCATCCGATAAAGAAGAATCCCAAGGTGTTATATAATCTTGATCTGGCTTTACGACTCAAAACAGTTAAATTTCTTCTACGAGTCAATTGATCAGCAAGGATAATCCCAACATAAATTGCCAATAAACAAACTTCTAACCAATATCCAATAATATTCCCGGTAAAGAAGATTTGCTTTTTTTCTTTACTATCATTATAGAATGAAACTCCTGAAAGTGCCAATGGCCAAGAATCAGGCAGGGAAGCAAATGGATGATCAGATGAAAGTTGATTATTATGATAAAACATCAATCCTTGCAATTCCCACCATTTCTTCAAGAATGGCATGGTTTTAACTTCTTTTGGTACATAAACGGCACGAGCATCACCTGGGGCCAAGTTTGTGATTGTATCAAATACCCAAACATTATCTTTATCTGGAATCTTCTTGTTTCCACTGACTTCTTGTTGTCCAAATGCCCATTCTGGAAGGAGTTCGTCATTATGAGTCCACATCGCGACGACGGTATCGATATGAAGGATCCTAATATTTGTGGCTTTAGTTTTGACTAATTTTCTTTGATTCTTTTTCTTAGGAGATGATTTTGGTACATCAAGTTTGATACGGAATAAAGTTTCATTGAATTTCTTTTCGGCATCTTCATCATATACAACTGTGAATTCTTCATTGGTAGCTTTTAATGGCGAGGCAACATCATGAGTTAATAAATAACCACCAGTACCTACGTGTCTCAATCTGATAACATCTTCAGTATAGACATCACTACCTGCTTCTAATTCTGGCTTTGTGGGGACGATTTCCCATTGATTATTTGGATCTTGTGGGTCATTTACGGTTACACATGTGACTTGTTGAGAATTGGATGAGATTCTTCCATCTTCATAACGTAATGGATATTCGAATGAATGGGAATGTAAATATGCCCCAGTATCTTTATGTTGGATAGTTAATTGATCGAAATATTTCACTGGTTTTGCAAGTTTTGCCATTGGTGATTCTAATAAAGTTTCTTGAAATTCAGCAGACATGAAATTATCACCAGTACCTGATTTTGATAAGATTGAAAAATGTAAATAGAACCAATATAAATAAATCACAAATGGGACAATAATCAATGCCCAAAGTCTGGCAAAGAAATGTTTGGCAAATTCTCCCATAGTTAATCCACGTCTATAATCCAATAAGATCCATAATTCATGCAACACAGCAATACCAATAGTGACATATGTGAAAACCCCAACATATTTTGTTGAAATGACACAAGATAATGAAATACCAGTAGCATATAACCAAGTCCACCATTTCTTGGAGAATGGTTGTTTACGGTATGTCGAGAATTTGGCATAGGAATACATAGTCAAAGCGACACTTAAGATCAAAGTAGCATCCAAAAGAATCAATCTACTATCAGCAACTTGAGCATTATCAAAACAAACAATAATACTTGATAATAAACAAGCAGGAACTGAAAAACCCAAAGTTTTCATAGTTAAAAACATAATTGGAATAGTAATAGTTCCTTCAATGGCCATTAATGATCTATAAGCAATATAAGGAACACTATTTTCAATATATGAATCACCAATTGCATCAAATTTAAATTTCCCATTATAACCAATTAACCAACCAACAAATGCAATTAATAATTTTGCAAATGGAGGATGTAAATCAAAGAAATATGTTCCTTCTAAATAATATGAAGCAAATTTACCAAAATGAACTTCATCAAATACAACTTGACTTGGAGTACCTAATTTTGTAAATCTTGTATAAATTGCAAATATGGTAATTACAACCAAGGCAACATAATATTTAGATTCTGGTTCTTGCTTTGAAACGGGGAATAAATCTGGTTCTGATTCTTTAAGGAGGATCTCTATATCATCAGATTTGGCAGCACTGTTAGTGGGTCCATTGGGATTGGCCTTCTTGGCTCCTCTTTTTCTTACTTGTTGAGACATGCCTGTAGTTAGCTTTAACCTTCTAATTTATCGAATAACCGTTTAATTGAGTCAAAATCAATAAGCACTTTGGTCAACTTTGCAAGTTGGATTGTTTACGTATCAATTGATTAGTTTAACTTCTTCGACAAGGAGAAAGAAAGAAGGAGTAAGGATGAAAGAAAGAATGAAAACAGAATTTTTCAAACAATAGTAATTCAGCCACGTCAATAATTCCAGCAACGTCATTTTTTTATACACTGGAAGATGAGCGCTACCAACATTGAAATGATTTGATACAACAATAATTACTGCTAATAAACTTCACACGATGTATATTTAATTCTCGAAATACTATATGATTTGATACACACAAAGCATTGCACTCTTCTACATATGTTTCTTAGATCTCTTTTGATATCCACCTCTTCCTCTCATAATAGGAACAGCATTAGCGTTAGCATTAGCATTAGCATTCGCAGTAGCAGCGGTCGCAGCCAATGATTGTGGATTAATAATAGGCACACCACCACTACTTCCACTACTTCTAAACACTTGCGGTTGATAGTGTTGATAATTAACAATTGGTGCTGGGGGGAACATTCCATGAGGATGACCCGATGGGGGGGATGTGGATTCGGAAGAATTAGAATGTGATCGATTGGTGATATGATCAAAGGCGTCATCCATTCTGTATGAGAGTTTAGGGGTGTTGTTGATTGGATTGGGGATGGAGATTGGTTTTGAGGATGAGAGCTGAAGGATTTTGGCATTCTTCTCCTCGAGAAGGTTTTCGTATTTTAGGATGGTGGTTGATAGGTTCTGGATTTTTTTATCATATTGATATGTGAATGAATCTAGATTTTCATTAAGATGAAGTTTCGATGATGCTAATTTGTTTTCATATTTCTTGATCATTGCTTCGTATAAGTGGTTTGATTTCTGTAATTCTTGAGATACTTTATGATATTTTTCTTTCATTGCCAACATTTCAGTCTTTAAATTAAATATAACCTCATCTTGATCAGTCAAATTGCTCGTGCTCACTTCCTTCGTCATCTTTCCTGAATTCATATCAGTTGAAACCAATTTTTGATTCAATTCCTTTATATTATCCTCCAAATATCTAATCCTCACCCTCAAATTCTCAATCTCACAATTCTTTTCCGGCACAACCACCTCAATCAACCGTCTGTACTTCTCACTCATCCCCTTCCTCTCGCCCACATCTTCTTCATACTTCCTCATCAACTCTTGTTTCTCCGCTAAAACTTGTTCTAACCGCTTATTCAAAAGATCAATCTGTCCCTGGTGTTCAACCTTCATAACAGCCAATTCCTCCCTCACTCCCTCCAACACCCCATTCATAGTCCCATATGCTTCCTCTAATGAAGTATACCCGATTTCATGATCTTGGGTTGTGGTATTACGGGAACTCACATCCTGTTTTAATTTATTCAAACGTAATCGTAATTTAACATATTGAAATTTATTCAAATGTTTAAGATAACTACTAAACTCAAGCTCATTCTTAAACAACAATAATTCTCTCTGATAATAATCAATCGCACTTCCATTACCGGAGGGTATGATTATCTTTTCATTGTTTCTTGAGGTAGAGAGTGTTAATGTATCGGGAGACCCGATGCTTGTGACTGTTGAAGTTTCGATATTTGTAGTAGGGGATGATATTGGTCGTGATAAGCGGAGTTCGTGCTTTAATTTATCATTTATGATACTGTTACTGGATGATGATTTTCGTCTATCGTCAAATCCGGAACTACTGCCTGATTTACTTAATGGAGCCATCTGCGAGGTGGGGCCATGTAGTTTTTCATGGGTGGCTAGGAGGTCTTGGAAAAACCCGGAATCGTTATTAGCTTTTTTGGATAGATATCCGCCGTCTCCACCTGGTGATATCGATGCTTGCGTGTGTTCTTTGGTTGAAATATCTTCAGTTGTAGTGCCATCTTCTTTTTCGTCCTCTTCTGCAACTTCAAATTTCACTTCTTTAAACCTGACATCATTCCCTTCATCTTCATTTTGGTCCTTTATGTTATTGTGCAGAATCTCTAGATCAGTGGGTATGATCGACATCTTTCTATAAAAATTCAACACTGTTTTCAGAAGTAGCCCACTACTTACAGCTTGATTATATAAGGGCCCAGCTAATGACGAAGTCCTAGAAATCATAGTAGAATTAGCTTCTGGTGATAATGTCCCATGTAATCTCTCGAGTAATTTCGACTGTATACCCCAATTATCACCCAAATTGATCATTATATCCGGATTTAAACAAAGACACGCAATTGCGATTTCTTCACTCTTGAGTGGCCCATCACAATTCTCATCTGCCTCTTCATGCTCGATCCAAGAAGTCGGATTCATGAGTTCTTGATCTAGGTCGAATATATCATATTTGAGTAATTTAGGATGAACTAAAAAACTTTCTAATAACAGAATAGTCTTTTTTTGAACGGTTGAATCTAACGATTGTCCTGATTTTTCCAACATTGTGGATTCTAATTGTTGAATATATGAAAAATCTATTAGGTTTAATTTATGAGTTTTGAAATATTCAAATGGATCTTGACTAAATTTTCGGAAATTGAATACGAAAAGGCCATATAAAAGGGTATAAAAATATGGATAATCGAAGGAAAGGTCTTTTAAGACTGGATCGTCATCGAAGTTTGCAATTTCCCAATTATGGCTTGCGGAGATGTTGGAATTGGAGGTGTTGGAATTAGTACTTTGAGTTAAGAAGTTTCGAAGTTTGTCAAATCTATCAGGAATTAATTTTGAAAAATCCCCCCAATCATGTACGCGTAAATAAATCATTAATAAGTCGGGAAGATATTTAGTAATGCGGTTGCATATTTGTGGTAGTAGCATGGATAATATAGTTATGGAAGTATGAACAATGATTTCATTAAAGTCAAATAAGATGCATCGTAATAAATTCGTAAATAGATCAGTTTCTGTTATTTGAATAAGGTTGGTTGGTTGAGTTGAAACTAAGGATGAAAGTAATATTAATGATTCTAATCTTGTCTTTGGATTTACTAAATATTTATTCAATAGATTGAAATATGATTTTGTTGAATTGATTCCATATTCTTGAAGTATGGATTGACAATTTGTCTTTATGAATCTTAAGCGTTCATAATAAGATTGTGTATTCATTTCTTCTGGTGATACATCTAATTGTAATCTATCATATTTTAATTCATCATCAATATAAATATTATAAATGTCTTCAATAATTGATTCGGCAATTTCATATCTTAATCTCTTGAGGTTATCGTCATTATGATCAACATTTGGTAAGCATACCTGATGGATAAAGTTTCTTGCTTTGTCAACAAATACCAAATCATAACCACTATCAATAGCTGGTTTTAGCACATAAGATTGTAACCAACTTTGAACATCGTGTAAATTAAATACTGGTAGTAGTTGAGTTAATATATCTAAGAATAGGCATTCTTTATTTGTAGTTATAAAGTATTTGTTATGTATTCGAGATAATTCATCACTTATATTTGTAGAAGATTGTCGTATTGAGTTTAAAGTATTATGTTGTTCTAAATATTCTTTAATCGTACGATTTAATGAATCATATTGAATCGGTTGTTGTTTATCATTATCATTATTATCATCTAGTGAATTACATAGCAGGTGTAATTCTTTTAGCAATGATTTCGATGACACCATTACTCCTGACTTATACTTCTTCTTCTAGTAATAATTAATTTATAAGTTGAAGTTTAAACTAAATTACTTCTTGGCTAAAAGTCCCTTCTTCTTCTCTTTGCTTATCTCTCGTAATTATAAATTAATGAAAAATTAAAATTAATTTAATTGTTAGTCAAACAACAGAAAAAATAAATTTATTGATTTTAACCGCCCATGATATTTTATGAAATATTCATCAATTTTATATGAACCAGAAGTATAATTAGTAAGAGATAGTAATGAGTGGTAGCAAATATGGAGACCAACGCTCTTTCATTGAAGTTATAAATGATGTTGATTCATTCGTATTGAATGATAGCTTTTATCAATTAATAACTCATGACAATACAACATGTATTGGTTATATATCATCAACAATTGCCAATTATTTCATTGGATTTGATAAATACTTTAAAGTAAATCACCAACTAAAAACAATAACAATTGATAGTTCATTTGATACATTTGAAACGAGAAATATTATGATTGCTGATATTGCTAACCAATGGAGATCCATAAAGGAATTGGATGAACAATTAAATAAAGGTTGGAGAAATGAATTATACACAGCGTATTATCCTTCTACTGAACCTTATTTCTTAGTTGAAAGATCCTTTTCGGTATTGTTAGGTGTTGTAACTTATGGCGTTCACTTAAATGGTTATATTCCTGCTAATAAATCATCAAATGGGAAATTAAAAATGTGGATTCCTCGTAGAAGTCCTACCAAGCCAACATATCCTGGTATGTTAGATAATACAGTTGCTGGTGGGTTAGGCTATCCTCATGGGATTTGGGAAACGGTAATTAAAGAATGCTTTGAAGAAGCTGGTTTATCCCAAGAGTTTATTGAGAGTCATGCTAAATGTGTTGGTGTTACTCTGTATTTATATAAAACTAAAGATGGTCGAGTACAACCAGAAGTTGAATATACTTATGATATTGAATTTGATAATGAATTTGATGTTATCCCACATCCTGAAGATGGTGAAGCTGAATATTTTAAGTTAATGGATATCGATGAAATATTAGAGAGGTTGTATAATAAAGAATTTAAACCAAATTGCGGTTTAATAATTGTTGATTTCTTAATTAGACATGGTTTAATTACACCTGAAAATGAACCTCATTATTTTGAAATTGTTAATAGATGCCATAGAAACTTACCATTCCCAACTAGATAGTGGAGAAAACTCAACGTAACATAGCACAGTATATAGATAGAGATACTGATTATATAAGTACATCCCTTATAGAATAGTCACTTGCTGTAGTCCCTTATAGATCAATCACTTCCTGTTTGGCAGCATCGAAGATTGCATGTTCGATTGGTAGCACCGCTATCTCAACCTAGGATATAAATTGGTAGCACCATAGTTCAATATGGGGAGAAGACGAAAAATGAGACTAAAACTTTAACTACTCCCTTTTTCTTCCTTTGGTTGTCATTGTCGAAGATTCAATTAATAATCAGCAATCATGACAATTGATTTATATAATGAAGATGAATTTACAAGTAGAGACAATGAATTCGATGCAATGTTCTTCAGTATTGATTCAATAATTGATGAACGATTACCAAAAACATTAAAAACTAATTATCATCAACGACAACTTACAGCCAAGATTCTTACTAAACAAATTAAAGAATATCAACAATTCTTAAACAACATGAAGAAATTTCTTAACGAACATCCTTTAGATCAACATCAATTGCTATGGTTAGAAAGTCTTAGGTATTTAGTCCTTTTATTGGTTTCATTAAAATCATCATTTGCTGAAATTTATTTACATGTTCCATTTCATGAAGTAGAACCTATCTTTGAAGATGTAATGAAATTCAACACAAAATTATCCAGTTACGTAACTGAAATAACCAAATTATTAGTTGTATTCTTCACTAATGATCAATTGTCAAATGATGTTTATCAATCACCATTAATTCAAACAAAATTACATGAATTAATTGAAAGTTCCTTAGAATTAAATATGATTGATGAAGCTGAAAATCCTCAGTTTTATGAAAGTTCTAGAGCTATTATCAATCTGGTTCAATCATTTTTATTAAATTACCTTCCTTGGTTTATTCCCAAAATTAATCCAGTTCACTCGTTATCTTTCCTTACTCAATTTTCAAAAGTTGTCTACTCATTAGGAGAATCGAGGCTTATTATACCCTTGCTAGAATTAAATGTATTCGATCCAGAAATTCCCATGACATTAATCCAAACCCGAAGAGTTAACTTCATTCATATTGTTAATTTTTACAGATATACCGCATTCAATTTAGTCAAGTTATCAATCCAACAAAATCCACCCCAAATTGAAGATAAATACAACCAATTAGCTGATATCTACTTCAAAATATTATTAAATTTCCCCAACCTATCTCTCCATATCTATCAATCTGTCAGACATGACTCCATGATTGAAGAACAACAACGTTCATTCCCCCAAATGATCCGAGACAAACGTGATGATTTCCTAGTCAGTACAATCGAAAGACAAGAACTCGCCTATTTATACGTCCTAAACTATCTATTATCCATCCGTTCCATCCAACAATACCTAAACCCCTCCCCATTATTCTCTGCCGAGTTATCCTTTTTGGTAAAATCAGTTTCTAATAGTTTGTCAAAAGATATTGACGAACTAGCCTCACAACCAGGCAGTACTCATTCAAGTGTGATCAGTTTTCCACAATTGAATAAATTGGAACATGAAAGAGGTGTGGATTACATGCAACAGAAAATCATCCATCATGAAAAATTCCAATCTTTAGGATCTGTGATCTTACATGGATCATATAAGGAGAAATTAAAACTTGTGGTTAAGTTTTGTGAATTGCTCAACAAAGAGGCGACTATTGCGTCTGTGAATATGCATTATAAGAGTGAGATTATGGGTTTGAGAGAATCGAATACTGGTGTGAGCTTATTGAAGGAGACTGTGGGGAAGATTATTTCCGTATTGGTGTTGGTGTCGTTGAGACTGATTTGTGGGATTGTTGACTCGATCCCGGTTGAGAATGTGCAGGCGTTATTTGGGGTGGATGATATTAGACTGGTGTTTGAAGTGAAGAAACAACTTGTGGAATTTGAGATTGAGAATTTTGGTGTTGAGGGTGAAGGAAAAGATGTATTAAAATTGAGAGCGTGGAAGGGTGAGAAGGATATGGCTGCTATTTTGAAAGATCAGGTTGATGCTATTAGACTTATCGAGAATATGAAGGATTGTTTGTAGAGTTTTAAACGCAATTGTGGGAATGAGAATACGAATGGCTCTATGTAGAATCTCAGATTACTGAAATGAGATGATTATTAAACCAATGTTCTGTGACTTGTAAGATGCCAAAGTATTAATCAAAGAAATTATGAGTTGTATGTAATCTAGCTCACACAAAGGAGCATACGATAAAATGCCAGAAAAAGCTCCAGCGACGTATTATCATAGGGTGCATATTGAATTGCATTTATATATTTAGCTCTAATATTAGTAATCCAATTTATTGAACATTATTCTTGGTTCTCCCAAACTAGATATAATATAAAAATGAATAAAAAATATTTCGGAATTGAAATTAACCAATTCCATAGCCAGACAATCCTACTTTCTGACGGAATTGTAACCTCTAAGTTGTTGCAACGGGGACAGTTTTTGGTAAAATCGCCAAGAAACCAGTTAGACATGTCGCACAATTCTTTTAATTGAACTTTTGAAAGCGCTCCAATTAGCGGAGAACGCATGGTCCCTGGAGGGTCCAATATCGGATCTTGATGTTCTTTCCGTGCTATATGCGCCAATGTGGATTGGTGACGAGCTGGCCAATCAGAAGACAAAGTGCAATCATGCTTCTTAATCCGTGAATCTCCCCTACAACTTATGTCTATTCCAGACCTCAGCTTAACCAAAAAATATGAGTAGCAATGCAGAGTATTTATCTCATATGCTTTTGGTATTTCAACTGCAACTAATTGGTCAATTTCCGGCATTTTCGATTTGAATATCATTAAGGCCCCACGAACCTCTGCTGGTTTAGTCTCTAGTGAATACAATTCATAGGCATAATCCTTACGGTCAAGGATAACATGAACCTCCTCCTCAGTTGCAAATAGTACAAAATGTAATTTCTGGATGTATCTGATAAAAATTTGCTGTATCTCTGGAAAAGACTTACAGTCTGAATACATCGGAAGTACCTCATAGACAATATGGTAATCTCCTATTTTGTCGAATCTTACAAACAGTAACAAATCGGAAACAATGACAAGCTCCGAAAACTCTTTGTATCTATTTCTTAACTTATCTCTCAAATCCCCAATGCCTTTAAATCCCATTATGCATTGCCTAATTTGATCGATATCAGACTCACTGTGTTGTTCCTTGAGCTTCTCAATGCGCTTTATCTCGTCATAGAGAGCTTTACATAGCGCAAGAGTTATATAATAAAAATCATATTTCTTTGTTAGATGTATAACATTAGCAACGAGAATGTCAGGAGCATCCTCAGTCAGATTGTAGTCCTGTGCAGCTCTCACTAGATACTCGGGTGGTTCTCCCGTTTGGAAACAATTAGAGTCCTTCGTTGACTGAAGATAATTGCCTCTTGTAGATTGGAATTAATTCAGGTTCTTAATATTTTCAGTTTTATTTATACAATTCCACGTTCTCCAATATTGATCACCAAAGTTAAGAAGGATAATTTCACTGAAAATTATATTTAAACTTTCTTCTCCGCATGTTATTTTTTACAAATAATGGTTGAAACTTTATTAATCTATAAAAATTAGCCTTATACTCTCTTATGCATACGGAATACAGCAAACCCGCTAATAGCGCTCGTCGTAACCTTACAGGTTTATCACCTTTAATAAGTAGTACCGTACCTGATAGTTTCACGATGCTTCTTGAGCTTTAGTCGTTTGCGTCTATTAATAAACTCAGTACTTTATATATGATACTAAGCAAGCTATGACTCATATTCCCTACCGAAATAAAAACGACCAATGGAGGATGCTCCGAACACTTTTGATACTTGATTCATTTCCGTTCCTTTCATGTAAGGACACAATAAAAACATAATCATATTATCGCAGATCAAATACAGAAAGCCCCTCTCAAGCTGAGTGTATTTAGATCCATATGAGAGGATACTACAATGCTCTTAGATATACCATGGGAAGTGGGATCATCTATAAACTCAATACTTAGTAAATTTATTAGATAGGAGAATCTAGGAAAGATTGTATGTTATCTTTACCCATTAGTTTTATGGGGAGAAAATTGCAGCAGTTGCGGAACACTTCTGGTACAGTGATTCTCGACTGTTGTATTCATCTTTGAAACCACAATCACTATTGTTGGATGTTATTCGATACACACTCAAAAGTACACAGGTCGTGAGAAGGCGTGGATTAGGAAATCGGCAATTTTACATTCTAGCGGTAATAAAGCCATGATCATTAAACACGTAACGATAACTAGTAATGTGCAAGATATCCTATCAGGTTCTGAACGTCGATTGGTCGACTCCCATATATGGGCATGACGTCTACTGGTTCGCGGTTGCGTTTCTCTAGATAGATTTGCTGCATCGGCAATTGATTGAACACGGCTGTTTGGCACTGTCAGGCGGAGAACGTGCCTTATACTGGCAAGCATAGTTTCGTCGTAGGATGGAAGTCCACCATCTTGATGTGACCGATTGCTATTTGCCATTGTCAACAAAAGTAGGTGGTTTATACTGACCTCCATAGTAGCTTCATAAGATGGGAGTTCGTTGCTATTATTTGAACCGTTGCTATGTGGCATTCTCTGCAAAATGCTATGAGTTCTAACTAACAGCGGAAGTAGGGATATTTTACCACGAATTCTCAAGCAATCCACTACAAGCTAATTTATAGAATTATCTTACTTTCGGTTGCTTGATTGCCGCTCGACCCCCTTCCCTTACGAACTTTATTTGTAAATATTTTCTAAAACCTTACCCCCCACATTTTTAGAAGGTTTCACTCACGCAAACCATTGTTGTACAAAATACACACCCTCAGGACGTCGTAAAAATGGATTATGTCTAACATTCTTGGCCATAATAAGGTAAGATGTACCTTGCTAAATCGTTCTCTATGTATTAGGTGATTTGAGTAATGATGCACTTCGTAGTATTGAACCAGGGCTAACTGAAGTGATTAGATTTACATAGTAAAGTTGATTTTATATGTGTATATTTTCAAGAAATTCATTTTCCATTTCAAACTAGGAACGGGAACAAAATTAGTAAATTAGTTTGCTATAGCTCATATTACCTTTGGATGCTGAAATGTGCATTAAAATTTCTTGGAAGCGTCTCTGCCATTAGACCCTGGCGCTTGATATATTGTTGAAATTTGAGCTGCCGCACACTATAAATATAAAACAACCTAATACAATGTACCTAGTAAGTAATTATTATAACACACACAATTAGTACAGCATTTACTCGCCAAATTCGTTACTATATATTCTACACATTTCTCAAGTTATGGGGATTTTCCCATCTCCTTACATGTTTCACTTTTACACTCTAATGGGGCTTTTTCCCATCACGTTCCATTAGCAAATTCTGCTAAAACACTTTGCCTTACATTCATTTTGTTTTACATTAGTCAATCTCATTTGACTTGGCAAAGGTAAAAACACCGCTTCCTTCATTGGAAGAATCCAGAGATAGCACACAAACATTAGACTGTAACATCACGTACACTCTCATATACATCGCTTCCTTCATTGGAAGAATACCATGATAACACACAAAATATAATCTGTCACATCACGTACAGTTTCACATTTATATTCCTTTAATATCTTAATTTGTCATTTAATCATTTATTTTAATCTGTAACATCAAGTACAGTATTATTGTTTCACATTTAATTTTTATTCTTATATTTGCTTGACTTCGAAAAGCCATTAGATTACACTTATTTCTGTTAAGATTTGAGACTAGACACAGTAAGAATTAATTACAAAAGATAATTAATCTAAATGATATGTCTGGAATAATATTATAAACCTTAGTAATTGTTTGTATTCGTTATTATCTCTACTATCTATATATATTCGTTTATGTGTGTTGTCCACTTTTCTTCGTTAATTTGTTTGGTGACTTTCTCCTATTGGGAGAGTGTTACCCGACTTTCTTATAGATAAGCCATTGGATTGCTTTCTGTTTATTTCAACTTCTGGGGCTACCATGCGGCCCTCATGGATTTGCTGCAAAATCGTTTGTTTCCATACATAAAAATTAATACCTAATCATATCAAGAGCAAATATCAGGAAGAGATTTACGATGGCGAATAAGTTCCCGTGTACACTAATATAATATTAGATGAAAGCATACCATAATCCTAACACATCGATAAACAGAAAATCCTTATCAATAGCAGAAGTTTAGTTCAATTCTGAAAAAGCCTTCCCAAGCACCCAATAAATAAAATATATAACGAATCGGGCTAAAAAGAGCAGTGGAAGCAAAACCAATAAGACTTCAACAAAATATATGCTGCCATCGACAATCTTTGTAAATATCAACTTCCTCCTTTGTTTGGTATCAGCAGCGTCCCAGGTCGGATAACAGTCAAAGCAATGCCTGCTCATATCTTCCTGTGGATTATTAGAATAAAGATCCAAATCACTTCGAAACCCCCTAGGAATGGCCCCAATAATTGGAATTTTGTTACTATGGGGAGAACATGTAGAAGAGCTTCCAGTCAGTGTTAGTAAGTGCTCTTCGCATGATGGCAATTCCGACAAGGGTGTTATTTGAGAAAAGCTTTCCTGACTGCTTAGGGTTTCTCTTGAAGAAGAATGAGTTAACACCTCTTCGGTTGCTTTTTCTTTGGGAGGGACTTCTTCAACGGATAGTTCTGACTTGCGATCCGTGACAATTTTAAACTTTTTGATGTCAAAATCACGATTCTTAATATGCATTTCAATGAAGCTCAGTTTAACCACAAAATAGGAGAAACAAAGGTCCAGCTCGGGAGAATAGGATGTTTGCAAATCACTAAGTTGTGGTATATCAACAACCACTACTTGATCATTTGGTGCGATACTTGATTGAAAAATTCTCAAAACTTGATAAATTTTAGTAACACTGGCCTTAACTGAAAACAATTCATATGATAAGTCCTTGCTGTCAAATATAATATGGAATGGGTTGTCACAGAGGTCGAAATGAATTTGTTTCATGTATGAAATAAGTCTTTTCTTTATTTGGGAAAATTCGACGGACTCAATATACTCGCGCGGAAAGGGTTCCACTTTAACATGAAACTCCCCAACACCAAAAGCGACGGCATTCTGAAGACATCTTAGAACACCAACGAATTCCTCAAATTTCTTGTATTTTCTTCTTCCTTTTGGATCTAATCGACCCAATGCCCACTCTTCCAATCTAGCTCTTTGAATATCACTGAGATTTCCAAGCCTTTTCTCAAGGCGGAGTTTTGCCTGATTTATACCTTCTCTTATGGACTCGATTATCTGCGCCATGTCGTTTTTCTTTCTTAGGTTGACTATGTTGGCGATTAGAACCTCAGAAGAATTCTGTGTAGCATTATATTCATGGGTGGCTTGAATTAGGTTAGCTGGAGGTTCTGCGGTAGAATAGCTACTTTTGTTCATGTTATCCCGGATTCCTGACGACTGCGGATAGTATTCCAGCATGTTGTACAAGCTATGAATGATGGTTCTTAAGTGAAAATTGAATTCAATTAGCTTGAAACATTTCATTCCTCTTTTATCCTTTCATGGCTGATATACATTATTAAGTGGGTTCTTATGGTTTCCTTATTGCTGTGCTTGTACATGCAGAAATTACCAGATTTTGGATGTTCATGTGCCTGAAACAATTTGTTTAGGGTGTTTGGTATCGGGGCCTAAGTTCATCTGACCATAGCATATGGCATTTGAATTATCTTTGGTCTATCTATTCCCGCAAGTACGCATATTATGTTAGAAAGGTGAGACACGATGGCACAGGCAGCTCCTTCATATCTGTTAACTGATTATTGTAAAGTTAAATATTAAATCAATACCTAAAACAATGAATAAAGATAGGATTTTGTGATATTTAATAAGCACTAAAGTCCGTACCTGATGTTTTCACAATGCATCTTGAGCTTTAGAAGTATTCACAGCATGTATTAGGTCCAAAGATTTCGACAGTTTCTCTTCTAAGTTCTTTATGGGTTAAGAACATTCCTTCTATATCGCGTGAGCTGCGAGGCGAGTGAGATAAAATGTTTCTTGTAACAAATGTCTGCTTAATATGAGAAATCTTACAAGGGGGACGAGGTGGTAGTGGGGAAACCGCTGTGCTGGAGGAGGAGTAGTTTCCAAGATATATATTTAAACACTGTATCACAAATTAACGGTATATATATGCTAACAGCTCTATTCAGAGAGACTATCCACCGAGGAACAAGTGATTTTCATTGAAGCCTATACTGATTTCTCGAAGAGGATCTGGATTCTTGGATATTCAACTACCTTGCACATAGAGGGGGGATTCGCACATTATTGCAATTTTTGTGGCAAGCGTTTAGAAAATATTAACATCTGGATGCATGGAATGTGAAAGGTAGTGGTGATCAAAGTATAGCATAGGTTTAGTTTTGCATACTAATATGACATTTGGAAATTTACTAAGAGAAAGAGAAGTGCAAACGAAATAAAACTACTGTGCATGTACTCTCCCATGATCCGGGAACTTGTACAAAATTTAACAGAAATTCATTTACCAAATATAGCAAAAATGGCGAATTTATCGATAACTTCCAACGCTGTCCGCGTATTCATCGCCTACCAACTACCTAAACCAGGACTGTATCATGGAGTTTCCAATTCTGCTGCTCTGACTCAGAAGCCACTTTACCCATCTCGAACCCCGTTGCACATGCTCCCTAAGTTTGTTTGATTTGACATGTTATTGCAATTAGAAGCAAAGAACTTTCCGAATTATGCTAAAAATTAAGCCATATAGGGGAAACAAGACTTCTTCAATTAGCATCTTAACTATCATCAAGACTCGAATAACAATAAGCGTCATAGCAACAATGATAACAGGTAAGAAAAAGAGAAGCAATATTGGATTTCTCTCAAAAAACGATTTCGCTGCAATCATTACTGGAAAAATGGATTTGATTATGCACTTATATCTTTTCTTTATCTCCGGCAATGTTAACTCGGGAATCTGCAATACTTGATTCTTTATATCTATCTTTCGTTTTTTCAGATAGAGCTTTCCTCTGGGTATTTTGTGCTACCCTTTAATCTGTTGGCAGGATATAAACACCCACCTTTAAAAGCTGTTAGTGAAATGAGGGGAGTGTAACTCTGGGGGATCCCTAACTTGTTTAAAGTTCGCGCAAATGTCTGATTCATAAACTCAATGGCTCAACTTTGGAATTTCCAGAGCTTGTTAATCATTTTAATACAAGGATAAAAACATGAATTCTTCTCTCCAAGTTTGTGGAATTGGGAAGAAGAAACCTTGGCCAAGGAACTTATTATAGTTGCAGTTGTGAGGTATGGATTGATGAATCAATTAACTCATGCATCCGATGATTTCTTCTCTCTGTTGTTCGAGTAGATGCATCAAGTCAAATCATCCCCTCATTGGATTTAAATATTTTACAAACAGAACTTGCAATATTAAACTTCTGTTCGGCAAGATTATTTCATTAAACCTTATACTCCTCATTTTCTTTAATCTACATTCAATTGTAAGGTTGGAGGGTTTAATTTGTCCATCAATATAGCTCCTGCTTTTATTGGGGTCTCCATAGATTATATACTTTAGAGAATTCTGATACTATAAGGGAGACAATACCCAGGGGTAAATACCCTAAGAGAGAAGCTACATTAGGTATTTATCCTAGTCAGGCCGGACACCGTGTGACGTAGATGTGACAGACGAAGCTGGGCGTAAACTCAACCTAAGACAAATGTAACGAGGCACCATTCTGAAACACTAGTGCGGACTCTATGCCAAGAAAGGACCAAGCATGTAACTTGCATTATGGGAACCTCAGTCCGGGTTACTGTCATACCACATTCTGTTGTATTAGGTTTTCCACAAGAAAGGCCGAAAGGGACGGCACATAATCACTCCTTACAGATACACACATTAAATTTGGGTTTGTAGGTGGGGAAAAATGTTAATTTAGTTTAAGAATTGTTGGGCTCTTCTAACTCGGTTAAATTAAACCCACGATGATATTAACTTTACTTAGACTGTCATTTTCACTATTAATCTACAGGTTTGTTGATAATAGACTGGGAAAATATTATAAACAATCAATTCGATAGGTGTGTCGGTTCTCAAATTTAAATAAATTACAGTGCCCCTTCTCTTTGGGACGATTATCCATGGCAGCTTCCAGTTTAAAAGTTGAACAACTGCACTTCTGCTATTCGGTTTCTCTGGAGATTTCATCAAACCACGCTGTCAAGTCGTTACATTTCCTATCAAACCTCGTGGGCTCCCTACAAATGCATTTTACCATACGTACTCTTTGAATACTGGTTTGGGAGATTTGGTAACATAACCGAAGTTAGTAGCATAGGACCTTGAGTGTACTTCCCATGAAAGATTTTGTAACCAATTTATTAACTTTGTGTAGTCCTTGGTTATCTAATGGCTTCTAATAAAAGCTCGAGTACTAATAAAAACTTCATAAGGTAGCGCTGCCGTGGCCATTTCTGAATTTGCAGCCAATTTTTTTTTTTTTGTTGGTGCTTAGAAGGATGGCTATTTTAAGAGATAATATGCTACAAAAACGACCAGCGAAATGGCTAACTCTTTGGTAAACAAATAATCGTCATATTTATTAAGTATTTAATAGGTTTATATACTCCCACCTGTCACCAACCATGTCGCGGTTGAAAGCTTGGGTCAGAAAGGGGAATGGTCTATTCTAGCAACTGCTTCCTTGGACAATTCCTCTTGGGCCATCAACATCTGAGTTACGCTACGTGTAGTACCAAACCATGACGAGAAAAGGTGCACGATATTGAATTTTTGGTTCACATAAATAATTTTGGCAGGCGGTGGTGGAGGAACTGCATATTTTCTTACGATGTATACGACCAACAAATTGCAAAAGATAAAATATGCCAATGCCAAGCACACTCTAAGCCAATTGGATGCCGCACGCTTCATCAAATAATGCATTATTATCATTAAAATCTCCACCGATTTCCTTAAGAAAAGCTTTAAGTTGGTTTCTGGATGTATAGCAACCTCCCAAATAGGTGGCATATCTCTACACAGTATACAATCTTCGCTTGTGACTGCAAAGGCGATGGAGTACTGGCAAATTTCCCTAAGGTAGTCTCGTGGAATTGCACCTGTCAATGGAGATATCATAGTCCAATGTTTTGCAACCTCGATATTAGGTTCTATTGATGATGAAATATTTTTAGTAACACTGGCTATTTCACTATTTCCTTGCCTATTATCGGACGAAGTTGCCTCATAGTCCTTACCAAAACCAAGCCCCAATAAACTCCCGCACAATGATACCTCTGAGGGGGTCAGCATTTCAGAGAAGCTGGAACAGTTATCACTGCCTAGATTTGAAAGGGAACCATTACGCATTACTTCAGGACTGGCGATCACTTCAACATTGTGCTTCTTAACGTAGACATCAGGTTGATTGTAGTCAATTGCTCCAGAATTCAGCTTAACTACAATATATGAGTAGCAATAGTCTTGTTCTGGAACATAAACAGTCTCTAGGTCTTCAGGTTGTGGTATTTCAACAATTACCAATTGACCATTCTTCAATACACTTGATATGAAAGTTTTAAGAGCTTCCTGAACTTTAGTAGTGTTGGTCTTCAACAAAAATAATTCATACGATAAGTCCTTGAGATCAAATATAAGGTGGAATGGTTCCTCGTCCACAGTAAAATGGATTTGCTGAATATATGTTATAAAAGTTTGTTGAATTCTTGTGAAAGCATCTGATTCGATATATGTTGGTGGAAATGGTTCCATTCTAACATGGTAATTACCAACCCCATAAACAAGTGCATTTTGGAAGCATCTACGAACCTCGATAAATTTGTCAAGCTTTTTATACTTACTGCTTAAGTCATCGCCCAACTTCTGGCAATCTAAGTGACCCAATGAGCAAGTTTCCATTTGTACGAACTCATCGTCAGTCACATCTCTAAACTTTTTCTCAACTCTAGACCCTGCTTGCTTAATGCCTTCTCTTATAGAACGAACAATATCTACCATGGAGTGCCTCTTTCTGAGTTGTACAATATTCGCAATGAGTAGTTTTGGATTGTCATCAATCATGTTATATTCTTGGACAGCCTTAATTAAGTTAGCCGGAGGTTTCCCAGTGTAAAAATGACTTGAATTGGCGTCCATTGAATTTGAGGATTTAGTACCACCCGGTGCTTGGAGATTCTCGTTCGTCATTTAATGCTACCAATTAGTGATAATTAACAATTGTCGATTTGAGCTTAACTAAGAGTAGAAGTAATGCCACTTGTAATAATTCCTGCGTCTCTGGATTTATGCCTTTCCTCCTTTTTAACCAAAACCTACTCTATGTATGAACTGAAAGGGGATTTTGGTGATTTTGATGAAGAGCTTATTTCGATTGATTTTTTCTGTTCTCTCCTTTCCAATAATCTTGTTCCCCACATCTAGCTTATACCTTGTTCACTCCAGCTCATTTAAACTTTCGAATTCCAAGTAAAAGTTTAATTTAATTTGAAAAAATCATCGTCATCAACTATGGCTTATGGTTAAGCTGATTGAAGTGCTGGACTTGTTGCATTTAAGAATTTCCGCGGTATAGGTTCACATTTGGTGGATCGGGTTAAACGGTCGGCGGTACTGATTCACATTTGTTGAGCTGCGTTAAAATTCTTTCAAGTTTCCAAGCAACTAAGACTATATCTGGAATTCTGAAAGCTCTTAGTCTTCCCCGCAATTCGCAAACCTTAATGTGCTGACTTTTCTTGTCTCCTGTTGGTCCCATCATTTCTCTTCTCGTGGAATCCAAGTAGATAAAGCTAAAAGACTTCCTGTGTATCTATTAGAGAAAGCACTAAACATGCCATTGGGAAGCTTTGAGTCTTTTCGGTGGGTTGGCACATTACAGAATGTAGATGTCGGAGTAAGCAGCATGATTTGTAAATAAATGGATTACATTTGGTATAGTGTACAACTCACATTGCATAACCATTAAGCTTCAGAAGAGGAAAAGTTGATCTTTCTTGAAACTATGGCATTCTTTGATATGCAATAGCTTATTAAAGAGTCAGCTCTGTCAATTTTTCTACACTATCACGTATCTCGTGTATAATAGACTTTGCACTAAAAAAAAACGAACTAGAAACTAGTAAGCAATAGAGAACGTGATTTCGGAGGAATTCCTAGGTAACGATGTGATTTGATCCCGAACGGGCGATTTTCAGAGTTGTCAACCTGCCAAATGAATGGTTAATAACCGCATAGTTAGTGATATCTCCTTCGTTTCAGCTTTTCTGCTTCTCTCGAGATTTCATCAAACCACTCTGTGAAATCTTTACGCTTCCTATCAAACCACGTGGGCTCCTTACAAAATGCGTCATACCATAAGTAGTCTTTGAATACAGGATCGCAAAATGATTCCGGAGGTTTGGTAACATAAACGACTTTAGTAGGATATGACCTTGAGTGGGCTTTGTTCTGCATTCTCTCATTGAACACTTGAGCACATACAATAATCATGATGAGGAGAAAGTACATGGCAAACACATAAAACAATACTATACTCGTGGATTTGAGATAACCTGGAACGTACCCCATCCCTTTAACTATTGTCCTCCCTGACTTCTTGAAGACACCTTGCACGTATCTTTGCTTGATTCTGACTACCTTCCAAACGTATGGAATTTCTTCACAGATAAAACAATCTTTGTTAATACTCCTCAAATTTCTATTCGAATATTTTAACAAGTCTCTTAGGTAATCTCGTGGAATGGCACCAGTTAATGGTACTTTAACGTTCCAAACTTCCCCGAAGGATGCTTCTGGCAATGCGTAATGGTCTGCGTTGCTTCCTGTGTCACTGAAATCTTCCGTAGTACTGGTCATTTCACTAACGCTCACCCTGTTTATATAGTTGGAAGAGATAGCATCATGGGTAAAGCTTGTGAATTCCTCTTCATCTGATGACATTTCTGAGGGCGTTGCAATTTCAGAGAAGCTTCCGGTGATATCGCTTCCAATTCTTGTAAGTGAAATCTTAGGTAAAGTATGCTGAAGTTGTTGCTCATTTGGCATTTCTTCACCTACAAACTGCGCTGGGTTCGGAGGAGGGTCGACTTCATGCCTTTCTATGTTTGAATTTCCTTGGTAATTGGGGTCTCTTTCAGATCTCAACTTCACTATAAAATATGAGAAACAATAGTCTTGCTTTGGTGCATATGAGGTCTGCAAATCACAAATTCGTGGAATTTCAACGGTGACTAATTGATCAATCTGTGATATACTTGATTGAAAAATCTCGAGAACTTGTTTAACCTTAGCAGTACTGGTCTGCAATCTAAACAAGTCATATGATAAGTCCTTGCGATCAAATATAATATGGAACGGTTCTTCATTAACAACAAAATGGATTTGTTGAATGTATGAGATAAAACTTTGTTGTAACCTTAAAAAATCACTAGATTCAATGTACTCCTCTGGAAAAGGCTCAACTTTGACATGGAAATCACCAACTCCAAAAACAAGCGCATTCTGGAAACATCTACGAACACCAATTAAATTCTCAAGTTTGCCATATTTGTGTCTCAACTCTGAGCCCAATCTCCAGCGATCTAGCTGCCCCAATGCACATGTTTCTAACTCGGCATATTCATCATCGGTCACGTCTTTAAACATTTGTTCAAGGTGAACTTGCGCATCATTCATACCTTCTCTAATGGATGCAACTATGTCTCGCATGCAATGCCTCTTCCTTAATTGAACTATGTTGGCCATGAGGACGTTGGGTGAATTCTCAATTATGTTATATTCTTGAACAGCTTGGATTAGCTCAATTGGAGGTTCTCCAGTATGAAAATAGCTTAATCCAATCTCAATTGGACTCTGGGATTCAGTACCATCCAGCGGTTGAGTATCGTCGAGCATCATTAGAAAGTGGATAATTATGATTCTTGTTAATTGATGAAGTAAGTTTCTTTGCCCCCTTTAATTTAAAGTTAAACTTATTTATTTTTCTAATGTCAATGTGCAGTCCATAGAAACTTTGGTGACACAAAAACAATTTTAATAAACTCGAGGAAAGTAGAAATTAATTCTTCATATTTCTTTCGTTAGCTAACGAGATGGCTAGTTTTGAACAATTCGTTAGCTTCTCACGTTGCAATCTGAACAACTGCGTAGATGATCGGGGCGTAAGTATATCATGGCTATTTAAAGTCTTGGAGTTTTATATGCGCAGCATTTGTGCTTTTTTCACTTATGGAACCTGACAGTGACCGCTTTGCAATTTTGTAACACTACAGCTATTTTTAAATGTTAAGTAAAGAAGAAAACTCTAACTACGAAAGCCATATAAATGAATATACGCGAAATAAAATATTACATGAGAGACAAAGGAAACGACCGAAAAAACATACCAAACGGTGGAAAAATGAATAAGGCACCAAAAGTACCATACGAGATGAAGTGCATACAAGGAGAAAATTATGGGTCGTTGTATACAGAATTAAAGAGCTCCTATGGACCTTGAATCAAAGTGAAATGGGAATTTGGTTCCAAATATCACTTTGACAGAGTTTGTAGTCCTTGCTGATTGAGTATGGCTGACTGTTTATATCCCTGTTGAATTCTATTAAATAGTTCACGGTAATAGCTCCAGTTATGGGAGGTTCTCTTCATCGTTAGAAGAGACATAATATTAAACAATATCTCAGTTAAGGAATGTTGAAACTATAGAAATGTCTGCATTCATCCTTCTATCTTTATTCCTTAGTTGAACTTGGCGTCTCAACTTATTGTTTACATTGCTCG